GAAGTTACATTTATTTAGTTTTGTGATAAGTGGCAGTGATTTTTCTTGTGGATATTTACGTTTTGTTGTCATGTAAGTCAAAATAATCAGTGGTAAAAGGAAAAATTATATTTTTTGAAGAATAACTCATAAACTATTTGTGATAAAATTATGATTCTTTCATATTTTTATTAAGAATTAAATTCTTTAATCATATTTGTAAAGATTTTGTTGATGTGATTCTTGTATCAAACGTTATAAACAATCAAAACTTACTTTTAATTTTTTTCTTTTTTTTTTCTTTAATGAATAACTCAACAACTATTTGTGATAAAATTATGATTCTTTCATATTATTATTAAGAATTAAATTCTTTAATCATATTTGAAAAGATTTTGTTGATATGATGGTTAGAACAAAAGTTATAAACAATCAAAGTTCAATTATTATTGTTTCTGTGTAAATTTATCAAAATATGCCCATAACTTTGAAGTTAATCATATTTTAAATGCAATTTTTTACAATTTCACACATATTAAGATAATAAATAGAATTCTGAACATTTCACTCGATTATCTCCAATAGTTTTTCCATTATTTACTAATTAAACGCTGCAACTATTGAAAAATAATGTTTGCGCGCGTTAAAATCTCCGTGAACGTAGCAATAAAACAATTAGGTTCGCATTTTGCATACGCGCGCAAAATCTAATTACTTTGGAAAATGCCATATCATTTATTATAATTAACTCACAACATGTTCACAATTTGCAATTAGTACTAAACCACTAACAACGAACTATTTCAACAGTATCAAATTTTATGTCTTTCCTAATGCAAATACACACAATATCCACACAAAAAGCCATGCATGTTTCACTAGCGAACGGAAAATTAATTTTAAACATCACCGCGTGCAAGTAATAATTATTTTATCTCTGTTATTACCATTGAAAACTTGACACACTTTCAATGCGCTTTTTGGAAAGGGATTTATCGATATCACCTGAAGGTTGTTGTGCATGTCATTTTATTTATGTCTAAATATTCTCATCGTTTGCAGATGCATTGTGAATTATCTGATTTTTGTCATTCGCCGCCGATTGTTGCGCTAACGAAGCAAATGAAGTAAACACCGCATTAATAATGCGCTTTCGTTTTTCGTCCGCGGCATGCGCGCGATAAACGCCGAGTTATCTCTATTTGAAAGTCATGATCATTAGCATATAAAAGTAAAAATAAGTCTCCCACATCTTGCGGTCCGCAGTGCTCTTCTCCAGCTTTAAATTAAACGACGGCGTGTGGTAACGTGCAACTTAAATTGATGATTTTAATTTTATACTCGCAGTATTAAATTGTATGTTTGTATCAATAGACACAATTGTCCCTGTTGTAATTTATTCTTATTATTGGTACTTTTCCGAGTCGTTACTTGTTACTGCGCCGCCCACGTGGGAAATAAATTTCAATTTTGAATTTTCAATTTAATTTCTTACGTATCAGATGTAGAGTAGGTCGACAATAAGTCGAAATCAATTTAAATGATTAAAATTTAAATTTAAATGTGTATCAGCCGATTTGCCACACACGACTAATTTAATTACAATTAAAATCACTTTTACCATTTTTTACGTGTTGTTCCCGGTCGTTACTTTTAATTTTAATTAATTTCTAACCCTAGGTGATGATGGTATTCGCGTGGTTTTGTTTTGTAATAAAAAACGCTTAATTTATTTGCGTTTTTAATGACTTTTGCTTAATGAGTGTGGCGTTTTGTCCTCAAACGGTTTTGGCAGATAATTAAAATCGAATTTAATAACATAATCACTTTTTGCACACACTTCCTTCTGCGGATTTTTATGTCTCTTCCTATTTCCTGTTTTCTTCATTTTAATAATTAATAAAAATGTTAAGATAATTTTAGATTTTATAGTACCTAATTATTATTAGAAGCTGGGTTTTTGCCTTGTATTTCCAAAAAATTAACAGGTATTAACGTTTTTTGGTAGAGAATATTTGATAATACTGTAAATATTGATATTTTAGGAGATATTCAAACTTTTTCTCTTTTTTATCCTTTTTTGAGGCGTTTTACATTCTTTTTTCTTAAATTGCGGCGAAGTAAATGCAATTCTTTTTAAATTTTCTTTTGTTACTATACAATATATTTTGGGTGATCTACCAGGAAAAGTTCAAAATATTTTAATATCACATTTAATTTTAGAGTTTTACCTAATTTTTATTGAAATTTTGTTTGGAAACCGCAAAGGGATGGCAAATTTAGTTTTTTTGTCAATTTTTTTAAAATATTATTTATTTGCAATAAATAAACTACAATAGCTGTTTCTTCTACTAATTCATAATGTTACTTAATATCACTTTAATTTTACTTCATAAAACTGCTAATTTATTCGCTAGTTTTCGCAAAAAAATCTAAAAAAAAACTTTTACTAATTGGTTTTCGAAATTCAGACGAAATAAAATTGAGTTTACATGTAAATCTCACTTTTAAAATATTCCCCACAGATGCATCTCATGTATCAAACAGTTTATGTCATTCCAGAATCGATAGTTATGCGTATCGCTGGTTCGCGACGCCTACGTGGCTCAAAACGAGCAAATAAACTCATTAAAATAACAACGCGCCCATTGCACACATGTAATATAAAATACAAGATTCCGCAGCGCTCATTAAACGCGCGACGTGTTTGTCCGCCATTATTCTATCGTATCTTAGCGACCGTATAGAATTTATGACAATCCGATGCGAAACACAGGTATGCACGCATAAATTTTAATATCGAGAAAATTGATATCGCGCCGCTGCATTCAGCGCTCGCATTTTTTTTTCTTCTCTTCGTTGTCGCTCCGTTTTACATGTTTACAATCGCTGCGAGAGTTTAATAATATAATATGTGAAAATTACCAATTTGCTTAGAATATAACAATCGGGTCCCACACTCCTCACACACCATATATTCTCCAGCTTCAGCTATTTTATTATGATTGCAGTCACCTTACGAAACCGTACACGGTCACTTTCCCCTTGGCGACTCAAATTACGCTTTCCTTGATTGTGCGCGCGCCGCTTGTAGGCGAAATTTATTTTAATCAACAAGTTTATACACCGCGCACAATCAAGACAAGCATTAAATACACGTATGGAATATTTGCGTAAGTGAACGATAAATTTCAATTAGACGCAAATATCTCGTGCACGAAAGCTGAAGCTGAATAACTAATCGATCAGTGAGCGGTAAAAAGCGCGCAAAATCTCCGCGCTTGATGGTTACAACACCACGGCGTATAAATTGCATAAATAACGAGAGTCAGGAAAAAATTGGGTACTTATAGAATAAATCACCGTTTTATTTGATATAAATATCTCAATTTCAACAGAGAAAGCAAAATTACCCGCTTATCGAATTATTATCATTATTACTATTCAGAATCAGCGTGTGTGTGTGTGAATGTGTGTGTGCGCTTAAGTGTTACCTGAAGTCTGTAAACATCTGCGCGAGTAACTAATAGCTGCGCGATGGAGAAAAATGTTCGATACGCTGTTTTCGAAACGAAACAAGAACGAAATTACACGAATTATTTTCTGTTTTTGTGTGTATGTGTGTGTGGATGTTGGTGAATCTGTAAGGGAATGGAGAGTTTACGGCCTTAAACGGTGAGATAGAGAAACATAATTGAATCGTAAAAATCGTAAGAGTCGCGGAGAGTCGCTGGTGGAAACAATGTTCGAGTGGAAAAAGTCGAAATGAGATGCACGAAAACAGAAATAGATGGAGTTTACACAATGGTAAGAGATTCTCCATTCTCACTAACGGTTTTACCAACATAATTTAAGACAATAACAACAACTTTATATATATAATTAGTTGATTATATTGTTATCTACGCTGTGAGGTGTATTATTTGTGAAACACACTTTTATAAAGGTGTTTTTTGTTGTTTTCTTGGAGTTTTTAGCAGTTTTATTGTAGAATTTTGTGATATTAGTTGTGATTTATTGAAAAATCAAAGAAATATGTTTGGATCTTTATTAGTTTTGGAGTTATTCATGATTTTTATTGAAGTTTTGTTTGTTTTTGTTTGAATCATTTATGTTTTCTGCATTTTTTGGGTGTTTTTCATACTCTTTTCTTAAATTGCGGCGAAGTAAAAGAAGTTTTTTGCAATTTTCTTTTGATATATTATAATATTTCTTAAAATCTACCAGAAACTGCTCGAAATATTTTAATATCTCTTTTAGTTTTGGAGTTACGATTGATTTTTGTAAAAATTTCAATTTATTCTCATAAATCATTAATTTTGCGAATATTAACTTACTTTTTCTTAAATTTTGGCGAAGTAAAAGAAGCTTTTTGAAATTTTCTTGTGATATATTATAATATTTCTAATTATCTACCAGAAAATGATCGAAATATTATCATATCACTTTTAGTTTTGAAGTTACAAACAATTTTTCAAAAATTTTTGATTTATTCTCATCAATAACTAATTCTACAAATATTTAACTTTGTTCCACAATATTTTCTCTTTCGTCCATCCTCCGTCCTCAAATAAAACCTAATGAAACCATTCGCAAACCAAAAAAACACAGCGTATGTGGTAAGACGTCAGAAATTGATTTCATTCGCTTCATTGATGAGCCGCTAGTCTCTCTTCGTTCGCGAATTATTAAAAAGCCAAATTGGTTCCGTACATGCGTGCACAATCATTAGCGTCGTATTAAAAAGTCAATTACTCCGAATTGGCCAGCAGGCCGAAACCATGAGGTGTGGAAATGAACGCGCTTTGTATTCGCTTACGCAGATTTATCGCCGAAAATAAATGAAAGTTGTGACTTGCAAAATCAACAACAAATTGCGATATTGGCAATTGCACATCGAAATATTATTTATATCTTCAATATCATCGGCGTATCGAATTACACACGCTTTTGCCGTATCACGCTATTAAAAATTCATATTTAAATTGATTGATTGATTGTGTTTTTTTGCGTGTTTACAGGATGATAACTTGAAGATGTCTGCAAGGCCGGATTGTCGTGTGGTGCTGCGACAATGCTTGGCGATTGTCGTGCGCAAGGAGGGCTGCCAAGGAGATCCGGGTGACTTTTGGATGTACGAGAGCGGATACCTACTCTTCCAGGTAAACGAAATAAATTTCAATTTGCGAATTTCTCCTAGTCGCTCAAATGCAATCGATCACTCCTCACTCCAGCCTCTCCAATTTTGATGCTCGCGTACGATTAGCGCATGATTTATTGTTTCTTGAATCACAAAACTGAAACTTTAGGCATAAACGCATTGCTTCACCGCGGCACGATTTACCTTTGAATTTCGTGCGATTCGTATTTATTAGCAAATTACATAAAATAAAATTGCACGAAGTCATCATTTACGGTGTCAAAGCGAAAGATCGTACAATTCGCATGCAAATACCCGTGCACAATGCGCAAATGAATAAAACGTCGAGGTTAATTTCTTGAGAACAATTAGGCAATCGGGCCGGGATCTTTTAACGCACGTTTAGCATTATAGTGTTTTCACAAAACATCAGGCTGTGATTTTATTTTTATCTGCGGCGCTGTTTTGTGTCGGAATCGTGAGCAATTTGAAAGCATCGAAACTGAAAGTTTAATGCTCCGCCAGTTAAGCACCGAATTTGTTGGAGGATTTTTTGAACAAAGGCTTCGAAAATTGATCAGTTAAAGGAAAAAATCGTGAGCCTGTGTCACAGCCCTCGGACACGATCTAATCAGTGGCTTGTTAGCAGTTAGCATCACATTATTTTCTTGTTGTTAATATTTCACTAAAGAATAACATTTATCAACATAATTTTGTTTTCTGTTTAGGTTTTTGTTAATAACTTTTTAAATAAACGCGTTAGGTTAAATATTTTTGGACATAACGATTCAGAATTAAATTCTACATCTACCCAAACATAAATTTTATTTTATTTATTGGTTTAATAAAAGTTATAAACAAATATACACAAAAATATTACATAAAAGTTTAAGTTTTCAGTTTAAGTTTTTGTTAATAACTTTTGAATGGAACGCGTTAGAATGAATATTTTTTGATGAAATTATTCAGAATTAAATTCTGCATCTACCTAAATATAAATTTTATTTAATTTATTGTTTTAATAAAAGTTATAAACAAATAAACACAAAATTTAAATTTTTTTCACAAATATTTACTTTTTTAAAACAACAAAATATTAATAAACTTATATAATATTAGATGTAGAATTTAATTCTGAATATCTTTTACTTAAAATAATTATTTAAACTAATTTATTTTAATAGATATCCATTAAAAACTCCTTCAGACCGTTGTTCTTCACATATCATACGAAAGGAAATTGTATCTCATCTAATTTTCGATTTTATGCAACTTTTAACACTCGAAACCCAGAAAAAACACGTAAACTTTTCATTATAAGGAAGTTAGTTAGTTTTTCCATTGTATGTAGGTATTAACCGAACTTAATTAGTCTACTCACGGAAGGCGGTTTTTTAAGCATCTGCGAGCTATTTAGCATACGCGATGAAATTCTAAATTAACTATGATTATCGCATTAGCCATTATATGAGAGAGAGTGTGTATTGACCAGATTTATATTGATTGGAACGTGCGAAACGCGATGTTGAGCACATCGTAAGGTGTCGAGTCATCGTTATTATTTATTTATTTATTTATTTACTCTGAATTAGTTTTCGTTTAAGCCTAGTTGCGAGTAATTTATATAAAGCGAAAGTGTCTGTTTATTGGATGATGTGGATAGATAACGCGGCGTCAGGAGATTAATCTGATCAAAGTGAGTAAGTAGTAAAGCGGGGAAAATGTCGGAAACATCCTTTTATTGATCAGAGATTTTTTATGAAACTTTCTTTTCGTTTAAATCCTTGAATTTGATAAAAATTTGTTTAATATTTTGTTAGTTTTAATACGCGCACGACCCAAATATTTCCTAAATTTACGAATTAGCTTGCGTTTCTCTTTTTGTTGCACATTGCTAAAATAACTCGGTAATCTGTATGCATCCTTGGATGCAGACAAAGTTATGCGTTCCCATTCCGGTCGCCGAAGATACGACTCGACGGCTATCTATAAGCGACGAGCTGGAGCCTTGGAGACTGTTACATTTCGGAGTTTTCGTAATGCGTTCACATATTTCTTGCAGTTCGTTGCATTTTGCACTAGTTCTCTCTTGGATTTTCTATTCTAGTATCACCCACACAAATATTTATGCTTACATAGGCATCACACAAGACAATTTAATATTTTTGTGGACGTTTTCTAATTATTTGCACATACAATCGCAAAAAATTAATATAAATACGTCTTTTGTGACTGGTAGCGCGCGTCAATCATCATTAAAGGTAGTATACATGCGTTTAATGCACATTTTTCAATCCATCATACACCTGCGACTTGCGACTGACTAAATTATACCTGACGCTTTCTTTGCGCGTAATTTATTTCTATTTTTTATTTTTCGTCTATGAAATTTTGCAGGGATTGCTGTCTGCGAATTCGGTGTGTTGGTGGAACAGCGCGCTGAACGGCGCGACCAAAACGCTCGTCTATAAGGGCTACGTGAGTCCTGGAGCAATCCTGGTCGGCTCGGAGCCCTGCGCACTCGAGGTTTTACGAGGCGCCTGGGCCAGACGTGTGCTGCAACCGCCGGCGGGATATCAGATCGTCAGTTTGGGTGAGTACCACAACCACACCACTAGCAAGCTATTACCATAATGTTTTAATATTTATTACTGCTGGAAGCGATGCCAGAACATGCAGAAGTTATATTGGAGCGCGTTTTAATCGCGCGCGAACGGAAATGGGAAGAATGCAACCCAAAGTACATATTTTTTTAGTTGCACTTGATTTAATAATAAAAAGTAAAGCAAAACGGTTCAGAATTAAATTTAGGATCATTGAAAATATAAGTTTATTGTTTTAATTGAGTTTATTGAGAAATAAACGCAAAAAATTTTAAATTTTTACAAATTTTGCTGTTTTTTCATATTAATTCAATTAAATATTAATAAAATTATATAATATTAGATGCACAATTTAATTTTGAATATATTTTGCCTAAAACAATTATTTTAACTAATTTAGTTAACGAATTATTTAAATTTAGACGAAAAAAAAATGCGTAGATAATGCGTAGATTTTATTTTGCGTTGTTTGAGAATTTCTAAACTAATTATTTGTAATAAAAATATATATTAAATTGAAATCAAAGCGAATGACACAAATACTGATTTATTACGGCTAATGCTCGCAATAAAAGATTCAAATCGGAGTGATTCTCGCGGCGAAAGAAATTAATAAATTATTTTATAATTATAGTAATTTTAAAACACAAGAAGCGAATTTCGTGCGATAATTGTACGCGCGTGTTTTACTTTCGCAATTGATTTCAATTTGCAAAAACTAAAAAATCTTTTGTTAAAAAATACAAATTTTCAAGTGGTGAGATGAACCCACAAAATAAAAGTAACGGCCAGGAAGAGATCTGTGTACGATCAAATTTAATTTCAGTTTAACATGTGACGAATTCGTAATAAATCATTCCTGTGAAATTGCAACAAATTATAAGATAATCAGTATTTACGATCGTTTAAACTAAATTTTCCCGAATGATTGCAGCGGCATGTCATTGACATTAATGAAAAATAACTGTAAATAACTTCTATGGTGCTAGTAAATAATCATTTAACTTTTAACTTAGTTGCAAAAGGATTACGCGGATAAGTCCGCGGCAAATTGAAATCTGTAATTTTATTGTAGCGATATATCAGCTTACAAATGTTAAGCGTCTTCGGATGGCATTCCTACATCCAAGCATACCTGACCGAATAATTGATAAATAAACACACATACATACATATACACGCTCGTGAGTTTCATGGCTTTCCAGCCACACGACCCGCCGGCGAAGAACGCTCACATCGCTCCAGCATTTATTCATTTCGAGCCGAGGCTTTATAAATGTCGACTAGAAAATTAATAGAATTCATTTCGTCGACGCACATTTGTTTATGTACCACAATAAACTATCCCATCTAAGCCGATTCAATTAATTTTGCACTGCGAAAAAGACATTTCTATCTGAATCTACTCGTAAAACGGGTTGCAGTGTATCCTGTTAAGAGAACATAATTATTGCGTTGTAGTGAGGTTATGTTACATCGAGATTCAAAACATAACCAAATATTGAGATTTTACGTGGATTTCCATCTGTATAATATCCATAAAATACAAAGATAAACATTATTTTCTTTAGTTAATTAGAAATGAAAATATTTTTGTCGTTACACAGAGAAAATGAATATAAACCAACTAAGATGTACGCATTTCACCATTAACATGAAATTTATCGTTGAATTAAATTAAAATGCAGACGATAGACATTTTCCGAAAATTGGGTTACAGCGTATATCCTGCATTCCGTTCCGCTGCAATATACTTTGAAGAATGGTACGCCCGAAATTGCTTTGATGTCATTTTGGCAACGGGCCATGCACATACTCGTGCTCTTACTGTCGTCGACATAGTTTTATAGGAATCGCCGCGAATTTGCTGTGTCATGAATGAATTGATAGCATCTCCGCGGAAAGAAACAAGTGCATATCGATTTTCTTCACGCACCTGCACGAAAATTGCACTTTTACTTCTTCCACGGCAACAAAAAAAATGATATAACATAAAAATACACTTAAAATTAGTCTCGTTAAGATGTGCGCACTTGCATAACATAAAAAGGGACTTTGCACGACTCTTTAACGCTTTGCAGTGAAAGTTTTTATTCTTTGTTCACATAAAACGAAGAAAAAATAACTGGAGTACACGCTGCAGTTAACGCCGGATTGCGAGAATCTTTATTTTTAATTTTTATGTTTTTAACACTTTTTCTTGCGGAATATGCAAGGAAATTCGCTTTTCATTTATTTTCATTTACTCAATCATATTAGAAGATCGTGCGGTGTATGAATGGTTGCAATCAACGTTTTTCACCGATAAAAAACCCTCAACCGCGCGCAACAATTCAATAAATTAAATTACAGCTTAATTACAACTGCACGTGTGCGAATATCATCGACTCCAACCTTTCTTCCGCGACATTATGGTTTGATACAAAATTAAATCATGATGTCGTGACATCTTTGCGCACGGATACTTGTTGTTGAGTGGTTAATAAATTTTTCTTTATGCGGTTGCACTATTAATTGGAGACATGTTCCATGATCTTTGTTTATGCTTATATTTATGGTATTCGCAGTTATTAATTGAAAGTTCAATTAAAACCTATGTATTTTCATCGTTTTGGTGATGCGGAAACCCGATGGATAACTTTCACAAGCATTTTCATTTTTATCAATTCCATGTCGAGCCATCGCAGCATCATAGTTCGCGATATTTATTATAATTCAAGAGGAACAGACCATATTTGTGTGTCTTTGCAAAGACAATTTCTATATAGAAAGTTTTATTTTTTGTTGGTTTCTAGTGTACGAAGCTAGGCAGCCCAATATACTCCAGCGGAAAAATGGTCCCCACATGAGGGAAAGTTAATACAATGATTTTTCATCGAATTAAGTCATTGCGTTGATCCAACACGATGGAAATAATGATATAAATATTGGTATACACCTTTCGTGCGCACCGATAAGTTATACTATAAGTTCTAATGCGATAATACCGTAATAAATGAAGCTGTCAATGTTGTTTATAACGGTTATTATAATGTAAATTTTATTCATGAGGCTCTAACATTTCAACCTTTTGCGCTTTCCGAACTTCTTGTCGACTTGTGTTGCCAATAATATGAAATTGAAAATCATTTATGTATGCACACCAGGCATACACAAGAAATTGCGCGCATGGAAAGCTGTTTTGTTATTAATTCAATTAAGAAATACACGCGTTGTGAGGAAACGTGTTGACGCATGATTGTTTATACGCGTAATTGATTTAATTGGCTTCGCCGAAGGCTACGCGCGACAATTTTGTCTTCAACATCATTTTAATTATGTGCTTTTTGTGTTTTTGCTGTAGATGATGTTGAAAATAGCGTGGTGAATTCCGTCCCCCAAACGCAATGGACGCCATTGACCGAAGCGATATGTGCAGTTGTGTTGAGACTATCCAGCCAAGGACGTCCGGCTGGAATACCAACCATCCGGGAAGCTTTGATCATGGCTTTCCCACACGTCTCGCCACCGAGTGAACGAGTCATTTACGACACCCTTGTTCAACTCACAACTGAACGAAAACTGTACCATACATCTAGGGGATATTTTATCGTTACTCCAGAGTGAGTTTTTGTTGGATTAATTTATTCCGGATGTTTTTTTATTCTTTAATATTTTACAGACGGAGAAGATCCCGGAGTCACTCAAGAAGTCGTCGAAGAAATGACGAGGAAGCAATGGGTAAAGGTATCTTGATGACGACGGAGGAAGCGCTTGTGTTGGTGCACGGTGAAATGACGACGATTCGTGACGGGGACGTCACTCATCAATGCATTCAGACGAATTTGGCCGATGTTATTTGCGGCGGTAACGCCAGCGACAAGATTCTCTACGCGCGCAACAACAAACGCCGCTCGGCGTCGTTCCCGTCCCCGAAGAGTCCGGACAGGCGTGGATCGTTCCGCCTGTGGGGATCTACACGACGATTGCGTCGTTCGGCGTCGACCAGGACCATTGCCAGACAGAATTACACGGATAGCAGCAGCAGTACGGAATATCCCAATAGCGATTCGGCTAATACTCCAACTCCCAGTAAGATTCAACTTAATCTGATGTTTTTTGTTGCTCAAACTTTGAAATAATTGTTTGCAGAGAAAGAATCACTACTGTCGAGGATATTCCGACGCTCGAAACGCTCCCAGTGCCAAATTAGTAGCTTCAGCGCACAATTTCCGCCGACTGAATGGTTCAATTCGAAAGCCATACATTTGCACAATGTCGGTACACAAACATCAACTGCAGATGAGGTAATTTGTCATATTGCAGACATATTCTATTGATTTATGTACTAATTTTGATGTGTTACAGGATTCAACATTGTCATTGCCATATTACTTTGTAAATTCGGAAACTGCATCTTCTTCCAAGTCGGCGACATTACCACGCCGCCATCGACGTCAACTATCCAATGATTCCACCTACATGACATCACATATTGCTTCGCGTGAGCAATCGCCCAGTTTGCGATTGGGCACACCATCATCCAGTTCTCTACCGCGGAATCCCAATCGCAGTCCGATACATTCAATCAAGAGCCGTGAAAGTTCCCGTAAGACAAGCCGCAGTAGTCTTACGAAAGTCCCGCCCAACGACGACATCGACGAGGAGGAGATTAAATCCTTGGAGACGAAACCAATCCGCCCAACGAAACGCGACAACTATAAGATTTTCGGTAGTGATTTTAAATCAACGAAGGCTTCCAGTCTTGAATCATTGAAGACTGTGCATGATAAGTCTTTCACGGATGATTCTACGCTGAAAACTTTGGCGAGTTTAGACAACAGTGGTCCGTCTAGTATCGAATCGCATAAAAGCAGCAAAACTGGTAGTTCTATTACTAGTGGACCGTCGAGTTTGGAATCACACAAGACTGTGATTTCACGCAATACGGCGGCGGATGCGCGATCGAAGCGGTCGCCTAAGCGACGCGAAAAGGAAAAGCATAAAATCACGGATGCGGCGCCATCAATATCGCACAGCAATTCATTTACGCTGCAGGTGACGACGAACCAGAACGGAAACAATTTCGCTGCTTCGAATACGAACGCGACGACCACGGCGACTATTAATAGCGGCACCGGCGCAAATACGAAAATATTTGTCCAGAACTCGCCGGTGCGCTCGGTGATTACGTTCGAGAACGGCCAAAACAACGATCCCAATCCGAATCTGGTCATCATCAACGGCTCCGATCCCATCATCGAACCAGCGCGATATCAAATATCCGCCAAACCAGCAGCAAATTCTCCTGATTTGTGGGCAAAAAACACAAACAATGCAAAGGAGGAAAGTCTGAACAACAGTTCGATGCCCACCGATGAGAAGAACGAGCAAATGAACAACAGCCGAAAGTTGTCGCTGCAAATGCCATCGCGCGATCTAAACTACAAAAACTTATTGAAGAACCTCCCATCGACGTCGAACAATAAGCAATTCGCGTCCAATTCCAACCCGGACTCGCCCATAAATAACAGCTTCAAGGAATTCACGCGGAACACGTTTGACAGTAAGTCGTTCGATGATCTAGGCGGGAGCGTCGGGGACGTTTATAAGCAGCTCACCGATTCGAAAACCTCCTTGGATAAATCATATCAATCCATATTGGATAAGAATATTCTGGGATCGGAGCCGAATATCAGCCTGAAGGATCAGGAGGGCAAGTCGGTGAGTCGGCAAAACAGCCAGCATCATTTTCCGAGTCTCAGCGACTTGAGTTTTAATTTTACTAGCTTGGCAGCGCAGAAAATCCTCAAGGGTGTGAGCATTAATAGCATCGACACACTGGTGGAGCTCAATATGGCGGCGAACGGCGAGAAGCAGAATAATTGTGATATTGTTCACACCGATTTCGGATTGGTTTGAAACACTCGATGCAACTGGAGTTGGTTTTTCTTAGTTTTAGATTAGAGGAATGAAATGCTTTGCGACGAGATGAAACTCATGTTTTAAGCTCCTTACCCGACTTTTTAGCATAAAAGTTGATGTTGTAAGGAGTTGTCCAGCAGCCATAGAGAAACCCGAATGAATTGAAGAAGGTAGGATCGCGTGCGCGGTTATTTCTTGTTTAGTCTAGTAAGTAATATGCAAACCAAGCGGATTTACCAAACGTTTCGCGGACAATATCAAGCTATACACACGTGTATCATAGGAAAAGATGTCTTCATACAGTGTCTTAAACTTTTAGCGATTTTACCCGATTTTAATCTAATATACCCCTTTTATATACAGTATATACATAGATCACTTGCTTTGTATTTATCCGTACTTAATCGTTTATCATTCAAATCGGTATATGATTTGATCAGCTTTGTATAAAATATGTATTAATGCTTGTTTTGCGGTAACATGTAAAAATGAACATCTTACTGTAAGTATTTTAATAAACAACATTTACACGAAGAGATAGAATAATGCAGGTGGAGATGTGTTTATCTGTTTACATCGTGTTAAATCATTCATGAAATTCAGACTGTTCAAGGTCCTGCCTCGACGGAAATAGGAACTGAGACGCTGTGTGCTGTAACCGTTGTTATGTTGCCATTCTCCAATTCATAACAACTGGGAATAACTTTGGTGGTGCGAGGGTGTGAGAGTATTTATATTACTCCTAGTTATACGCAGCTTTACGACTGCACACACTGAACTACTTGGAAGTAGTTGGTAAGGAAAACCGCTGTGCATTGCTTTACTACGCAGTTGCATTTCTCTATCGATCACACGCTTGGGTTTCACGCAAGTGATAAGGTCCAGCGTAGGGGAATTGTTCGTGGAAAACTCGTCCTTACGATCGGCACGCAAGGTAAAGCCTGCGCATTACTCCTAGTTGGGATCCTTATAAAAACGAAGCGGTTTACTACGCTGGAAATTTCGGTGGCCCCAACCCAGGAAGCGACTACTTTTCGGTACTACGCACTTGCAAACAGGCATTATTTATTCGGTGCATACGTGACCTAAGTCACGGTTCTGCTGCAATCAAATCTATTTTAATAAATGCAATTTATGCAATTCAAGTAGCAAATAATTTTCGTGTTATTTTGAGCGCTTTAATGAATTCTTACAGTGTTTGTATTAGATTACCATTAATTACAATGTTTAGTTGTTGTGATAATTAATTACACCACCTTAGCGCATGTTTGTTATGATAATATTGCTAAACCTTTGTGAATCATAAATTAACTGTTCTATTCACGCGTTGTATAGACTTTCAGTTTAGTATTAATACATCAACAAACAAAAGCGGGAAATTACCGTCTTAGGACGACATTTTGTAATCGCTCAATACTCGTATGTGTGCAGATGACATTATTTCATATTTGCCGTTGTGGTTTGCGTTCATTTGAGCGGTTGCAACCGCACCTAGCTGGTTTTTGCTTCTGCTAATCTCAAATCTGCCAAATCTTGTTTACTTTCACATGCGTCGACCATTTCGCACTACTGTCATCATCATTTTTCTTATTATCAATTAGAGTCGGACTTTACATAACCAAACAATTTTATTCATAAATATCTAAATTTTTTATATTAATATTAATCCGAGTCTGTTTGCTGAGTTGTAATATTTATGTTTTTTATATTTACTATCGCGTTATCTCAAACACACGCCCATTAAATAACTTACTAGATTTCAATGTTTATTAAACAATTTAATTATAAACATACGCGCGTACATATAAATTACGTCGATGTGCGATTAGACGTAACATTACAGATTGAAATGTTTCAAGGAACAGTGCAATTGATTAATTATTAATATTGAACAAAATGAACATGGAATTGTTGGATATAGTGGAAACCATCCTTCTGGTGAGTTTATTATTAACCCAAAACGTCATGGATATTTTTTTACTGCGAAGAAACCACTAACCAAATCATGCGAATCGAACTCATGGTAATTTTTAATGCAATTTACATGAATCCCTAATTGGATTAGCATGTAAATCTTGTTAAGTGGAACGCAAGAATTCTCCTAAGAGATTATCAGTAATAATATGCGCGCAAATGATTTGTTTATTTAATTTTATTTAACGCGTACTTACGTTGAATTTAAAAGAAAGGAAAGAAAGGGGATCAGTACACTGCGCATGCGCGGTAAGCAACCACTTGTTTTGCATTGTTTCGTGTGCGTACGTGCGCCGCGTGTTCGGTGTCAGTGTGTACCTGCCCGCATTATCATATCATTTGTTTATATTTTACTAGAACGGTCTAGTTATAACTGAACTGATCAACGCAAATAATAATCATATTAAATATGATGAGCGGTTACTCAGTCACCTTGTCTGCAACATTCGGGGTATATAAACACGGTGTGAATTATTCCCAGCGACAATTCGTGTGTTTGCTGTGTTGTAAAATGCACATCGTCTAATAAACTATTGAGAAACGTGTAAACATATAAAAAAAATTGTGTGTTTGTCTACGAAATGTTGTTTTTTATAACGCACGTTCATGCTGATATGAAATATGAGAAATTCCATCGATTTTACGTGAGTATAATTTACAGTTTTTGAAACATTTTTAACCGCCACTAATATTCGTGAAATTTACTCATTTTAAAGTGTTTAAAATAACTGCTGAGTGAAGTATGCATTGGCAAACAAGTGATATGTGACGCATTTATTCGTAAACTTGAAATATTCGTGATTAAAATGTGCTATTTATAAACCACCAGCACTGACCACCAGACTTTCAGTGGCTGTGTGTTACATAAATGTCGCTGATTGGTCCAGCGGAACTTGCATTTATTTCAATTGACAGCTTCACGAATTCACGAATAACTTTAAAACCGGCGCGCATCTTGTTTGTAAACACACTTCGAAAACATCCCAACGACAAGATACCAGCAGTTAAACTTGGTAAAACATTTTAATTTTCAATATTTTCACACATTTTACGCTAAAATCACACGAAAAAAATGCAAGAATACACAATGGCGGCTTGTCTGGTCCCTGACATTGATAATATTCATTTCATGTGTCATTCTGACTAACAATTAGCAAGACGCATGGTCAATTAGTGCAATTATAACAATTTAACATTGTTATCTTTAAATTGTTCAAATTACATATTTAAAAACCAAAAATTTTGGGTAAACATGAAGTGTTTCCATGAAAAAATAATTTTTGCTTTTTTTTTATTCAAAGAATCCAATTAATTAGCGCAATTCAAGGAAAACTAACAGTAATTTAAGTAATTAATACAACCTACGTGTCAATTAGTATTACCGAAGTCCCCTGACAATGAAAAAAAGATCAAATGGAAAGTTAAACATGCAATAAACGAGAAACTTCGTCGAAACGTTTGTTGATTGCCTCAATACAAATGCGGAAAACGAAAATGTCCATATCAAATGTCTATAAGTACATCTAGGTCGCGACCTTTAAAAAAATCAATAATTGTAAGGCAATTGACCATCGCCGCAATGGCTGCAATAATCATCCATCTTGAATACGCGTAAAGCTATAAATGACGCGAATGCACTTGGCTCAATTCTGCTCGTATGCAGGTTGCGGTAGAAACTGCGATTCAGATTTACAATCTGATTCCGCTTCGCCAGCAGTTAGTTGTTAGCGTTAGCAGCGCGTTTGGCGTTTATCTCGGACCTATTTAGTTTCAGTCGCTTCTCTCATTGCACATGTACGTACATAGTAGGCGCATAGTGGGCACATAGTTTGGGTTTATTCCGCTCCATGTGCGCGGTGCTGGTCTGCGCCGGTTCTTCACCTCTCTCTGACTGCCTGCTGGTGTGGAAGCCGCTACCATCGACTGATGGCAGGCGCTGCGCGCCGTTCGACAGCGGATTTCGGATTCAGTACGCTTCAGTATTACTCATACGCCGGCCGCAGCAGAGGTATTTCACTCTCCGGCGATTCCTCCGCGGACTGTTCGTGTGCAATCTTCTCTCCCGCTGCCGGCTTTTCGGTGCATTTGCCCATCCGACGTTATCGATTCAGCGCGCTCACGAAGGCCACCACCGAATTCGCGCACTTGCACCAGGATATTATGGGACTAACCGACGGTGAGTGCAACATTACACTACTGTATACATAATAATATAATAACATAAACATGGTTTCTTTTTTTTTTATGTTTATTTCGTTGCGTTTATTTATCAAACGCGATATGAATAATATGACACGCACAGCGCGCAAATGCAAAATGCATAAGTCGTTAATTATTAATTCACGCTATTCGGTCGTGTGAATGAAATGCAAAATAAAAAATAGTGAAACGCGAATGTGAACGTGAATCATTATCGTGTCGTGTAACTATTAATTTTTTTAAGCAAAAATTCTTACGGAATGTTGAGTAGTAAACATTCTTTAGTTTTTTTTTGTATGCTTATCAGCGCACAGCCGGAGGTAATTTCCTTTGTTATCGCTTCGAACGCGAACAGTTGGTGGTTAAATATAGATAACCGGAGCATTGTTGTCGCGTGGATTATCCAAATTGACGAGCTAATAAGTGCTTTGAAGTAGGCAGAGATTTTTCGATATTTGTTTGCCGATGATAACGCACCAACGCCTAGGTTTGTTTGGTCGATCTTTATGCCGTCATTAAACGCTAATATTAGATTCTGTGCAATTTCCATTGTCAATAACAGCACTATTTGCGATAATTTTTACGTTTTGACCTTGTGCCACCGTAAAAACAAAAAAATAACAACTCCTAGGACAATAGAATCGTTGACGTACATATTAATGAATTGTATAATCTTGTTTTGAATGTAAATTGATTAAATTTTCATTGTTTTTACACACAAATTTATAGAATTTTGGATTTAGAAATGCGTAGTTAATTGTTCGACGTATTTGTTGCTTAGCTTCCCTCCGAAGCAGTGTTGGTGTGCGTTCGTGTGACCTGGAAGTTTAATTTTACGAGCGCGTTATTGATTTTGGAAAAGCCGTTGGTTGCGGAATCCGAGACGCGCAGCATGCGCTTCGGCATATTTATTGTAACTATTTTTGATGACTGCATGATGTGACATGTCATAATCTAGAAAAAACACAACGTAACAAAAGTTATTTTTATGCTGAACATGATGCGCGTGTTGTGTAACTCCAGTGTTTATTTTTTTTTTGAGGCAATATGTGCGGTTTTTTACCAAATTTGATATCGTGCCAAACGTTGAAGATGCTCTGCAGTTTAAATATAACAATCGCACGCCATCGACTCAAAATAGGCAGCGCCGTTTATGCGGATAATTCCGTACGCGCATGTTTATAATTTAATGAGCGTGTTATGTAAACAGCGAATTCGCCAATCGAATTCACCACTTGAAGTTCGGTCATTCGCTGCTGACGCACTTCGGAAGCTTCGCTGCTCGTTGATTTGTTCGCAGTTACCAGTTGCCAATACGCACTATTTATAGATCGCATTCGCTATTATTGCCTTAAATCGATCTCAATTGATAACATGTGACATTAATGTATATTTTTCTCTTCGCTTGTTGCAGATTTATAGAGCGGAGTCGGCTCCACCTTCCGCACATTCGTGGGTCCTTGGCATCCACATGCTAAAATTGCGATTGGTCTCTACACACTTCTTGAAGCAGCCATAAATTAATTGCAATGTGTCGCGATAGGGATATGAATCCTCGAATTTAACGAAACCACAAGCACTTGGTTGTACAAGCGCAAGAGTATTCTTTTTTATATCGCGTATATTGTTGATCGTCACTCGAATTTTGTCGCTGTTTTATACGAAAACGATAACCACAACACAACACACAACAAACAAAAACAAAGTTTTAACGTAGTATCGTCGCTATCGATATTCGTGTGCTCATTACCATTAAACGGAAGACTCGAGTCATAATCGCATTATCATAGCAATCCACTCACGTAACATTTTGCGAAACGTTTCATTGACTTCATTCGTCATTGAGCGACGATTTCGAAGATTGTGTTCGCTGCTAACGCAGTGTAATGTAAGTATAATTCATTAACGCCACCACTACTAATCTAGATATTCCATTAAGTAATTATTTCGAATGTATATTAATTAAATTTTGTTTTGTTTGATTGTTGCAGTGTAGTCGCATGGTAGATCAGGACGTTATGAAAGGTCCGAACTCGCTGGAAGATACCAGGAGGACATCAGTCGACCGTGAAAGTAAATTCGCGCGAGTGAAACGAATGCTCACATGTCAGACACGGACACCGTTGACGTACGATGAGGCGAAGGCATCGGCGAAGGCTCGCAAACGCAAGGAGCGCCAGGAGAGCATCAGTTCGATATCGCAGGAAAGAAAAGTAATACGCTCCAACTCCGAGGAGCGGCCGATTTGTCAGAAGAATGAGAATAACAAGGATATTCGGCGCGTTTCGAGCAATGAGGACTTCCAGCATTCGCAGCCGCTGCAGACACACAATGACAACGTCGCGACCCTAGCGATTCAGGATGGTCCTATGAAAATATCCCCGCAGCGAGATATCACAATCGATGATTGCGAATTTGAACGGCGAAGATCGCACGAACGGTTTTCCCGACCGCTGGTGCAACGCGGACGGTACAATCAACCGCGCAAGCCAAAACCAAGCAGTTTTCGAAAAATTACAACGGTAAAGAGAAAAGCAGCAGCGGTAAGAAAGTAAAACATGAGCGTGCTGGCGATGACGTCGATGCGCCATCTGATGTTGCTAGTGTGGATGGTTGTAATTTTCTGCAATTGAAGCAAAATAATAAAGAAAAAGAGCGCTCGCCGAGTCCGGTGCATACACCGGCATCGCCTGCGTTAGACCTCACAACACTCCATCAGCAGATTGACAATGCCGAACCCGTATTATCTAATATTAATGACGAGGCGGCGGAGAACCAGCCGAGTCTTTCTGTCGCGTCCAACCGCCTACTGTCGTCGCCGCGTAATTCAGTTATCATAACGCAGCGGATTTATTTAAATCCAGACGTGCCGCTGCATCCGTCGTTAAAGGATCCGATTAATCCACTCGAGCAACGTCAGCGGCATATTGCTAAACAGATTAACAGCTTAAAGAAGAAGCTGAAGAAAGTCGACGATGACTTCGAGACGAAAAACGGTTATAGACCATCGCACGCTGATAAATTGAACGACAAAAGCATTAAGAAGTTGTGCGCGGAATTGAATAAATTGAAGAAGGAACAAAGGGCGTTGCTGGAGGATGCCACGTCGCCAACGACGGCGTCCGGCATTGTGAAACAAGACGCGAAGAAAACAACGTCGACGTTAAAGGACACCCTGCAGGAAATCGAGAAGGTATAATAAAACGTTTTATTCTTAAAGTTGGGCGTAAATAAAAGTTTTTCTGTTTGTGTAGAGACTGGATGTGAAACGAGGGTCGGTTAACCGGAGCAACAACGTTGAAGAATTGTCCAACGATCAATTGCTTGAGGAGAAGACTGCTGTGCAAAAAGCTTTACTGTATTTGGAGTCGGTTCATGGTAGGCCTTCGAATAAGGAAGATAAGGATGCTGCACGACCTCTGTATGATAGATACAGACTGCTCAAACGATCTCTTGCTCGGATGAATGCGGTAATTATTACAATCACAACAAAAATAAACATTTCATTAAAATATCTCTTTATTTTTATTATACAGGTTAGTAATGTTATTGAATTGGCAACAATTCACGAACATGAGACAATGGACTTCATCTCGCTTCCGACGCAAGTCGTAGAAACCGAATCGGACAAGATGGCTGCCCTGACAGGCAGCACGACAGACAGCGACACCGATACATCCATCGGCGAGAATCTCCACGCGCTTTCCCTCGAAGAACTCCGTGATCAACAGAAGTCTACCAACGAGGAAAAGAAGCAGCTGCGTCGATCGCTCAAAGAGTTCGAAGCGGACTTCGAAACGAAAACGGGAAGAAAGCTCCAGAAGGAAGATCGCGCCTCCATGGAGACGGTTTACACTTCCTACAAAAGAGCCAAGGCCAAACTGAAGCTGCTCGATGCGCTGGTGGGCAAGCAGGCTCTCTAATGCACACACACACATCATATCAAGCTTCATCATCATCTCACATTTATTCACATTTGGCAATTCGAAGATAAACAAAACCCTATGATAAACCAATCTACAGATCTAGTATAATTGATGTACTTGTGCTCCATATTAAGTTTGTACGTGTATTCTATTTTAGGTTGTCGTAGGCGTAATTTCTATGATATACAGTTGATTGTATGTATTTACTATTCGTTGTCTTGCGTGTGCGATGAGATGTGTTTCGTTTACAAATCGTTCGTGCGTTCCTTTTTGATGCCATGTTTTGCATAAATCACGACGCGTATCGAATGAACTATGATCACACAGCGGATGATCGATTTTTGAATATATTATATTGATTTTATAAAGGATATAAAACATTTTAGAAATTTTATATGAGCGACGCTCGCGAAACGATTGTTTAGTGCATGTATTGAATTAATACAAGTTGTTTTTATTATATGACAATTTATGCATTGTATTACACTGGATGCTATTCTTTAAAATATGCCAAAAATATAACTGAGGACTACTTATGCGCTGGGTATGTTTTTTCTGATGTAAACTGTGTCAGCGTGTGAACAATGTTATCTTGTTGACGTATTTATCGACTTTACTTAAGTTAAACGCGTTTTTTATGACAAGTAAATGGTTTATTCGACTTGATTCATGCGTGTAAGGGCGATTTTTACCTGGCATGCGGAACAAATAGTCGTAGATTGGTGTAATGTGTTTCAAATTGGAACAATTACTACAAATTAATTATTTGTACAGTAAACAAAGGAATATTGTAGTGTAATATATCAATGTGTTACGTTTTATCTATGGAAAACTTATGGAAACTACTGCAATGAACGTAAAAAGCTACAGTTTTTTCAACTTCAGGGACAGGTTAGTCGCTAATATCAATTTAATTGCAAATTATTAAATTTTTTATCGTAATTTTGTCCTGCAAATTAATGTTTTGTATGTTTGGTTCATTTATGCTGATTCATTTTACGTTCTAAATCCTTTTGTCAAAACAAGCATAATTCAGCCAAACTATAAACTAATTTCCAGGTAATATTTTTGTTTAATTTAAGTTGTACACAAGGTTATTACGTGTTTATCACGCTTGATGAAGATTTGCATGGTGTCGGTTTTTTATTTTATTCATGCCTGATTACTCCACGCGGTATCAGAATGAAATGTTTGGCGACAAACAAAAAGCCAGCCGGGAATGGAAAAGTAAAAACAAAAATGTCCTCGGAAAGATAAAGCCTTGGCTACCATATAAATATAAGATGGGATATGATTCGTAAAACGTTCAGTCGCGTCTCGATTAATTAGACCTCACACAAGTGGTTTAAACCAAAACTTTCCTTTCATTCGCGAATTGATTCTTTGAGATTTTCGAATATTGACCGAGTCGTTGCGAATTAAATATATTAATTAATCTGTTGCTTTTAGCGTTCATGTTGCTTTCTCTTTCGGTTTGACCTGAACGCGGTGGATAAACTGTTCTCCAGTTCAATCGAGTGTAGAAAGTTATTACAAAACATCGCAATTCCGCATCTAGAGTTCAGTTCGGTGCAAGGTGCGTAAGCGTAAAGAGCGCGGTTTTAATTCATCAAGATGTCGATTATTAAACAAAACTACAACGAAAAGGCAAGTGTTATCTTATTTATTTATTGTGTACTATTGCGGAGTGTAAATAATTGATAAGATTGTTGCAGTTTATCCAAAAAGCGACAAATGTAACGGAGCAAAACAACTATGTCAGTCGTGTTAAGCGTGGAAAAATCCTGGGTAATCATGGCGGATTTAGAGGATGTACCATTTGGTTCACGGGACTTTCTGGAGCCGGTAAAACTTCCGTTTCTTTTGAATTGGAAGAGTATCTGGTCAGCAAAGGGATCCCAGCGTACAGTTTGGACGGCGATAATATGCGCACTGGTTTGAATAAAAATCTTGGCTTTTCAAAAGAGGACCGTGAAGAGAATATTCGACGTGTTGCCGAAGTTGCTAAGCTGTTTGCGGATGCCGGACATATTTGTTTGTGCAGTTTCGTGTCGCCATTCACCGAAGATAGAATGATCGCAAGGAAAATTCATGAGAATAGTAACTTGCCATTCTTTGAAGTGTTTGTTGATACTCCATTGGCTGTGTGTGAAAAGCGTGACATTAAAGGTTTGTACGAGAAAGCGCGCAAAGGTATTATTAAAGGTTTTACCGGAATTGATCAAGAGTATCAGAAACCTGAACATCCGGAAATGGTCGTCAAAACAGTGGAGTTGTCCATTCAGGAATCCATGTTGCAAGTAGTTGAAATGCTAGAAGAAAATGTATGAAGTATATTTTAAATATTGGAAACTTTGTTTTAATGCTGTTAATATTTTAGAGTATTATTCCGAAATTGCGTCTTCAAAACAGTCTCGAAGTGAAGGAGTTGTTCGTACCGGAGCATCAATTGAAAGCTGCAATTAAGGAAGCAGCAAGTTTGGAATCATTGGAGATCAGTAGTGTTGATTTGCAATGGGTGCAGGTCCTGGGCGAAGGTTGGGCGACGCCATTGAGTGGATTCATGCGTGAAAATGAATTTTTACAGGTAAGCCCACAAAAATTTGAAAGTTGTTGAGTGAATATTTATTTAGTTTTATTTTTTTATTGTAGACTTTGCATTTTAACAACCTGTCTAACATCAATCAAAGTATCCCAATTGTTCTTACAATTAATACTGCACAAAAAGACAAACTTCAAGACTGTTCTTCAATTGCTTTATGCCACCGAGGAACTACTTATGCAATTCTAAAAGACATTGAAATTTATTACCATCGTAAAGAGGAACGTTGCGCTCGTCAATTTGGAACCACTAACAAAGATCATCCTTATATTAAAGTAAGTTTATTTTAAAAACATGATAAAACAAAGATTTTAATTTTGTTTAATTTGCAGTTGGTAATGGAATCAGGTGATTGGATTGTCGGAGGAGATTTACAAGTCTTAACTCGAGTTAAGTGGAATGATGGTTTGGACCAATACCGTTTGACACCCAATGAACTACGTAAGAAGTTCCATGAAATGGAAACAGATGCAATTTTCGCGTTTCAACTACGCAATCCAATTCACAATGGGCATGCACTTCTTATGACCGACACCAAGCAACAATTGGAAAAGAGAGGGTTTAAGAAACCTGTGTTGTTGTTGCATCCACTTGGTGGTTGGACTAAAGATGATGATGTCCCATTGAATGTCCGCATGGAACAACATCAAGCAGTATTAGATGATGGACTCTTGGATGCTGCAAGCACAGTATTGGCTATTTTTCCCAGCCCCATGATGTATGCAGGACCAACTGAAGTCCAGTGGCATGCAAAGGCGCGCATGGTCGCTGGGGCAAACTTTTACATTGTCGGTCGGGACCCTGCAGGTGTCCCACATCCACTTGGCAAAGAAGGCTCGCCTGATGGTAATTTATATGACGCTACACATGGTGGGCGAGTGTTGAAGATGGCTCCGGGATTATCGTCGGTTGAAATAATACCATTCCGTGTAGCTGCATATGACGCCAAGCATTGTAAAATGGATTTCTTTGATCCTAGCAGGAAGGATGATTTTGATTTTATTTCGGGCACTCGCATGCGTGGCTTGGCAAGATCAGGGACCAACCCACCGCAAGGATTCATGTCACCGAAAGCCTGGCAAATATTATCTACTTACTATCAGAATTTGAAAAATAATTGAAATATGTACATTTATAAATATGTAATATCTATATAAATATGAATTGTTGTCCGTTAGTCGCACTAATAGTAAACTGCATTGTTTTTATAAATTTTATTTGCTTCAGAAAATGGTCTCCATCTTACAATTAATTAGCTGCAGTTGGGAGCGTCGTAGAAATACTGCCTAGTGTGTGAGTTGTGACAATATTAAACTGTTATCCAGGTATAGTTTAGATGCACGAATATTTGTATGTATGTATATGCGTGGTGATTTCAGAGCGCGCATTCAGTTCCATTCCGGTTGCCGAGCGAGACACGCGTGTTCATCGCGACTAGTTTTATTTCTCCCTATTATAAATCGATCGTAAATCGATTTATATTCAATAAGCAATCGACGACATTTATTAGAATTGCGCGTGAACGGAATTTCGCCAGATAATAAGCACGAGTGAACTACTGTCGGTCGTCGGTGATTATTTTTCGCGTGTGGATTATACTGCATTCGTGTTGGCCTGCATGTGCACGGCGTGAGTGTCCGTCGGCTGTCGGTTATCGCCGAGGTTAACTTGGATTTATGTTTAATTCGAATAAGTGGATGTGTCCGGAGAAGAAGTTTACACTTACAACGGCCCTGAAGTTCCGAATATTCATCGCAGAAGAGTTGCAAATGTGCGCATATTTTAAGGCAAGTCTTTTGCGCCTTTTAATAGTTGTCGTTATTTTTCTATACAAAATATGTTTGTATTTGGAAATGTTGTCAATAAAATAAAATTAATATAAATTACTCATTCATATTTGTTTTTGGTATCCTTATACGCGTATTATACGCGTGGTGCAAGTGCAACATATCTGATACTAGTGTTGTTGTTTTTGAAAAGTTGATAAAAGTAGAAACATAAATAGAAGAATCAAATATTAATGATAAAAGCACTCGGTGGTCGAGTGGAGACGTGCACCTGCTGGCATGCTAGCAGACACGGATCGAATCTCAGGTATAGGAGGCATTTTTCTCAAATATAAAAATATCTGGTGTAATTTGGGTTGCATATATGAATTGCAACGAAATATAAGAGAAATTGAAACACAAGTGAAGGCAATATGAGAAATAAGAAAGTAAGTGGAGGAGCGGGAACAGAGAAATAAAAGAAGAACAAGGAGTAGCAGAGAAGAGTAGAGACAGAAGGAAGAGAACAGAGTAGAGAAGAGGAGGAGATAGAAGAAAGAAAGAATAGGGGTGACGGAATTTTTAAATTTTTTGGCACGTGTCGTTATAAGACAGTCTACGGTCGATCTCCCAGAGCGCCTCCGGCGCTCTGGTCGATCGCCCACTGCTTCCGTTCGTCCATTGCTCCCGGCCCATCCTACAGCTACGATGTCTCTGCGCTTCATCCCCGGAATTATCAGGCATATCAACAATTTTTATGGTGGGGGATCACCCCCAGAGAGGGAGAACTCCTTATAAGGACAATCCTTATAAGGCCTTGTTCAAATATTTCTAAGTTTTAAGTCGTCTCAAGAGAGGTGACACTAAGAAATATTCTTACAAGTTCTGACCTGTAGCTGGAATGAAAGATGGAGCACACAAATTATACAGGTTACCTTAACAATTTTTATAGAGGGGATCATCCCCTGAGAGAGGGAACTCTCTTAGAGACCTGTACCTGAAATGATAGAAGGGGTACATTCAAAGCATAAGACATGCTATTTCTTAACATTTCTTTATTAATAAACACAATGTAATATAATACAAGTTTAGTACCTTAACAATTTTTATAGTGGGATCATCCTCTGAGAGAGAGAACTCTCTTAGAGACCTGTGTCTGTAGTGATAGAAGGGGTACGCACAAATCAAAGAAGTAAATATATCTTACTATTTATTTATTAACAACAGAATACAAGTTTATATTTTACAAGTCAACAGAATACGTGCCGCCATATTGAAGCAGGACTTACGATCTGCATAGTCGCGCACATGCAAACAAGTACTACTAGTAAAGTAAGTAAAGTGCTACCGGGATAATGAAATTAACAAATAGCCTATTTTCTATGTGATTGAAAATGAAAACAAATATACAGGGTGTTACAAAAAGAAAATTTACAACGCAAACAAAAAACTATCACTAACACTACTAACGTCGCTTCTTTTCACAAGACGATCAGAGAAACTTATATACAGGGTGTTTTCGAAAGAAAATTCAAAGTGCAAAAAGGAAAATCCTAAAAACAACAGTTGAAGCAAAATTTTCACGGACACAAAAAAAACTAATATACAGGGTGTACCAGATAGAAAATCCCAAGTTCAAAACAATGAACATTCAAAACTCACAAATAAAGACAATCTTCTATGTGCGGTTAGGAAAACTAATATACAGGGTGTTACAAAAAGAAAATTTTTCAAAACTACAAAATAATCAATATTCATATAATGACACGGGAAATACATAAGAAAACAACATTATTTTAATAGAATAGGATAGAATATCCGGTGGAAAACATCTAAATCAACAGACGGCAAGAGACGGTGCGCGGCATTACTGTCTTTAAATAAGATAAAAATAACTAGGTAATTCTTTCTAAATATTCAGATATACGGAGACTACGAAAACGAAGAACTATTCACCGTACAAGATTTTATTACGTCCACAAGAGACTTCTTAATTTAATGATCTTAACAAGTGCAATTCGATTAAAAACGTTCACTTGTTCAGCGAAAGGATGACCGAGCCGACGGCCGCCGGCAAACTAAGCGCGGTCGACCACATGAATATTGTCATTTTAATAATCCACAAATAATTTTTAAAACCCTCTTTGTAATAATTAAATCATGCATGTTATTTTCGGAAACGGGACTAATAATTCTGATAGGAATGGAACCACGTGTTTGTAATTTGCAAGATAATACAAGCAAAACTAATATCCCTCAAATGGAATAATCAAGTTTCCGTGAAAAAAATTTATTACACACGTACCTTTGCATTGATGAGGAAATTCTATATCTTGTAATATATTCTACCAACTAAAAACTCGCGTAGGGATTAACAAACACTTATTTCTTAGTTAAGAAGACTCTAACCGCGACAAATCATTAAACAAAACAGCCGGACATGCCCGTCCCGAATATTTTGATGATGGCCGAAAGAATACACGTCGATTAAACCAATTAAAACCTCAAAACGCGTGGCGATTAGAGGGACACGACTGCGGACCACGCGGTGTAACGACTGCCGTGTGCGCTGCGCGTTGCCAGATACGCAGCGATAATACGCGTCAGTCGAACAAAAAAGTTGTTTATAATAAACGTAGTGGTAAACCCGTAGTTGAGAAGACCAAACTTAAATTTCACAATGTTGAAATAACCGACATACACGAGTACAAGTGTTCGAGTACGAGTACACGAGTACAAGTGCGTATACACACAACTATCAATATAACTCGCGTTACGGAAATTTCTCGCAATAAATTTCGATACAGGGAAATAAAGAATTAAATTCCGCATCTGGGAAAATTATTCCGAACTAAGTTTGAGACCGCGTTCGCGAGTTATAACAAGAAAACTACAATTCCTAGCGTAACGAGTACAAGTACAAGTGCGTATACACACAACTATCATTATAACTCGCGTTACGAAATTTTCTCGCAATAAATTTCGATACAGGGAAATAAAGAATTAAATTCCGCATCTGGGAAAATTATTCCGAACTAAGTTTGAGACCGCGTTCGCGAAATATAACAAAAAAACTACAATTCCTAGCGCAACGAGTACAAGTACAAGTGCGTATACATACAACTATCAATATAACTCGCGTTACGAAATTTTCTCGCAATAAATTTCGATACAGGGAAATAAAAAATTAAATTCTGCATTTGGGAAAATTATTCCGAACTAAGTTTGAGACCGCGTTCGCGAGTTATAACAAGAAAACTACAATTCCTAGCGCAACGAGTACAAGTGCGTATACACACAACTTTCAATATAACTCGCGTTACGGAATTTTCTTGCAATAAATTTCAATACAGGGAGATGCAAAATTAAATTCTGCATCAGGGAAAATTATTTCGACCTTACTGTGAAACCGCGTTCGCGTGTTATATCAAAAAAACTACAATTCTTAGCGCACGAAGGTCGCGGTATAAATGACTCGTGTTCAGGGCACCCTACGAAGGTCGCGGTAGAAGTGACTCGTGTTCAGGGCACCGTACCAGGGTAACGGTAAACTACAATTCCTAGCGCAACGAGTACCAGTACAAGTGCGTATACACACAACTATCATTATAACTCGCGTTACGGAATTTTCTCGCAATAAATTTCGATACAAGGAAATAAAGAATTAAATTCCGCATCTGAGAAAATTATTGCGAACTAAGTTTGAGATCGCGTTCGCGAGTTATAACAAGAAAACTACAATTCCTAGCGTAACGAGTACAAGTACAAGTGCATATACACACAACTATCATTATAACTCGCGTTACGGAATTTTCTCGCAATAAATTTCAATACAGGGAAATAAAGAATTAAATTCCGCATCTGGGAAAATTATTGCGAACAAAGTTTGAGACCGCGTTCGCAAAATATAACAAAAAACTACAATTCCTAGCGCAACGAGTACAAGTACAATCGCAAATATCTCGTAAACTAAAAGAGATAAATAAGTTCTGATCGCAGCGTCTTAATCTACGGACCAATCTCTATCAGATAGGATAGTTAAAACCGAAATCTGAGAGATGAAATTTTAAGTCTTAAGAAAAAATTGCCAAGGGGGGGTGCTTGATACTTTTTTTCGACGATTTTCAAAAATTCATATCTCTTAAACAAAAAGAGATAGCTACCAACGAATTGTTGATTATGAAAGATTGGAAAATTCTCTATCAGATAAAAATATAAAATAATTACATTTCCTACAGTAAAAGGTCGAAAAACGCGACTAAAAGTGCTAAAAAGTGACATTTTGCAATTTTTGCCCATTTTATTCAATCGCGAATATCTCGTAAACTAAAAGAGATAAATAAGATCTGATCGCAGCGTCTTAATCTACGGACCAATCTCTATCAGATAGGATAGTTAATACGGAAATCTGAAAGATGAAATTTTATTCATTGTCATAAGGTGCCCGAACACATTCTACCGCTGCCCTCGTACGGTGCCCTGAATGGGAGTCACTTCTACCGCTACCTTCGTACGGTGCCCTAAACACGGGTCACTTCTATCGCCACCCTGCTACAGTACCTACACCGAATAAGACTCGACTTAATCAACAAAAAAATTAACAAAACCCCTCTTGCACTATCTGAATCCGATGAAAAATTTGAACATTTCACAAAGGTTTCCCGCAATATGATCCGTTTTCCATATTACCAGGAATTGAAATATACACGCCCTCCTCCCAACCCGCCTAATTCGCGTAATATTGCAACACGCAGGTGAAAGGCCTTAAAACATTTAACCGAATAATAATAATTTAATTATAAACTCACCAATGCAGCGTTCATCGGATTGCAAGGGTACGGCGAGTACTGTAATTAAAAGAAAACATAAACGATAAATCCTTTTATTTTTGATAATTATAGAGATTCATCATGTAAGTGTTTCAACAATTCAATACATAAGTTAAAACAAAAACAATTCATACAATGGAAAACAAACTTTCTGTGCTGACTATCGCAATGGTCAGATAAAAGTTACTTACTCAAGCACGTTATATGCTTCCGGTATGTTTCCGGGTGAACTAGCGACCGACCACGTCACACAATAACCGACAATAAAACCGCAGCATTGTAATTTGAAATATAAACATCAAACGCACAATTAATCATTAACAAAACATTGCAGATGCATATCACAACTAAGTCCATTGATGACCGAAAATGCAAACTTATAAAATAGAAATCCGATAAAACGACACGCGTTGCGCGAAACACGTCTGGATACGCCACAGACCGGCACGAAACTGGCTGCAATCTATAGATAGCGCTTACCGACACTGCACAAGCAAAGATGCGACAGTTCACAATAAGAATCTGTATCTGCTGCAGGTAAAAGCAGGTAAAAGCAATAGATGCGCAAAGCCGACGGCGCGTCGATGGCACGCAACCTTGCGCACGAATTGCAATAGACACGGTTCCTGTGATCTAAACTAAACTAGAATATGCGGCATGCGGCGTGCAAAGATTACAACGACGACACTCGGGAATTTAATACGTTGTATTCCGCGCGGTGAATGCGATAAAAAAGTGTATGTTGTGTTCAAAACAAACACAATTCTCATGCCGAATGCCCACATTTGCTGATAAATATAGAAATAAATAATACAATTTTATTTTATGAATTTAAATTCATGTCATCTCTGAATGAAACAGATATTAATAAAACAATAAAATTACAAAATTATGAATTTTCCTACCGCTACCCGAGTACGGTGCCTTGAACCGAGTCACTTTTACCGCTACCTTCGTATGGTGCCCAACGCAACTTGTAGGAGCGACAATAAGAACGAATTCCAAATTCTTAATATTACGTAAAATTCCATATAAAATAAACTAGTTAAAATGAAAATCGACGAGATGAAAAAATACTTCATAAGCAAAAATTGGCAAAGTCTGATGCATATTTAGGTAGTTTTACAATAAATATAATTTAAATAATAAATTACCTGTAGATATTGTCCCCTTTGCTCACGAAAGTGTCACGACTTGAGAAGGACAATGATGATGTTAAAGATATCCTACTATAGATCGCTCACATCCGCATGCACACCACACAAATCACGACTCAGAATCATTCCACTCCCGCACCGCGATTTTAAACAAAAGAAACATAATGATCCATTAAATACTCGTTTATCGCAATCTGCCGAACTACAATCGCAAGAAACATGTGGAGACCCGAAGTACGCGCCCGTGTTAGCAGGCATCCGGCCTGAAACTGTTTGCAATCTGCTGGCTAGCCGAATACGTGAGAACAACAACCGCCGATAACTTTGCCCGCTACCCGCACCCCGCCTCGATAAGATCTTCATCGTATTGCAATCCAACGCTATGGCAATACGCACTAAAACTGCGTCGAAGCAATAAAAAAGTTGTTTACATACAACACTGATATGAGAATCGTGTACACGACGAATAAGACTAAACGTTAGTTAAATGTAGAAATATTAAATATGTAAATGTCAATATTCTTTAAGCAATATAAATATAAAAGAAGAAAAGACTTGTGCCTTCAAGTTACCTAAGTATATAAATTATATAAAATAAATTATATTTTTGCTAGTAAATTCTAAGTAAGATGAAAGATGCGTAAGTCTTCCGCAAAAAAAAATCTTTCAATTGCAGAAAAGGTGTTAATCATTAGCAGGAATTATAAATAAATTAAATATTACACTTACCAGTGTATCACCGCAACACCGAAAATCAAAGATAGTTCGATACTGAAATAAAGAAGAAACAGAAGGTTACTTAGATAACTTTGAATAATGTTTAAATTAGAGTTATTTGTCATAAATATTCGAACGATGATAATTACCATTAGTTGAAGACGTCAAAAGCAATCACAGCACATCGACGATTGGCATCCGACGGCAACTCACTCAAAAACACACGCGAAAATATTCATCACACATTAATTTAGCGGTCACGAAGAAACAATCCACGATAAATAATTAGCAAACTCATAAACACAATTTTTAACACTAAATATTGAGTATTGCCAATAAATATAACACGATTAACCGATTTTAAGACGGCAAACAATAAATTTTTATCGCTCAACAAGTTTTAGTTGAAAACACATATCGTTGCACCATCTATGAATTCTTTACAATACTGCGACAGAATTTGTTATTTTAAAGTAAGATGTGCATGTGTGTCAGTGAGATTGCTAGACTGAGTCAATGTCACACGTACACAAAAATGTGCATGCATCACACAATTTAAATGAATAGCATGTTTATATAAAAATGTACAACTCAACCTGAGAAGGCGCTAGAATATACACATTTAAAAAATTTATATAAACTGTTGTGTTCAAAGTTTAAAATTAATTTGCACATATTTAAAACAAGGTGAAGTGCATCAAAGACCAATGTTGTAATAAATTTTTATTAAATTGAATATATATTTAGTTTGAAAGAACCTGCGATCATAAAGTTCTACTCTGTTTTTGGATTAACTTTAATTATAATTATACGTCACAAACTTTAAACAATCTCTGATATGAAATCCACAATTTCATCATCGTCCTAAATCCATATTTTCATAATCCACAATTGATAATCAATAAACGAAATAAACAGTATTCGATGAACGCAAGAATGACGATATTACTACGGTAATAAAATCGAAACAGAAAGGCAAGAGACAACAGTGAAACGTGATGTGGAAGCATTCGAAAAACGCAAAAGCGACCGCTGCCGCCTTCGATAAATCCGTCGATCAAACTTTAAACTAATTAACAATGAACAAGAGGCTCAGATCGTAGATTACATAAGCAGTCAATATGACCAAGAAAGGAATCTGCATTTTACACTTTGCCAGCGCGCGCATTTTTGTTTCATCTCTGTTTCTTCGCGCACAATTCAAGTGATAAATCTAAATCATGCTCGTTTACAATTTATTTCTGCACCAGTTTCATCATATATCATATTCATCATATTATCATATGCGCATTAATACAATGTCGTTTATGTTTTCAAATTATTTCCCCTTCAGAATTTCGTTTTTTTTGAAAAGTTCGTTTTCTTTTATCATCTTTTTTGTTTACATGACTGACGACGAATCACTTACTTTGTTAACAATTTGACAAGGCACGCAAAATAGTACTTCTTCGCACATTCTCCTTTTTTTTTATCATCGAGTCCTAGCTTTACAACTATAACAGCAACATAAACTAAAAAACAAAACAAATTTTAATCTGAACGTAAAAACAACATGATTCTCATAAGTCTGAACGCAAACCAAGAAGAAAAGACAAATAAAGCGAATTAGATTACGTTATGAATATGTACAGTTGAAATTTTTAAATCAAAAAGTGAAAAAATTAACTTTTTTCTGCTAATTTCTGCCACAATTTTAGACGCACTGTGTAAACTTTAAATTCTGCTTAGACTTGTACAACGTTTAAAGTTTAGATAAATCATGAAAATTTTAAATAACGAGTTATACAACAGGTTTCATAAATACATATTTGAATAATAAACAATTCGGCGCGCGCTCTTTCGACGGATATCACGCGAAATGAGCGCAATTAACTAGTTATTTTAATGATCAATGATTCTATTATGGATAAACCATCGAAAGAACGCACGCCGAACTTGGATAGTTCATATTAAAATCTGAAAACTCCAACAGCAAAATAAAGTGTTCCCTAAAACACTGCACCATCATCTTTATCATCATCATCATCACTTCTCATCTCATTAATAATGAATATGAATAGATTAATATTCGTACTCAAAAGTCATTTGTTTGTTTCCCTCCGTTTGCAATTGCGTTTGTAACAAGAATTTTCAAAGAGAAGAGTTTTGTAAATGTCTAAATTCTTTTTTTTAAGTTTTCTAAACGCTAAACGCTCATCAACTTCGATTCGTACGCGTTTCATGCAACGAAACGCCCCGATCGTGTAAAAAGCTTGGCTTTTCATTTAGCTGCGCGCCATATTGACAACATGGCGCGTGTTACTTTTAATAATTTGTTATTTGTTCGACGTGTAAAAAGACTTCCGCTTGCGGATGCCTGTGTAAAAATATATCCTATACATATTTCGTAATTGTCTAATTTACATTCCTCCTAATATTCTCTAAACGTAGGCGTTTTGGGTCCTAGTCGTTTGTTGGTTGTGTTTTTGTTTGTTTGTATCTTCATTTGGTTTTCATTGTCATCGGTTTAGGTATTTTTCCTGGCGTTAATTTCAAAAATTACAAAGTACATACAAGAGTTTGCAAAAAGACCCACGCACACAAACAATGGCTGCGTCGTTTTGTTTCCGTGGTAAAAATCTATCTCATCAGAGTTCTTCAGTATTCATTTCAATCATTCCTCGTGTTTCCTTTTGGTTTCTAATAAATTTCATGGCATCTCGACGATGGCTCTCGAGTAGACCGCGCTCACAAACTGCTATGTCAGCAGTTTGAAGAACATGATGGCCAGCGATATATTCACGAAGAGGATGACGATTACAAGCTGTTGGCGCGAGAACCAGTCCTGCAAAATGTTCACAAAGTAAATATCTGCTTCACACTCAAGTGAGGTTAGGTTTAAAGGTTATGTTATGTTATGTTATGCAAAATCGTGAGTGTGTGAGTGTGAATGTGTCTTGATAGCTAATTTTCGATGCTTGAATATATGCTAAACATCGCGAAATACTCGTTGGTTCGCTTTAACATTAAAAAATCATTTTTATGCAACCTAAACTACAAATTTTAAAGAATTATTTAATATAATATAATATGATGTGCAGTTTGTGCATAAAAGTTAAACAAACGCATGTGTAATTTTTGTGTTGTGTGTTTTTGTGTATTAAAAAGCGAACCAACCCGAGTACGTTTTATGATTAGCAAGCACATTAACACTGATTGCTCTAGCAGTAATTATACATATACATTTACGACAATATAATAAAACAAAGCATCCAAAAAGCTTATTGTGTTTTGTTCTGCATACGCCTTGCTTTCGTTTACCAATTACCACCAATTGCGTCTTTACATGTATCAAACTATTAAACGAAAAACAAGAAAAGATTACAACCAAACAAAATGGCGGCGACACCTACGGCGGACATAACGATACACAGAGCCGGCGCACGAGCGTCATCTTGTCATCACCCGCATCGTCACAAACATCATACGCAAATGTAAAGGCTAGTCAAAAACATACTCTAACGTACCTATTGGTTCTCTGTAAGGCGGTTTCGATATAAGAAGAAAACAAACTCAGATTACGTTCACGTCCTCAAGGCAACAAGGGCGTAACAGAGGTGTGAGAGACAGAAAAAACTCATCGAAATCATAGCGTGATGATGTAGTCAAATAAGTAAGAAATAGTTCATATAGTCGGTCAGTGCAGTGTGTCAAAAGAGGTTAAGAGTTGAGGTTAATATTTGGGGTACAAGACATACGACATATATCTGCGGGGACCGTCCCAATATGATATTGGACGGTCAAAACGTAAAACAAGTACCTTCATTTGTGGACTGATTAAATACAGCAGGGGATTGGCACGCAGTCGGTCCTTCTCATCGGCTTGCCTTCGTACTTCTTCGCGACGCGCCGATCCCAGCGCAGACACCTCCTCCCTGGACATCTCCGAGGTGGCCTTGGGCAGTTCCTGGAATTCCGGCAGCGACTTCTTCCTCGACAGCGTCGTTGGCGGGATTATATTCTAAGCATAACATAAGTGAGGTTAAATTGTTTGTTTTTCAACAGTGCGGCGTCGCGACGAGGTCGCGCGTATTTATAAACGCTAGCTGGTCCATTGGCACATTGAGTATTTGAGTATTTCGGTACATTCCGGTGTGTGACCGGGGTCCGATTGTGGTCAAATATGGCGACGGCGCGTCTAATATACCTCGATCGGCGGCGTATCGATCCAGCTCTCGGAGGCCCTCCGGGCCATAAGCGCCGGCGAGCACATGAGATCCTCCTCGTCGTCGTCGCCATTCTGGTACCACATTGCGGCGCACGCGACGCACACTATGTATTTACAACAACTAGTCACAGCCAGGCCGGCTCGTATTTTTACCCAGCTAAAGCATATTTAGATACGCGCTCCTTCCCCCTCCACCACCACCAGACGAGCAAGAAAAGCAAAGCGCAACGTGGCGCATACTGAGATAGAATTCATTTTTGGATCGGGGCCACTAACCTTGAGAGCAGGCGCTGGTGCGGGCGCACCAGGTGCGCCGCCGCCGGCGTTGTACAGACTCTCGGTGCGCTTGGGCTGATTGGGCGATGGAATGATGTCTTGGCCGAGGCTGCGCTTCGTCAGCAGGATCTCCTCGAAGGGCGGCTGATTGCTGGCGCCCACCGCCACACCATTGCCGTTGCCCGTGAGTGTCTTAGCATTGCCGCTTACGATTGAACCATTACGCGCCGCAGGCGGTGGCGTGGGCGCTGGCGTAGTTCCTCTCATCTGAGGAGCAGGAGTTGTTCCTCTAACCGGCGCAGGTGTAGTACCACGCATTGGAGCTGGAGTAGTCCCCCTTGCTTGCGATGGTGCCCTAACCTGCCTATCGGGAGTCATGGATTGTCTAGCGGCGCGATCCAGCGAAGGTTGACGGGAACCCAAAGGAGGTTGTCCAATGTTACCACCCGCGCGACCCGTCGCTCGTGAATACCGATCTACACTGGAGTCTCTACTAGGTGGTCTCTTGTAGTGATCAAAGTGGTCTATCGAGGACTGCTGCGAAGTAGAACCTAAGTAAGGTCGATCGGGTCTACCTCGACTCAGCGCTGAACCTCTCCTTGCTGGAGCCTGTGGTTCACCACCTCTATTTTGATTCTTCAACTGTTCCAACTGCTTCTGTAGGTGCTCCTGGATATGTTCGGCGTTGATTTGATCGGCGTGGTCGGTAGGCTGTTTATTACTGGTCGGTGATAGGTAATTAGGGTTGTTGTGCATGGTTTTGGATGGATTCGTGTCGATTTGATTGTGTTGCGGCGTTGTTTTCTGTGGGGACGAATGTGGTGTAGGTGCGTGTTGTAATTGCATATGTCTCTGCACCTGCGCCTGCGTTTGCTGTTGATGACCCGCTAGATTCATCGTTGATGAATTCAACTTGGGTACTGATACCCGTAGCGTTGGATTGGTTGTAACCGGGATGCTGTTTTGTGTAATATGCGCACCACCGCCGCCTCCCGATCCGGGGTTGTGCGATATCGAATCTTTCTGATTGTTGAAATCCGCGTATTTTTCGCGTTTGGCTTTCAGGCGATCCAGCCCGGGTTGTTTAAAATCAGGCGCGTATTGTTTGGCTACTACTAGCGCAACATCGGAGTCTTCATGCGCATGCGCAGAGAGTATATCCGCTTGTTCGGCTTTACCACGTGCGGTAGCCGTTCTAGAAATGGCGATATCCGCCTTTTGCATGGCGATTTTCGATGATCGTTGCGCTGAACTAACGGCACCGTCCAAACGCTCGCGGAATTTCGCGGAACGCATCAGAAACAGATGTCTTTTCTTGGGGTTAGTGATGAGGACATTATTCTTGTACTTGCCCTCTTCTTTCTCGCCATTACTAAATGTCGTCACACCATAACCGTACTTTTTGTTATTATACCATTCTCCCTCGTATTTTAAACCGTCGGAACGTTCGCTGACACCGAAACCTGTACGTTTATCGTTTTTCCATTCGCCCATGTACGTTTCCGTCACTCCAGCGTCCATATGTTCATCCTGTGGTAAACACAAAAACAATACAATGCATAAAACACATTTGAGGTTATAATCTAAAAACTAACCTCAACAACAAAACTGGCATTGGAATCAGACGGCAGTGACGCATTAGTCATGGCAGACTGCGCCGACTCAGTACTCTGCCATGATTGCGAAGACGCCGTGGAACGCATACTTCCGGAAACACCACGCTTCTCCAACTCACCCATACTTTTCTGTTTTCTCCTCATACCCTAACAAAAACATCACCAACATCAACATAACCTCAAGTCAAGAAATGAAATAATTTCTTACTGAAAAAATAGTTCGTTTTATATTTGCGGCACCTATCGAGCGCCGCCTGGGTTGCTCGTTGGAGTTCATCTTGAGCACGAAGCCGCCCCGCGAGTCATCCACACGCTGGTCGCGCTTCGTCGTCACGTCGGGGGCGGCACCGCTCGCCTCGTTGCTGCGCAGCGACGTCATGGACGCCCGCAGCGCCTTGTTGGCGGTGCGGTACTTGGACGCCTTGCCGAAGGGCGCACTATTCCGCACGCCGTAACCATGTCGCATTCCTCTCAGCCATTGTCCTTGATATGTACCTAATTCAAGGCCAAATTAGTTCAAGGACACAATTTATATTTAAAAAAACCGAAAAATTAAAAAAACTTTCCGCAACAACCTGTATAACCTACAACACGAGAGAGTGTGGGGAAGTGGGTCAGATTTATAAATACCCCGCCGTCGTCGCCGTGGGTAAATACAATTAGTGCTACTTGGAATTTTTTCCGCCGCGCGCAGATTTTCATTTTCGTCGCGTATTGCGTGCATTGTGACACGTACAACGTGATTAATTAATATCACACGCATGTAAATCATTACCAATCATCCACATTGCATGTCAACTTGATCAACAGTCATTAAAACCGGCGTGCGTATGGAATGTTCCGCACCGTGGAAAGTAAACACCGAGTGTAAAACACACTCACTCCCCTTTGATCCGCGCATATGGAGTTGTCCTTCTCATTGATCCGCTCATTCAGCGTGCGCGCCGCGTGGAAAAACGTGCGCCGCGTGCGTGCAACGATTTTCGCCGAAATTCCACAAAAGATAAAACGCACTCAACTATGACTTACCATCATCAGCGTACGTTTCCGAGCCGTAGCCATCTTGTAGACCATTCGCCCATGTGCCCTCATACTTGGCGGTTGAGGTGTTGGATTGTCGCACACCGTAACGTCCCTTGAAACCCTGCGTCCACTCGCCGCGATAAATCCATCGCCCACGAGACTCCACACCCAACCCGTGTCGTTTACCATTCTGCCATTGTCCCTCGAATGTACTCCCGCTGCAAACACATGTCAGGTTATGTCCCATTAACCTCGAAAATGCGCAGGATTTCGCAAACCCGCAGTATATAAATTCGGTAATGTAATAAAAGCGTCTACTGTAATAAGTGCGCTCTAAATATACATTTTCTAGGTCCTGTGTTACACGCTGAACCAGTTTGCATGTGCCATGTGCCTGTTGTATTGAAGATGAGATTTTTCGCATTCGGTGATTAGTCAGTTGAGAATTTTTTTTGTTTAGACTACCATCACAACACGACTCACGTATGCATTACGCACATAACCTATGATAAACATTTTTTTAGATGTTTTTGCGTGATTTATGACTCGGTATGGTTCATTCATACTTAAATATAAACGAAAGTTTCAGTTTCGCTGCGATTGGGATGAATCGTGCGCGCGGTGAGATGCGTAAACGCATAAACATGAGTCATGCGTTTCTGTTGTGTGAAACGACAAGTAGTTGATCGACACCTTGGCTTTTTTAGCTATATATCTGTTTGATTTACTTGCGCATGCGTTTTATATATGTAGATGTATAGTAAATTATATTGCTACTGTTTATGCTTTATATGATTGTGTGTAATGCAAGCCGCAACCTTCGATAGCTCAGTTGGTAGAGCGGTGGACTGTAGAATTGATAAATTGTGGACATCCATAGGTCACTGGTTCAAATCCGGTTCGAAGGAACCTTTTTGATAAATAAATGTTTTTAAAATTAATGTAAAAATAATATTTACTTAATTAAATTGTACATTTAGATTCGCTGATTCATTTAAGTGATAAGTTTTCTTGTTGCGTTATTTTTTCGCTTATATTCACTTAGGAAAATGCGAATTTTATGATAATTGCGTTTCGATAAGACATCGCCGCCGGCGGCGGTGGCCGGCGTCCGGTTTCAAGTGTTTATAGGGATAGTCGCGTACGCATTCGCGCTGGCAAGTGGCGGCGGCGTCCGGAAAGAGTGAAATGCGCATTTAAATGGCATTAATTTCCATTCCATTTGCTTCGATACCGCAATGCGTATCGTACACAGTTGCCGACCTCTGGGCCCGTGTGGCACTATTTTATTATTTGTTCTGTTGGCCCAGTGGTATACCACAACTACGCGCCAAATAAAAAAACAAAGAAAAAAAATCCATAAAAAATGCCGTAACATGAATAAAATTTAGTGTCAAGTGCGCTAAGCGGCACTTTAGTCACGTTTAGCGACGATATGCTTACGTATTTTTCTAGTTTTACTTTATTTCCACGTTTAGTTTTTGTATTTAATTTTTTTATTATATTTTAAAACTCGACCTCGTTACTAATACCCGTGACTAAAGTACTATAGTCACAGTTTTTGCCATTCGCTATTAAATTGCCACTTTTCGTATCTTAAAACCGTTGAAAAAGTAATGCTTTAAAGAAAAATATTAAAATTTCTTGTATCACGTTGTATAATAACTAATAAACTATCAATATGTCATTTGCTAGTTAATTTTCCTCTTCCCGACGTCCATAATTCACCGCTCATTGCGCTCGCGACGCGGATTCCAGTTACGTACGCTTAATAAATCCTCCTTTAGGGATTTGTCCTTGGCGAGCCGCGCGGTGTCAGTGACAATCGCCGAGGGTTGCAGAAGTGCGCTTGGTGGGCGGCGATTTAATGAAACACCTACCACCCACGCACCGCCGAGCGATACTTATTTATGGCGTGAAACTGATATCCACTTTTCTTCCAGCGTCTGCTTACTCTTCCGAACGTGCGACATTTTTCTTCCTCTTTCCGGCTTTCGCGATTATAAAGCTTTTGTTAGCTTTCTCAGAAAAAGAAAAAAGGTGCGATCACGTGTATCAAGTTTTCGACGAGTTAATGTAGCTGAATAATCGTATTCTGCGGATTAGCGACTTGAATTTGCGATTTGTAAATAAAAAGTCCTCAAAAATTTTTTTATAAAGAATAAAATTTAGTATTTGATGTATAAAATAAAATAATATGTCTATAAATATTTGATATTTTTAGTTTACTCTGTATGCTTTTTAATGTTTCAAAAAAATATAAGTTTATCAAAGCAAAAAAATATTAAGCACCCCCGAGTGTAATAAACCGCCGACGTCTTTTTTACAACTTTATTATTGTGCGCAGTAATCGTAAAAACATATTGCTTCGCTTTTTTGTGTGATCGCGCGAGTATTTTACAAATTGCGAAAAAAATCGTGTGAGTTTTATGCTTTATGGCTTCGGCCGCCTGCCCCTTCCAGTCATAATCTTTAAATCTTTAAATCCTCTCAGGTTTTATTGTATTTATTAGAGTGGCCATTTGTGATGCTATTTAAAATGTTGATTGTTTGAATTAAAGCCGGGCCTGTCATCATGTGAACGTAAAAATTCAATACGAAATGCAAACACATGTTTGTGTTATCAAATAATCAACAGGTATAATGATAATAGTTTATTGACATGCAAGTCGAAAGTGAATTTATTCTTTAAGATAATAGTCATATTAACTTTTGTTTAAATATCTTGTAAAACGGTGAAATTTGTACAATTTGGATGGTGTATATTAATTTCCTCTGTGTATCGACGTAAAATATTTTCATTTCAAGCAATTATGAGCTAGAATATTTTTTCAAAGACATGACATCGATGGTAACATTTGAAATATTGTTGTAATTATAATCCCAACATCCCTACAAATTGCAATGCAAATTTCTATAACTTAAGCACGATTTTTCAGCTAATTTGTTGGGGTGCACGTTGCGTTACTACAAAATCATTTAAACATAACACAAGTGAATACAACTGAGCGACGCGGAATTCATATTTAGACTTCAAGAAATATTTACCGGCATTTTACTAGAGTAATTATGTTTATAACCAGCTCAACAAAAGATTAAACAGTTGCCTATCCACATAAAATTCCAATATTTTGTTACTTACACTGTAATAATAAAATTAAAATTCAAGGTCAAGTATAAATTGTCCTTGAATTAACCTTTAATAATATAGTATAAGTAATTATTTCTCTAATCATTAAAAAACAATTATTAAATGCATGTTTTCCAAATTTTTATGTTGAAATTATTACTTTATCCGCTTGGTTTGACAAACATTTGTAGGTTACAGCACAAATTACCCCTCATTACGGACTAATAAGAGTAATACGACCAATTCAATTTGTAATTCCCAATGCTCAACAAGTAATTCATCGATTTTTCAGTTTTCGTCACCTCCAGTCGTCCACCAACCCGACCAACATACTAACTAGCCACTAACTATTGCATTCGTCAATAACAACAAAAAGAATTTAATTGTACATTAAGTACCTATTTGTGTTAATATCTAAATGCTTAAACATAAAAAGTATTAATTTATCCTTCTAATTATCAAAATTTCAAACGTTTTAAAAATTATTTCCTATTTTTGCTAAATTTTCTAAGTTTAAACATTATTACAATCTGTTCGCGACTTTAAAATTAGAAATTTCATTTAACTTTCACAATACCCCGCATTCTGTTACGATTTACTACTTTTCTAAAGAAACAAAAAAGCAAACAACAAAAAAAAACACACACAAAGAAAAAACAGTTAAGATTTTTGGCCTTAACCATCATTTCTCCTCGGACCCTTTCTATCATCCTCGCTGAACGACTGAACGAGCACGTTTCGTACGCAGGGCGTTTTCATACATTTTTTATGACTTTTCTCTCTTTATGTGCATTACGTAGAATTACATATTCTCTCAGTTCTATACAAGAAAAGCACACAATACAACAATAACAAAAATATGAGAAATCTCGCCACCACAAATTACATTCTTACATTATCACATTATTTATATATCAACAACTAATTCAAGACTTTCTTCGATAGTAAAAACTGATTAAAATCCCTATTATGCAACATTTTCGCAATATAAACCAGCTCATCATCGGAATACTCTCGTTTTCGCTTAGATCCGCCCGCCATCTTGTAATTAACATTCGCTTTATCCCCACCAAGACTAAATTCACTCTCAACATGCAAAAAATCCGCTTTTCCAGGCAAATAAACTTTCTCCATATTTTTATCCTCATCCTCATCACAATCTTCTCCTGATACAGAATCATCTCCACTTTCATTTTCTTTTACATTCTGTTGACTGGGAATACATTGCAAAATAACATCGCTGGTGTTATGATTCACGCCATCGTTGTTTCTATCCTGATCGATAGTGGTGCACGAATGACACGCATCTAATTGCGCCAACACGACGCCATCACAATCACAATCCACGCTTAAACTGTTTACGTGTTTTCCGTGTGCATGCGAGCAGGCAACGCCATTTTGATCGCAATCGCCACCATCTTGTGCAGCGCACAATTGTTTCAATACTTGCAACGCATCCGTATTGTTGCACATCGGGCTGTTTCGGTTGCTCGAATCGGGGATATTTATAGTACGACATGCGTGCGCGGCGTGCACCTCGCGATGGTCATCGCGCTCCAGATATTTCACCAACAATTGCAGAATATTACCGAGAATACACGCTTTTTCATTGCAAGCAGTTCTTTGGCAACAAGACGCACTCGAAACACTATTAAAACCAGCAAAAATAATCAAAAGCATAGAAAATACAATATTTTTGTGTATTTTATGCATTTTGGGTTGCCTATAGGCTAAATATTCTCTATAAGAACTGCAGACGTATGAAAAACTGTCGTCTTTTATAAGCATTCGATTGTTTACAGATTACGCGTTGATTCACGCTTACACCGAATTTATTAATAAAACATCTAGGCGCAAGCGTGTTGCTTGAATAAATATAACAGGTTAAGTATCTAAACAATTCGTTCGGAATTTAATTATACACTTGGCAGTGATAGAAATTCGCGGAAATTGAATTCGAACGCAACAAAAAGTTCAATGATTCCTCGGTTTTGATGTAAACCAAGTTGCATAACTTGCGTGAATTTCGCTGGAAACACTCGGTATATAACTAAATGAAGTATGATGAGTACGTTTCGGGCGCGACGAGTAAAAATCTTTCCAACATACACACACAGACACATGCGGAGCCATTCCTAGGTTACGATTAGAAATAGAAAATGGCCTTTGAATAATGGTCGCGAGTCGTCGTGCTCGTCGTGGTCGTTTTTCGCGATGATATAGCCGCGCTATATAAAATCGCAGCCGGCGTGTTCGTGCAATAGCAGACGATCTGGATCTGGCGAGAAATAGAACGAGATCCGAGATGCGGGTACACGAAAATACAAATCTTATTCATAAACTTCAACGAAATATTCCCCGCGAAAACTATGCTGTCATTATAGCATTGTGTATAGATGAAAAATGAGGTTATGTAAAATTTAATCAACTTTTTTCTGCTAAAAACACAAAAATTAATTTTTTTATCGCAAAAAACAATAAAGCATTACTTATGTGCTCATTTAGTGGTGAATTGTCTTTAGATACAAAAAACCAAATTGAAAAGACAAAGGAAACGCTGGTGTTGCGCTTGTTTCGCTTGTTTTCCCGCAGCTCGCATGAATTATTGTTAAAAGCTCGCTGGGGCCGGCCCGAAACGAAACGCGCTTTTCAGCTTTTAGTACCCCGTTTCTATTTTTACACGCCAAACTATTACACGCGCACACAGAGGAACATCTGTTTGCGTCGGTGTGCGCGTGTGCGGCGCATACATGTGAATTCCACGTTTATACGCGGATTTCGGCCCGCTCGGCCGCTCAGCTGGACTGAAATTAATTTATACATATTTCGCTCTGCCAGAGCCGCGATATGTCACTCCCCTGGCATGCGTTCACACAGCGCGCGGAGCGTTCTTTACATTACATCGCCGAACTTTTTGTTTCGGTTTCGGTTTAATCTCCTGCGTTAAACAGTTGAAATTCGACGTTTGACAGTTCATTCGACATTCGACATTCTCCAGACTTTTCGTAGCTTGTATTAATTACTCGTATATTCATTAGTAAGCGTTGGTAATTCTTGTTGAGTTTGTGTAAACATTAAAAGAGAAAAAATCTCGTTTGGTTGTTTTAATATCGAAAGATATTGGAGATAGTTAATCTAGTTTTATTATGTATGTATTATAGGGTATTGTATTCAGGTGAAACGGCCACCTGTTTGTGATATCGCGTATCGGAATGGGAATCTAATAGTTACTATCGCGCGTAACTGAGAACAAAGTCGAAAACAATCTATTGGGAGATAAACGCGTGGGTGCATGTTAAATATACAACCAACTTTCAAATTAGAGGTTAAAAATCTTAATTCTAAATTTTTTAACTCAGCAATTCAAAAAAACTAATGTAAAATTGTATATTTTAGTAATAAAACTAATTAACTTACTTTTATATGCGTGAAAACTTCAAAAGATTAACAGAAACTCTTTTAAAACACAAATAATATCAGCATTTTCAACTAAACTGTCAAAAACTTAACTTTTTCCAATGACAAGTTAAAAATCTCTATCACTCCCTACTTTACCGACATATTCATTTCTAAATGTGCACAGATTTTGCCTACAATACATCTTGGAACTGACGTTCACAATTGATGATTCAGCAACACAAAATACATCTCCCGGTGTGAATCACACATCCACTGACTAAATTTCCAAAGAATACGGCCGTAAACAATTTGCTTCAATGTCAATATCAAATAACACTCGGTATGTGACGCGCCGAAAATAACCAGCGTGTGATAAAGACATAAATTCGCCGGATTTCGTAAATCTTCAACCATGACATGATTTTCTTGTCACAGATGTGACTCGACAGGCGGGCGAGCGCACACATCGCACATACAGATATGTATAACAATGTCAAAATTTTCTAACCTCATTTTTCGCAGGCAACAAGTAGAACAATATAGAACAACAGAGTGTATAAGGTTGCCTATAGTGAAAAATTTACGTATTCTATATCATTGAGGTTAGAATTGAATAAAAATCACCCTTATGATGTGTGTTTGTTTGTTTTCGTAGGTTAGTTTTAGTTTGCATGTACTAGGTCAGTTTTCCTATGAAAAAACCACTCACCTGGGCCATGTATAAACACCGGAAACTTCAAAACCATAATGCCAGGACCCCGAATAAGCCCCCTGACCCTTGGGTCCAGTACAGACGCCGTGTCCATGCGCTTTACCCTCCTCCCATCCGCCGCAGTAAGTGCCACCGTCGTCGAAGTCAAAGCGGCCGCCGTTCACGTGGCTCTTGGTGGTGGTGGCGGTGCCCGTGGCACCGGTCGCCGCCGGGTTGCCGCCGTCGTCGGTCGTGTGTTGCATCCTGGCGATACTGCTGCGAGAAACCGACGGAAAAAAGCAAACCGCCGCCTCAGCTTTCCGAAATTTTTACGTTATGTCTATGTATTTGTGTGTGTGTGTGTGGTATGTGTGTGTGCGTGTAATTTGTTTCGTTTCGTTTCTTTTCCTTTTTTTTTTAGTTTCAATCGTGAATTTTATTTCGGCCGCAAAAGTATCCACAGGCACTGTGTTTGGCACTAATTAGCAATAGCGGTGCCATTGTCGCTTATCGCGGAATTATTACCGCACCACGATTCGTAACTTTTGCGCTTTGGGGTACTCACTGCACACTGATATAAATAAATATCAGCTCGCCATTTCGATCGGTCGTGCGGAAGTCGGCGCGGCACTAATATCTATTGCCCGGGCGCGCACCGTCGCGACGCCAACCGACGCCGCGCATGCTTTCCACCGACGGCGCCGCCGCGAACCAACACCGTGCGGCGATGAAACTCGCTGGACCACACAAAATCCACCACGACGTCTATCAATATGCATCGAAATCTATCTGCACTCGATCGGAAATTCTAACCTCAACCTTCAACCCGCGATATAACCTTAAAATTATCGGTTGGGATGTAATACGGGCTTTTTTTGCTAAAAATATGCGTTTCGATGGGATATTTTAGAGGTGCGCGCATATCTCAACAACAACGCATTGTTATTTCGCCGCGGCCGGCCGTTATTTTTAGTATTTGGAAATTTGACAAACTTTTCGGCGTGTGTGCGGCGGCGGCAGCGGCGGCCCGTACCTGCCTGCCCGTCAGAATAGAAAGCTTTTACATAATTCGGCTAATTGTCGCCGCCGCGCTTCAATCAACCACCATTGTAATTAAATATTTAATTCTTTTGCGTAAATTTCACACGTGGAAAACGAATTTTTCAATTTTCGCGGCGTGTACTTTATGTGGTTTATTTTAAATTTAAAATTGTATTGATTTTATATAAATAAACAAATAAATAGAATGATTACTTACTAGTACTGTTTGTTTTTCACTCAGTGTATATTGTTTTTATATTTCTTGTTCGGTCCACGTATCGTTTTCAAGGTTTACAAACTAAAACAATTGCCATCGGTGAGAGATCCTATTTTTATCACGCGTTATTGCAAGGATTACAATTCACCAGCACTATAAATAACATTTGACGAGTTCTTAAACAAACAATTGTCCTCTTTGCACTCACACATTTACTTCGACTGCATAAATCATTTCGATTTTGCTTTAAATTTATACAATTCCAAAGAAAAAAATTAATATTTTTGCTTGTATTTCAGTATAGGCAACCAGGTTTACTTATTAAGTGATGTTAATATCAAGCAGATGGCGTTTGCTTGCGTTGAATCGTGTAACTCCGCCAAGAACTGTTGTTTTGTGGTATTTCCCACTCCTCTATTCCATTCAAAAACGTAACGGACAAAACGAACATACCGAACCGATCAAAACCGTTGCATCCGTCACAATACAACTTTATCAATCAGTAGAACTTTTATCTGTGACATTTGTGACTTTTAAAACTACAACGTGCGTGCAAAATGTTTCAGGTAATTTAATTTCTAATATATTATCTTAAATTTCCTTCTTATAAGTGTAGTAATTAATTTATTCTTTAGCATATTGTGGTAACCCCTAAAAAAGTGCCGGTTAAAAAACCTGAGAAACTTGTGGAACCCGAAGTAATCGAAGTGCTATCGCTTGCGCCCTTTACACCAATCCCAAAATTAGATTTTAATGATGTTAAAGTGGGAATTAGCATCACCAAGAAAATCTGCATCAAAAATCCAACTGCAGTTGATATAATGGTGAGTAATTCAATAAATAATTACCCTAAACTATATTTTAAACTGGTTTTGTGTTAAATTTTAGTTATATTTACAAAAAATACCGCCTGAAGAAAGAAATGTGAGATTCAAATGGACTGAGCAGATGATTCATGCAGCAAGTGAAGAAATGTTTGAAATTACATGGATTCCACTCTTTGCTGGTGCTTGGAGGGATGTCATTCAATTAACAGACCATGGCAGAATCAAAAGAGACATACCTATTGTTTTTAAATCAATAAAGGTAATTATTACAAATTTAAAAGTTAATTTGATTAAAAAACTTTCTATTTTTATGTAGACTGCCACAAAAGGTAAAAAAATAGGAGTGACAGTATCAAAGAAAGTCTCTCCATCAAAAAAACTACCCAAAAACAAAGTTTCAAAAGTTACATCATCACCAAGATCAGTTCTCACATCTAAAAACAGCACAAATCTTAATGTTCAACCATCACTATCAAGAAGATCAACATTCAACTTGCAAAACAAAGAAAATACCATGCCTAAACCCAAAATAAACGTTAATTCAACATATGAAGTGATAAATAATTCAAAAAACACTTCTATTGGAGCAACAAAAGCAAAATTACTTGAAGAAAACTTTGATGACAGTCTAGAAGCTCCTGTAAGCCTACAATTACCATCATTATCATGGCCGGAGCCATTCACACCCGATCGACTACAAACAAGTTTCTGTTGTTCAACCGGCAACAAATCAAAGGGATGCTCATCACTAGCAGATAACAGCGCAGAAACATACTTAAAGGGCAACACAAGCGGTGGTACTTACGTGAAAGACACCCATTTGAACAACAGCGGTGGAACTTATGTCAAAGACTCTTCAATTGCAAACTTGGCTGATGTACAACTAAGTCCAATGGAACTCAAGTTCACCAACTCAAATATCACATTATCACCGTGTTTTGATTCACCACATTTACACCACGCACTCGCACGAATCTCAGAAGAATCCAGCTTGGAGTTAACACCAATTAAAAAGAAGAAAACACCAACAACTCCAATTCGAAAGTTAAAATCATCACCAAAGGTTAATTTAACTTATGAAGTCAAAGTCACACCAGTGAAGAAAACTGTCTCACCAGTGAAAAGACTCTCGAAAGGTTACAGTATGAAACCATTACACTTGAAACAATTTGTGCAGAAACCTCTGGGTCCATCAGGAATCAATGCAATTGCCATCGAAGTCACAAACACTCACAATCCTGATATGTTTTATAACTCTGTGTGTAATCCGTATGTCTTATCACAAACAAATGGTGTGGATCCATTTATAGCACTCACAATGTATTATGATCCACAATGGGTGGATGAACAAATCGTCCGGTTTAAAAACTGGCTGAACACACTGCTTGTACCACCGAAAGATCTGCACTGCACGAATGTGAAGGTAGACGTCGCGAAAATGTGGCAAGAATGTCGCAATAAAGACGTGCAGAAAGCACCTACCAAGGAACAAGTCTCGAATAAATACAACACCAATCACCTTTTGCAGTCTCTGAGGCATCTGGCGGCCAAACTTTATCGCTCGCCCGAGATTATCGTCGTGTTATCAAAGACGCACGGACTCGTCGAGAACAACAAGTTTGTTATACGCGTAGACAGGGATCTACATCAAGATATACGCTTACAGAAAGAAATATTACAATTATTCTTCTGTTATAATCCATTATGGCTGCGGATAGGTTTGGAACAAGTTTATGGAGTGCATATTCACCTCAGGTCGAATTCAGATGTGTTAGGATTGAGCAAATTCCTCATGATGAACTTTTTTAATAATCAATACCTCCTCAAGAAATATAAACATAAATCTTCACCGAAATATGCGCCTGAAATGAAGAAAGACGCACTTAAAAAATTCCTGTCACTGGTTTATTTCTTAGATCAAGCAAAACAACAGAAACTAATCCCGTATGATCCGTGCTTGTTTTGTAAAAACGCACAAATTAAAGAAAGCAAAGAAATTCTACTGCGGTTTTCAAGTGAATTGTTTCACGCAAGTGGAGATGTCACGAAACCTTTAAGAATACTAAACTATATCTTGCAATATAAACAAACTTACATTCATGAGTTTGAATATGGCGTGGATAATCTCGGCAGTGACTTAAAAGATGGCGTCAGGCTTACTCGGGTAATGGAAATTATTCTACTTGAAAGAAATTTAACGGATTTATTGCGAGTGCCGGCGATTTCACGATTACAGAAGGTTTATAATGTTAAATTGGCTTTTGATGCGTTGAAGCGCGCTGGTTATGTGATTGAAAGTCAAATCGAACCGAAAGATATCGTTGAAGGACACAGAGAGAAGACTTTATCATTTCTATGGCAGATTATTTATAAATTCCAATCGCCACGGTATACCAAAGCGGTGATTAGTGTGCAGATGTGGTGGAGAAGTCCGGTTATTCAAGAAAAGCGGAAAAGGTTGAGAGATTTACGCTTCCAGAAACATAATGCTGCGATTGTTATACAGAAATGGTACAGGAGACATAAATTACGATTGAAACTAGAAGAAATTATTCCATTTGTTAGATTAATCTTGGAAGAGATTAAATTATCCAAAGCTGCGGTGAAGATTCAAGCAAACTATCGGATGTATAGATGTCGGCGTGATTATTTACGAGTTTATCACAGTATTTTGATTATTCAGAGACAATTTAAACGTTGGTATACTTTTTCGCATTTGAGGAAGAAGCGTGTGGCTGCCGCGGTTGTTATACAAAATATTTGGAGGACTTACACAGCAAGAAAACGCTTTTTATTGTTGAAACAGAGTGTTGCTGTGATAAGCACACATTATATTGCCACGAAACAGATGAGAGAATGTCATAATGCTTTTACTACTCTTCGAACAGCTTGTATTAATGTTCAGAGAAGATTCCGAGCTACTTTGTTGATGAAAACCGTAAGAAATCACTATTTGCGTGTGCAATTGGCTGTTTGTACAATTCAGACAAGATGGCGGGCTACACTGTCGATGAGGCAAGAAAAACAAAGATATCAACAACTACAAAATGCTGTTATTACAGTTCAGAGAAGATTTAGAGCTCAGCAAGTAATGAAATCACACAATGATGCTTACATTACATTAAAACAGAATGTTTTGATGATTCAAAGAAGATTCAGAGCAAAAATTGAACGCAGAGAGTATATAACACTTAAACAAAACGTGATTTTTGTTCAGAGAAGGTTTAGAGCTAATTTGCTAGCAAGGAAGCACCGTGGAGAGTTTATACAACTTAAGAATGCTGTGAGTGTTATTGAGAGGAGATATTATGCACGAAAATTAATGTTGCAGTGTAGAAATGAGTTTATTCAGATAGTAAAGTCTGCAATTGTTATCCAAACAAGATTCCGAGCGTTTTTGAATGGTAAAAGCTGTAGAAATAATTATTTACAGCTTAAAAACGCTGTGAAAGTGATTGAAGTAAGATACGAAGCTTTGATGTTGATGAGAATGCAACAAAGGGATTATAAGCGGAAATTACAAGCGGCCATTTTGATTCAGAGAAGATTCCGAGCTCAAAGACAAATGTTATTTGATCGAAGTAACTTTTTATGTCTCAGGGAAGCTGTTGTAAGAATTCAGACACAGTTTAGAGCTAATTTACAAAGAAATACTGATAGGAATCATTACTTAAGCCTCAGAAATTCTTCTCTTGTTATACAAAGAAAATGGCGGGCGACTATGACCGCAAAAGAACAAGAAAACAAGTTTAAAAGTATTTTACAGTCCATAAAAAGGATTCAAGCATGGTATCGCGGTGTTATTGCAATGAGAACAACCAGAAATCATTATAAAAAGTTACAGAAAAGTGTTTTGTTCATCCAAAGACAATTCCGTGCAAATAAAATGGCGAAACAAGCCCGAGAAGAGTTTATACAACTAAAGAAAGCCGTGAGTGTAATAGAAATAAGATATTATGCAAGAAAACAAATGTTAAACAAGAGGAATGAGTTTATTAAAACCATAAAGTCTACGATTATCATCCAAACAAGATTCCGAGCACTTTTGGAGGGCAGAAACTGCCGGAAGAATTATTTACAACTTAAAAATGCTGTGAAAGTCATAGAAATAAGATACGAAGCTTTGATTTTAATGAGGACTCAACAAGCAGATTATAAACGGAAACAACAAGCGGCCATTTTGATTCAGCGCAAGTTCCGCGCACAACTTTCAATGAAAAAGCATCGTAACAACTTTTTAACTCTTCGGAAAGCAGCAATATGCATCCAGACGAAATTCAGAGCACATTTACAACGAAATATTGAACGCAATCATTACCTACGCTTAAGAAACAGTTCTCTGATGATACAAAGAAAATGGCGCGCAACTCAAAACATGCAATTACAACGTGCGAGGTACAGAATAACTCTACAAGATATAAAAACGATCCAGAGATGGTATCGGGCTGTAATTTTAATGAGAACAATCAGAAATGCGTATCAAAAGCTACGAGAAACAACAATACTGATCCAAACACGATTCAGGGCGAATATAAACATGAAACAAGAAAGAAATAATTATTTAACACTAAAACGACATGTTATAATCATCCAACAAAGATTCCGAGCTAATCAACTCATGAAAACACAACGCAAAGATTTTATCACATTGAAAACATCAACTATTGCCATTCAAAGAAGATTCCGTGCGAATTTATTAATGAAACAAGCCAGAAGCGCATTTTTAACTCAAAAACAAGCAGTTGTAAAGATTCAACAATTTACCAAAGGATATTTAGAGATGAAGAAGGAACAACGAGCGAAAATACAAAAATTACGATCAATTTTACTCCTGCAAATCTACGTGCGTGGATTTATCGCACGCAAAAAGTTCGAAGAGATGAATAAACCAGAAGTTAAAGAACAAAGACGCCTGGAACGACTGCAAAAATCATCCGCAATCAAAATACAAGCAGCATGGCGTGGTTACAAAGTACGATCACAACAATCCGTTGAAATGGTCAAGATGCGTATGAGTTTAGAAGCGGTAAACCGCGATGCCAAACCAGAAGACACAATTCGCAACCGCACGCATAAAAGTCTCAAAGTTTTTATGAACGAAAAATCGTCCATGTTGCAAGTTCTAGGCGTGTTGAAGGAACTGCTCACTTCAACAAGACTCTCACCCCGGTCATGTGTGTATTTAAGTAAAAAAATGCTCTGTGAGTATCTCTACGAGATGATTTTATCAACGTGTCGATCAAGAATTGATATGGAGGCTGGTTCTGTCGCTACGGGTATTTTAGTCAATGTTGCAAAGTATGAAAAGACAAATGCGTACGCGTGGATACCGACGCGGCTGCCGAAGGTGTTGAATTTAATGGTCGCGTGTTGTGATAAAGAATATGACTTTTTCCCGAAACTGGCGACGTTATTATGGGTGTTTGGCCATAATGCGCAACAAAAGAAAGAGATTTGTGACTTGCCTGCATTCGGACAGCAAATGGCGAAGATGTTAACACTGTGTGAGCGTCAGCAGAAAATGGTGAGCAAATCTTACAAAAGCAAAAATGTCTCCGTTTTCGCGGCGTACAAAACTCTAGCGCTACCAATGATCAAGCCCGATTGGGGCTTGGAGTATGCGCATGCGCCGTATAGTTTTACAAATTCACTGCATGCGATCCGCTCGCTATGCGAACTTTTTAACGTGTAATTGAAATTTTGTTTTACAACTGATATGTGATTGTTATTAAGCTACTTCCTTTTAATTTTATCCAATAAAATTACTTATGATTGAATTCTGTTTATTTACAAGTGTTTGCGTTTCTTCTTAAAGTAGCACACGCCTAAACAATAAAATAGTATAAAATGTATATAAAAAAACTAACGTTTTCATCAAGGTGCATGCAGCCATGGCGCGTCTAAACTTATAACTTATAAAAATGTATTATTGTCGTCATCCGACTCATCGCTCTCAAGGCACTTACATATCTGACTCACATCAACTGCACCCGCTTAAGGATAAAACTTCTTGTTGTTCTTCGCCATATCTACCAACAAATCGCACGGTTTGAATGCAACGCCGTAATGCGATGCGTACTCGTTCATTTTAGCGACAATACGGCCGGCACCGTATTGGTCCACCCAGCGGAAAGGACCGCCGGTGAATGGTGGGAAGCCTAAACCGAACACAGCGCCAATATCGCCCTCTAGCGGATTGGCGAGGATTTTCTCTTCGAGGCAGAGAACAGCCTCGTTTACAAAACGCAACACCATACGCAGTTGTTTATCTTCATCTGTGAACGAACCCTTGGGTTCTAGAGAGTATTTCTTGAGGATTTCCATTGCCTCAGCGTTCACTTCGCGGTTCTTGCTCTTCGATTGGTAGACAAAGACACCTTTGCCGGATTTACGACCGAGGAAACCTGCTTGGACGATGTCTTTCATGACGTTTACATCACCACCACTGATTCTTTCACCAAAGACCTAAATATAAACATAAAATAACAAAAAATGATAAAATTTGTTAATAAATGTAAATTTACCTTGCTTAAATCAGCAGAGATATGTGACCCAACATCCAAACCGACTTCATCAGCCAAAGTGGCGGCACCTACAGGGAAACCAAATTGTTTTGACAATTTGTCAAGTTCCTTCGGATCAACACCCTCCTGCAATAGTCTAATAGCTTCCGACAACATAAAAGACAAAATACGCGTTGTATAAAATCCTGGACCATCACCAACTGTAATGACAACTTTTCCTTGTTTCAAACCAACTGCAACAGCGGCTGCAGCAGTGTCCTTCGAAGTTTTCTCCGTCGTGATGATTTCCAACAGCTGCATTTTATCCACAGGTGAAAAATAATGCATACCAACTACTTTCTCGGGACGTTTTGACCCTGCTGCAATTTTTGTAATCGGCAATGCGCTTGTATTACTTGCAAAAATGCAGTGTTCGGGGATAACTGCCTCTACCTCCTTGATAACTTTATGTTTAATGTTGATATCTTCAAAAACGGCTTCAATAACCATATCGGCGCGTTTAAAAGAGTCATAACTCAGCGTAGCATCAAGGGCGGATAGATATCTATCACGTTCCAAACTAAAATTAATATTTTATTAATAAATTTTATGTTTTTTGATTAAAAAACAAAAAATCTTACGCGTTCATACGTTTCCTCTTCACAGCATTGTTCAAACCATTCTGAATCTGTCCAATACCACGTCCCAAACCAGCCGCGTTCGAATCCTTCAAGATAACATCATAACCCTTGTCCAAAGTGACCTGCGCAATACCAGCCCCCATCAATCCAGCACCCAAAACAGCGACAGACTTAACCGGACGCTGTGGTGCACCGAATCGGTTCTTCTTACACTCGGTTTGTCCACGGAATAAACCAATCAAACCCTTTGATTGTGGTGTCATCGCCAGTTCTCCAAAACCTTGCGATTCTGCTTCGAAACCCGCTGCGGTACCTTTATCAATACCAGTTCTTACAACATCTAAGATTTTCAACGGAGCTGGATATAATCCACCGGACATTTTCATCACCTGTTGCCTAGCCTTGCCGAAGATTTTATCTTTAACAAAATCATACTGCAAAACAAACGCGAATACTTTATCCATCATGGATTTCTTTGATCGGTCGATTTTCAGCTTGCCTGTGGATATTTCCCTGGCGACTTGAATAGCAACTTGTTCTAAATATTGCATTGTGTTGTCTTCAGGTGTTTTAAGACCTGGACCTAGTGGATTGACAACAAGATCAACAATTCCAAACTTTTTAGCTTTGTCTGCTTTGAGAGTCTTGCCAGTTAAAGCCATGTCTAAAGCATTTGGTAATGCTGTGAGTTTTGGCAGTCTTTGAGTACCACCAGCGCCCGGTAAAAGTCCAAGCATGACTTCCGGTAGACCCAAACCTGTTTTCTTGTCTTTAACAGCGATTCTGTAGTGGCAGGCAAGTGCAACTTCCAAGCCACCACCCAAGCAACTACCCTGGATGGCTGCGATGATGGGTTTCTTGCAGTTTTCGATCTGGTTGAGTAATTCTTGGCCATTTCGCGAGATATTCCGCACTTCTTCGGCGGATTTGCAGCTCTCCAGCATGCCAATGTCGGCGCCGGCGATGAAACATCCTGGCTTGCCTGAGATGATCACAGCTGCTTGGATTTGGGGATTGTTCTGGATCTCTTTCAGTTGCGTTTCGAATTCGGCGGAGACTTCGGCCCCCAATGAATTGACCTATGATCATTATATAAATATCATATTAAACTATATTATTAATCTAATTTTTTAAAGTTTTACCTTGGAATCTGGTGAATTCAGGACCAAAACGCCGACTCCATCAACAACTTTCAGGTTCGTGTGTTTTTGTGCGGATGATAAAGCACGAATGTGACTAACACCTACAGCAAAACCAAAGAAATTATATAGGCAAATATTTACAAGTGCACGGTGCACTTTGAACTGCAGATTGATATAAATATCGACGTTTCACTTACTTGCTGGATTGAGACGCTGCATTCTGCAGTAAATCTTGTGAAAACTTCCGGCGAATCTCAGCGACATGATCGCAAAAGGTAGTAATTTATTTGGTACGACGAGAATTTACAAACTAATTAAATAAAATGACTGCACGCGACCGACAGACCGACACTAAGCAATTTGAAAGCCGAATGGAATCTACGGTGGACTTTGAACACGCACGAAATAAAACTACGGTCCAAAATTCAGTGATATGGTGACGAACGGTTTGACAGTGACAGCCAACCTGCAAAACCGGCTCGCAGGACTTAAAATATTTGAAAGTGGGGAGAATTTATATCTTTGCCATTGGTAATGGCTTTTAATCACAATTTAAACTCATTTCCCTGAATTTTCTTTGATTTTAGTCGTTTTAAAACAATGAATTACTTCTTTTTTACAAAATAAAGTTGTAAGGTTATATAATAGATTAAAATCTGTAGTTTTGGTTTGTATGTTGGCTAACCTGTTGACAATCCCACCCAAGGCACGTGTCCGATTTAAAAATCGCCTTGTTTTGACTGGCGAATATTATTAACTCTTATCGCAAATAACTAAATCAGTAAAAATGTATGCACTGGCACACACAACACCATCAGTATTCGTACTTGAGTGTTTTACTTTGCTCCTTAACAAAATTAAATTAATATAATTTAAATATTGAATTGTTTAACTTATCAATAGTTAATTATAATATGTACAGGGAACAAGTGTGTGAAAAACGTTTCTTTGTAACATGCACGCCGGCGTTCGCTACACATAAGATGCAGAAATATGCTTGCATAAACTTGAACAACGCTCAATTCAGTTAAAATGGAATCGAAACTGGAAGGGACTGCCGTGGAAATTGTGAAACTGATGGAAATTGTTGAATCCGCCGCCGCCCTTGCCCGACTCCGGATCCAGCGGATCTTCACCATTATCAAACTGCCGGCGCTTCTCCTCATCGGTCAACACCTGCAAACAAAAAACGAACCAAAGTGTTACATTACTCCTGCGGCGCATGCGCACACACAACACTCCGCAAAGCTTTGTTAGTTTGAAAGCCGCCATTTTGACAGATGGAGGAATTGAGCCGTGTTAACAAACAAAAAAAACAGTCGTATATTTAACTTTTAAGTACCCGCCACACACCTTAATCACTATCGTAACAACAATAAACATCTTGCGCGTAAATATTTACAAATCGCATCGAAAATAAATTATCTTGTCATGTCCAGTTTGCGCATTACTGTCTGCTGTGATGTACACAACTGAGCCTCATCAGTTATCATCATCTGTTTGGCACCGCATCATCATCATCATCATCTTCCACTTTTAAAAACTCACTCAGCTCATAAATACTCTCTGATAATCTACCGAATGCGTTTAATAGCGACACAATCTCGCTACGCTGCAATTGAAAATCCTTCTTATCTTTATTAGCTATATATAGCTCGGGATTATTCTGCTCGTCGAAATATCCGGAGAATAAAATTTTCAACGCTGTGCCGAGTCCCTGCACCTGCAGTTTTCCCCAGAGTTTACACTTATCGCATCCGACGCAGTCCATAATCGTGCTGATGTTGCGAAAGTGCTGCTTAAACTCAAACTTTAACTTCTGCGCCTCATCTCCACCCATAAACATATTAGTTTCGTTGAAATGATTGGAAAACTGACGCGCTACATTCAATAAATCTTTGATTGCAAGCTGTGTGTCAAAATCATCGGGTTCATTACCAGTGTAAAACTCTTCTCTTTGTAAATACGATGAAGCTTTGACCAAAGCACGTAGTTCAATCAAATACAAAAAGTATAAATTTCTTATCCAGTTTAACCCTTCGCCGTTGGTGTTATCCGGATCAAAACGCAGATGAAACTCGTCAAAGTTCCTGCCCCATTCTGGGGTGGTAATAATCCCCATCGATTTCTTTTCGGATAATAAATATTTCGCACTTAAATGAATATTTATACTCGCATGCAAGCCTGAAATCAATCGATAGAATGTCCGCTTCTCCAAACACATGCCATTCAACTTATCGTTCTGTATATACGCCGTGAATGTATTCCGCGTCGGGCGAAAACAGTTCTCCATGTAAATCGTATGCCAGACGCGATGCGCTGACTTTCCTTTATATCCTGTATAACGCTCCGGATTCAACATCAGATCGACGTATTGCGCCTCGCTGTCGTTCTCGTTCACCACGCAGAAGTTGTCCTGACTGTCATCGTAGACTTCCCACAAGACAATGTCCTCCTTCACCTTGTTGCTGATAGTTGTATTTAGATATCCAAGTTCGTAATCACTATCGCAGCTTTCTTTCGTGTATTTGTTATGTTTCGGCACGCCTGCGCCTTTCAGACCAGCAGGAATGTCTTTTTCCAGACATTGTTCAACGTGGCAGTATTTCATTGCGCATTTGCTGTCGTCGTCCCAGAAGGGACACTCCTTCTTGAGGTTGACTTTGTAGAATCTAAAATAGTCTTTGGTGAGGAGGCTTTGCAGGCGCGGATAGATTTTGAAGTTATTAAAAGTGTCTAGGGAGTCGATGTTGCACGAGCAGTCAGCGATCTCTCCCTGCAACTGATGACAAATCAGCAATTCCCACTGTTCCCATGACGCAGACATGTTTTTTTTGTTTTAAACAATTTTGTGTGTATGTAGGGTGTGTGAATTTCAGCTCAATTACTCCATCGTACACAAGGGGATATTACAAATATGTAAGATGTTAATAAAATGGTTAGAAAAGCGTTAGTTTTAGGAATTTTTACAAAAATAAAGTACAACACTTTTGAAAAGGTAGGCAACCCACATTACAACCAATAGTGTTGCAGTATTAAAGCATATAACAAAAATGAATGGCAACACTGTTGATTGATAAGCTAGGCAACCTTTTATACATCCAATAGTGTTGTATTTTACAACCTGTCAAGTTATCTTACCTCTTTAGCCGCAGCGATGTCAATGAATTTCTTTTCGGCAATCTTCTTCATCTTCTCATCAGTTTGATAATTATCCGGATGCCATTTCTGCGCTGCTTTGCGATACGCCTTGACAATCTCCTTCTTCGAGGCACTGCGTTTCACATCTAATATCTTATAGTAATCCCTGCGTTCGCTCTGTTGCTGCATTTTCTGCGCGCGTTGAATGCCCTCCTTCGCGCGCTGGAAGCCCTGATCAATTTCCAGTGCGGCTTTGAAGTCGCGCACAGCGTCATCATACTGCTCCGCCTGAAGGTAGGCATCCGCTCGATCACAGTACGTATTTAAGTCCTGATGCATGTTCAGCGCCTGCGTACACGCCTCGATTGCTTCTTGTGTCTGCTCGTCCTTAGAATAACAATGACAGAGCAGTTTTTGTGTTTCGTAGACAACCATTTGTACTTGCTTTTCGTTTTTCAACGCCTTCTCAGCGGATGCAATACACTCACCGAAATTACCTTCTTCTTTAAAAGTCTCGGCATCGGTGAGTTGTTTCTCCACCTTTTTAATCTTTTTATACAACGGGAAACAATCCTTGTGGTCCGGATCAAGTTTGAGGCACTCACGGACTGATTTGAGCGCCTCTGTCACGTGACCCAGTTGGTAGAGGAGATTGGCCAGCTTGTGATAACCGGCGGTGTTGTCAGTTTGCAGTTTCGTCGCCGCTTTGTAATCGGAAATGGCGGCCAACACGTCGGGGATTTCCATGTGGATCTCAGCGCGGAGTTCGTATAGACGCGCAGCCCACGGGGAAACTTCCAACACCTGCGATAACGCGTGCACGGCGTTGTGGTAATCATCCTGGGCGTAGTAATATTTCGCTAGGCGTTCATTCTCGACGGTTGGTTCAATACGATTGATCAAATCATTCGCTTCCTCATTGTAAGGATCTTGTTGCAGCTAAACACCACAAAAAGAAATGAGAATCAAATTTAAATGTCAAAATGTCAAATAAACTGACAGTTTAGAATTGTAACACTGGTTGCATACAGCGTTGCAAAAGAAATGACAACCAAATTTATATGTCAAAGAAATTGACAGGTCAAAAGTGCAAAACTGGTTGCATACAGTGTTGCAAGTCATGTGACTATAAAAATGTACTTACAACATTATAAAAATCTAACTGCGCCTGCTCGAAATTAGCTAACTTGAGGTGAACGCTGCCACGACTATTCCTGGCGGCGACAAAGTCCGGTTTCAGTTCGAGGACTTTATCCAGATCGGCGAGAGCGTTCTTTGACTTGCCCAGCGCCAGATACACCGTTCCCCGCTTGAAGTACGTGAGGTAATTTGTTGGATCACCCTCTATATATGCGCAACAAACATTATTTATTTAATTAACACACACACAACAAACAATTGATTGTGAAAACTTACCGACTGCTGCATGATAATGTGACAATGCATCAGCGAGTTGTCCCCTAGCTAAAAACTGTTTACCTAATTCTAAGTGATTATTTATTTCGGCTTGCGTCGCCCCATTGCAATCTGCAACATATGATGAAATATTTATAACACACTGTATGCTACGTGAGTGGTGAGTGGAAGGGGCCAAAACATAACGGTCCAATGCAAATAACAACCGAAATATCTATTAATTCTTAATTATGCAAATAAAAACATGATTTTTCCGGGTTTTTAATAGATTTTTGTTGTTTTTTTACGTGTAACTTTTAATAAATGAATTTAAAGGTTATGTGAGTTATGCGCTGTCAAAAGTTGATGTGTACTCACATTCCAGAAGGAATTCCACGAGGAATAACGCAATATACGGGCGTAATTTGTTCAAACTGTTCGTTCGCACCAACATTCTGGCTAGTTTTATTCAATTCAACATCACAAACAGCACTAAACAACTACTTCCCAGGCATATCGGCGTGTTGGTGTTCGTGTTAATCGGCAGGCACTCACAGCGTCGTTATCACCACGTATATCACTTGCGCACCGTGCCCTTTTAATATGCCGCGACTAGAGGCTGGTGTCGATGGCTACGTTCGCACATTTATGATGACTATTGCGTGTGATACTCGCGGAGCGATGAAGACACGACACCGCTCGCGACGCGACACAATAATACAACGGCAAAATTCGTGGTTCAATTTGATTGGTCCAACGCACATGTCAGGATTGGGTGCGCATGCGCAGTGTGGGAGTACGGTGATTTTTTTCGATAAATTTTCGAAAAGTTTTACTGCAGTAGCAGGAATTGGGTGTTTTAATCACCGACGATAGACTGTTGCTATCTGGTGTTGACTTTTTTGATTGAGACACGTATGTGGTGGAAATAATCTGGATTGTGAACTGCTGACCGGTTATAGCAAGTAATGATAAGCAAACAAAGAAGAAACAAAAAAGTGATTCATTATTATATTAATAACATTACCATATGACATTTTAAACAAATATAAAACATCTTAGTTCTTTTGTGTGTATAAGACACATTGTTAATATTTTTAAGACAAATATATGGTAGAGCAATTAATAAAACTAGGTTTATGAATGTTAAACAAGATGTGTTATTTATAAATCATATGTAAGACGCTTCATGTTATGTGGGTTGCATACTCGTGATATTTTTACGTGCAACTTTAAAATCTAAATTTTTATAAACGATGTTAATACCATTAGATAGCAAACATGTTACAATAAAATAATAAACTAGAAACGGCAACTGGCATTGAATTATCAAGGTGTAGCAGTCGTTCACTTTTAAAATGATTTTTGAAGATACTTTAATTGTATTCTTGAAGTTTCTAATCTAAAACAAATAGTTTGCAACCCAACATACACATAAAAATGCGCACTTATTAATCTAGCCAACTGCACTTTAAATGTACAACTACGTATATTATTCATTATTTCGTGTCGATATCTACAAATTCAACCACGTCAGCACTTCCTATCACTAAACATTCAATCCATTCATCAAATTCCTATCCGAATATGCCTAGTACCGCCCTGCGCACTTCGTTCCAAATTTGTTTTGATGTGTGCCGCGCGCAACCTCCTCCTGACCGACCCAAACAAACACATTCCCTCCGGAAGTGTGAAAACCTCTGAATTTTCATAAAACACCCTGACAATCACCGCCCGTCGCCATGGACCTCCTCGGGTCGATCATGAACTCGATGGAGAAGCCTCCGTCGCTGAGCGAAAAGGAGCGTGACATAATGAAAAGTTAGTACATAGCACAAAGTGATCTAACCTATACAAATACTACATCTCATTCACTACTACTCACTGCAGTGTAGACTAGTATAACTAGAATTTGCAAGTGAATAATAATTAATTTCATTTGTTTTTGCATAGAACGCAAAGCTGAGTATGAAAAACGCAAAGAAGCAGAGAAACAACGCTTCAAACAGTTCAAGGAGGACATTGAGAAGAAGTGTCACACATATTTTGCTGATCCAAAGAATACTTATTTGAAGTTCCAACCAATGGACCACATTTACAGGAGTATTATGTAAGTTCTAAGCATTTATTACCGATTTTGCTTATTCTGATAATCATTTTATTGCTTTTTTATGTTTAACTATGTTATTTATTGTGAAATTGTTGTTTTTGTTGGTAAAATAATAGGTTTTCTGCTTGTAACTGCTGATAACGCCATTTTTAGTTATATTTTTTGCGAGAAAAGTTGCCTATGTTATTCTCCTAGGTCTATGCTACCGCTATATTAAAATTTATCAGAATTGTTTTAGTTATTTGTGCGTAGCAGGAACACAAACAGACTTTTACAGTTTTCTTTATAAAAAACACAAAATCAACTTAAAAATGTTTGTTTCAGTCATGAAATAGCAGAATCACAAGGTTTAATCTCTTACGCCTTTGGTACAGACGGTGTAGACCGATACATACGCATATATCGCAAAGAAAACGCGCCGTGTGAGGATGAACTCGCTGTAAGACGCCGTGGAGATCCTTGGAATGAAGAAATTAGACAACAATTGATTGAAAGTGTAAGTAAAACTTAATTTTAAGTCGCAATTTATGCATTTTAAAACTTCTAGAGAAAACAAGAACAACTAGAAGTCGTTGACGACACAAAACGCAAACGAAAATCAGAGAAATTCATACCAAACAGTAACTACAAAGATAAATACGCGCACCTCATCGGTCAGGACGCCGCACTGGAAGCAGCGAAGAAGACAGAAACAAATAAGAGCTACGGATTTGGTAAATATTTAATTTTTATGTAAAACTAGCATTAACCCTTGGCTTCGCCCGCGAATATCTAAAATAATGAAGTTGTTTCCATAAGCGTCTGTAGTCACAGAAGAAGTAACAATGAAGTAGAATGGCGGGAAGTTTAAAATGGCTGAAAGTATAGTCTATGGAAGTATAGTGTACAGTCTCCATAGTGTAGTCAATTGGATTTGATGTTGACGTAGCTGTCGGTAATACAGTGTGATAATACAGTGTGATGGTACTATAGTACTTAGGTTTGAGCTTCATTGCTGGAATGCTAGATGGCGTTAAAGTAGTCAAATAGCCAGATGCAGAGGTATTATTGGCTAAACTATTTCATTATTTTATTTAAGAAATAATTTGTTTTATTAAATAAAAAGTAGTCTATAACCATTCGGGGACCACTAAGAATATGTGTAGAAATTTTTATGATGATCGGTTAAGTAGTTTTTGCGTGAAAGTGTAACAAACATCAGGACTTTCGCATTTATAATATTAGTAGGGATTTTATCAATTAACTAATTTTTTAATAAATTTCTAGTTCCTAGTGAAAATAAAAAAGATCAACGCTCCATAGAACAAACGCTCATCGATATCCGAGCAAAAAAGCGACAAAAACTGACTCAGGAAAGCGATCAGGAGCATCCGGACGCATCAAAGTCGTCAAACACGAGTCAAACGACTCTGTAGGTATGCTGTTTAGTTGATTTAACTTTAGAATGCATAATTTATTTATAATTTTAACTCCTTAAACGATTACACTTGCGCGAATCATGCGAATAACGCAGATGGTTTTCTTTGTTTTTGTGTGTCTGTTGTTACATAAAGCTAGAAATTGAAAACGTATTACCTCTGATTATAAATATTCGCTGGAGGAATATTTAGTGATGTTACGCTTTGTCGGCGAGATGCCCTGCAATAAAGCCGCGTTCTCCTTCTTCAAACTGTGCAGTTTGCCGCATGGGAATTGATTTGCCTCCTCGTATTTCGTCTGGACGTGATTCAGGAAAGTGTTTAACAGAAAATCGGTGTTTTTTGTTATAAACTTTCGCATCTGAAGCATTTAAACACATTAAAAATGAATATTAAATGCAAATATGAGTAAATCTTACTTCATTTTGTGTTTCTTTGCGTAATGATTGCTCAATATATCGTATTTGTGCTTCGAAGACAATATATAGGGATTCATCAATCGTATGCAAAAGATCAGAAGTCTGCAAGCGTAAACAATCATCCAGGAAAGCAAGATATAGCTTTGTGAATGTTATAGTGTTGGATGTTAATTGTAACCAACAGTCGCCAGTCACATAAGCAGTGAGATTCATGCCCATGTCGTTGTACTCCTGGATAAATCTCGCCAGAGCTGATTTTGTGCGCATGTCCAAGGGGATCCACTTGTCTTCGACTGCGCGCAGTTTAATGGCGTCGACTTGTTTGTCTCTAGCGTCTTTTAAAGCTCGGGAAAGCGGCGTGCGCAGTGCTCCGTCAAGTTGATAACATAAATCGATTCCATATGAATACAACTGGAATTATTTTCAGTTAAATATAAATAATAGTAGTAAATTATAGTGTAGTCTGTTTATAACATGCATTTTATCTTATTTTAGAGGTGTTGTTACCACGCCGAACAATAATATTAAACAAATATTGAGGTTTTACGCGGGTAGGCAACCATTTATACTTTTTGAGTTGGTTATAGAGTAATTCTATACTTACTCTTTCGCATTGGAAGCGCACCAAAGCAACACATTCAGTTATAGATGACATAGGTGTCTGTGGCACAAACACTTGCTTAATAAAATGTGTCGTGAATAAAGATAATTCACTACTTGCCCACACAGCATAAGCTAAAACAAGTAAAATTTAAAATATTTCCTTATTTCTTGTATAAAATGCAATTATACAAAAATAATTACCTGATGCGCAACTTGGTGAATCAGGAAACGCGCGCAGAAACTCCTCTGTCATGTGACACAAATTAGTAAATACTGCACTAGATAAATACCGAATATACACAGTAATAGACCCTTCACGTTTAACCCGTTTGCATTGTGTCTTCAACATACTGCTGCATAACTTCAAAAACAAATCGCATGATTGTGTTGCGCATCCAAGTTGATTGAGTAGCCTAACTGCGCGTCTTGCAGCTCTCAAACCACCTTGCAATGATTTATTGGGATTGACTTCAAGTTCTTTCATCAGGACTTCAATCAAATGCACACTTCTTTGGTCAACTTTACGTTGAATATCCGCTAGGATATGATCGGCTTGATGATTGTACGCGTTGATGTAATCTTTAGCTTTCTGTAGTAAAGACAATGCGTCTTCAAAATGGCGCTGGGCAACACACACGTCCAACTCTTCCGGGACTTCGAGCAACCAATCAGGGTGATCGAATACTTCATCTTCTTCTTCGACATTCACGCTGAGGCTTTGTGTATCTATGGAAGCTGTGCGCGATGGAGATTTTTCGATTGTAGACTCACGTTTGAGTTGATCATGCGCCAAACGCGTTTTTTTCGCTTGATCAGACTTATCAATCCAATCTTTCTACATATTTAAATGAATTACATCATAATAATAACAATTTCACTAAAAAAACTTACTTTGCTTGCATTACTCTTACATTGAAAGAGTCTAGAGTCAGGAAAAGCTAAAACTTTGAATGCGAATTTCACGTTTCCTAAATCTCGTACGTTGACAACTGCGAGACTTCCCAATTCATAATATGCATCTAATTTATAACGTTTTCCAGTTTTTCTATAAATTTTAATCAAAATTCAATTAATTTTATCATAAAAATCATTAAAATCAGTCATTACCCTGGATTGGAACATGCCAACATCAATCCTTCAGAAAATAGAAAGCCCACAACACTTTTAATTGGAGTGTTTTCAACAAAATCCAATTCCGAGAGGAAACCTTCATGCAAAAGTGTAATATTTGGTATGTCTATGAATGCCTATAATTTTTTGTTATTAAACTTTAATTTTTAAATGAATTATTACTACTTACTGATGCCCCTTCAACTTTTTCTAAAACAGTGGCAATTTTTTGCCTCCTAATCTCTTCTTCTTGCTCTTCACTTTTATCTTCTGGTGCAACTTCAGCTTCAACTGGAGCACTTGCTTCATCACCCAAAATACTTGTATTATACAATGAATTAAGCAGTAATCTTTGTTCTGTTAGCAAGTGGGACAACTGATACATCTCACTTTCCAGATCTTAGTATTAATTAAGGTTTTACACATAAAATTACTTCAAAAAAATGTTTTTAAGAATTATTTTAAAGGATACGGGAAATTTCTTTTGCTGTGTCAATAAACTGCATGTAATTCTGGTAGACATTTTTCTTTAAATTGTCATTAGTTTCCTCTAGACGCCCATGGATCTTTTTTCTGAGCAGGACTAGTTCTTGTCCTCCAATGCAATGCTGCGAAGCTTCCTTTACAACTAAAGTTAAGACATTAATAATGGTTGAAAAAAAAAAGTATAAAGATGAGAAAATTACATTTTTCTGCATTAAAATCCGGAGCACTCAAACTTGCTAATGAATCTGCCATGTTTTCTTTGATAAATTACTGAATGTAGTTCAATTAATCAACAGTAACAGGAAAAACATGAAAAGTAATCACAGATGATGTTGACGTTATTGGATCATACACACCAGCACCAAGCAGGAAATACAACATAACCTCAAAATAAAGTTTTTGTAAAAGAAATAAATTATTTAGTAAAAAATTTAGTATTAAACTAAAATAAATTAATTCTAAAACTAATTGCATAAGTATAAATTGTTTAATACCTATTAAAATTCATTATTATTTCATTATTATTTTATGCTTAAAATTTTAATTCTTTATTTTAAATTCCTTTTGACATTTGCTCATGATCTATATGATCCATTGTGGGTGGCAGCCAGCAGTAAATCGGGTGGAATTGCAAAACTAGCTAACAAGTAACCTGCTGCGACTGTCAGAGCCCATCGTAGTCGTCGCCGTTCAAAGCAAGGACGCAGTTTGTTGTTGTCGCCGTGATAGTGCACTCGCGCGACACTGAAAATCACCTACACACCTGCAAAAACACCTGCGAGGCGCTCCCGTGATGGCAGCCGAAATCAAGCCGGCCACGCAGTCCAACGAGAAGTTCTGCACGACGAAGAAACCGGCGCTGGTGGCGAAGCTCGAGGCGGGCACCGACGAGATCAATGCGGCCGTCATCATCCCCGGCGAGGACGGCATCATCAGCGTATCGGACGACAAGTGCGTTGCACAATTACAAAAAAAAATTAACATATTTGCATTACAAATACTTAAATTTTTATTTTTATTTCTAGAACTATACGAGTATGGTTGAAGCGCGACTCGGGCCAATACTGGCCGAGCATAGTGCAGTGCATGCCCAGCGGAGTCACTTCACTATTCTACACGGTGGAAACACGGCAGTTGTTCATCGGGCAGGAGAACGGAACGATTTCGGAGTTTTCTTTAGCCGCGGATTTTAATCGGATTATGCCTGTACGCGAGTATCTAGCGCATCAGGCGCGGATTACCGAGGTGATCTTTGCGCTCAACTGCGAGTGGGTGCTAAGCGTCAGCCGTGATAAGACGTTTTCGTACAACTGCACACAGACTGGTAGAAATATTGGTACTTTCACTGCTGAAGCATGGTGTACTTCTTTACAGTATGTTATAAGTTGTATTTTAATGTTTGAATATGTGTGGAAGATAAATTGTTTGGTTTTAGATTCGATTCGCAAACCAAACATGCGTTTATTGGGGATTACTCAGGGCAGATTGCGATGCTGAAGCTGGCGAATAATGGCGCGCAGGTTGTGACGACCTTGAAAGGTCATTCCGGATCGGTGCGGACGCTGGCGTGGGACACCGAACGGCAGATGCTCTTCAGCGGGTCTTTTGATCAATCCGTCATTGTTTGGGATATTGGCGGACAGCAAGGTACTGCTTATGAACTTCAGGGACATCATAATAAAGTGAGTCATAGTAAAATTATTAATTATTACAATTTTTTGTTGATTTTTAATGAAATACCGGTATTTTTTCTTCATATTTACGATATACCGGTGTTTCACATCTGTAATCTATATGATTCATACCGAAATTGCTTCATTATGCATACACTTTTGATAACATTGTTTGTATTTTGATAAATTTTAGGTTTCTGCATTGTGTTATCTAAACTCAACTCGCCAATTAGTCAGCGCTGGTGAAGACGGCGTGCTGGTGTTCTGGGATATGAGCAAACACCGTCGCGAAACACCCGAATGGATCGAATCCGACACGTGCCAGATGTGCGGACGTCCGTTCTTCTGGAATCTGCGCGTCATGCTCGACCAGCGACAACTGGGCATTCGACAGCACCATTGCCGCCATTGCGGTAAAGCCGTATGTGATAAATGCTCCACGCCGCGTTTGACCATCCCGGTGATGGGCTTTGAGTTTGCTGTGCGTTGTTGTGAACCATGTCACAACACACTCAAAGATCACGAGTAAGTTTATTGCTAAATATTTGCATAAAATATTTAATATATTTATTTAATTAACTTGCTAGAACACCAGGTGGCGTTGAGTGTTAATTTGAATGATATTCTACGCCACCTGGCGGTGAAATTAGTGAAATACTTAATCTGACAATCAATTTTTCTATTTTTGGATAAAACATATTATCTTTTTAATAAAAACTGTGTGTATAACATGTCATGATGATCGGTTGAGTTGTTTCCGCATGAGAGCGTAGCAAACAAACAACTTTTGCATTTTTTAATATAAATTGATGATTTTGTTTTGCAGTCGACCATCAATGGCGACCTTCCACGATGCTAAACACAGCATAGCGGCAATGGCACTGGACGAGACGCGCAAGAAGCTCGTCACCGTCGGGCACGACAAACTCATCAAGATATGGGACATCTCCGCGCTGCTTTAATATTAACGCGATCGCCTCTCACACACACCACCACATACACACATCCATTAATACATATGCGCATTCATTCGCAACTGATAACAGCGCGCGTCTAACTTAGTTGACGCGCCGGCGACACCTCAGCGAACATATTAACGAAGCAACAATGAAAACCAAGGGAAATTCGATGCTAGCGTAAGTTTACTATGTTATTACTAAATATATTATACTTGTTTATATTTGTATAGGGCGTCTTGATGAACGAATATGCTATAAGCACCAACTTGTTCAAGAGCTAACAATCTTATTATATCACTATTGATTTATTCCTAATTCTAAACAGATACGTTTATTACTCGATATATATATATATATAGAGATTGTCAATATCTAGTGTTTATTTGTATGTTTATGTTTGTATATAATTGAAATTAACTGATTACTTGAGTTTCATTCAGGATGGTGAATGTCTATTACTGAAGGAGCTTACTTACATGTTGATGATATCAAATTGTTCGATTATTCGTACGTGCGTTCAATTTATTGCTTTAGAACAGATGATTTTACTGAAATACAATTTCAAGTACGTATGGGAATTGGATTTATTTCGAATAAAGGGGATTTACTTTGTTTGCAGTGGCGCAAGATGGCGTTGGATAGGCAACTGTTTAATCATTTGTAAGCTGAATATAAACTCAATAACTAGTAAAAATGTCGGTAAATATTTCCTGAAGTTAAATATGAATTCCGCGTCGCTCAGTTGTATTCACTTGTGTTATGTTTAAATGATTTTGGTGTAACACAACGTGCATCCCAACAAATTAACTGAAAAATCGTGATTAAGTTATAGAAATTTGCATTGCAATTTGTGTGTATGTTGGGTTGCATAACCACAACAATATTTCAAGTGTTACCATCGATGTCATGCCTTTGAAACAATATTTTAGCTCATAATTGCTAGAAATGAAAATATTTTTCATTGTTACACAGAAAAATTAACATAAACCAACCAAATTGTACAAATATCATTGTTATACTGATTTTTTTTCGTTAAAACTTCAATATTTCAATGCAAAACATGATTTACAACAATTTATCTTATCTTTTTCATAGTAAAATCTATTTGTTCAATTACTAATGCAACATTACCGCCCTCTACTCGCACTCTCTGCGCAGTCAGCTGTAGAATGCGACAGACATTTGTTTACGCATGTGTTGTGTTGTATCCACACTTCTCTCACTTGTTTTAACTTAAAACTAGAAACTTTCAAGTGCGCTTAAATAAACACCCGCCCGCAGAAATGTCGATTTTAGAAAAGCTGCGCCGTTTCGACGCCTATTCGAAGACGCTGGACGACTTCCGAATACAAACCTACGGCGGCGCGACGGGTACGTGGCCGTGTACAACACGGCAATATCCCGCAATAACCTGCATATCCTGCCTACACTTCCATACTTTAAACTAAATTATTTTTTATTATTTTATAGTGACGATAGTTAGTATTACAATCATGTCGTTATTAATCTGGGTGGAATTGAACGACTACATGACGCCAAACATAGAAGAAGAATTGTTTGTGGACACATCAAGAAGTCCAAACATTCAGATTTCATTGGATGTGATTTTTCCTAGAATTTCTTGTGATTGTAAGCAAAATATACATTTTTTTCTCATCTAACAACTAAATATATATTTTATAGTTTTATCTCTTGATGCTATGGACTCCTCAGGAGAACAGCACTTACAAATTGATCATAATATATTTAAACGAAGCCTAGACTTGGAAGGAAACCCAATCGAAGAGCCAAAGAAAGAAGATATTATTATAAAAGTAAAAGAACCCGAGGAGGAGAAGAATGTGACGTGTGGAAGCTGTTATGGTGCTTCATTAGACCCTAAAAAGTAAGTTAAACCATTTTTCTTCATTTTAAATCCAATTAATCATAATTTTTATGTAAAAGATGTTGTAATACATGTGAAGACGTGCGGGAAGCCTATCGTGAACGCCGCTGGGCGTTTCCAGACAATCCAGAGAACATAACGCAGTGCAAAGATGAAAAATACAGCGAGAAAATCAAAACAGCATTCACGCAAGGCTGTCAAATCTATGGCACGCTGATTGTAAACCGCGTTTCTGGCAGTTTTCACATTGCGCCTGGTAAAAGCTTCACGATTAACCACGTGCATGTACACGACGTGCAGCCATTCTCCTCCACGGTGTTTAACACAACCCACAAGATACGACATCTTTCGTTCGGAGCGAATATCGACAGTGAGACGCATAATCCGCTCAAGGGGACTGAATGCACAGCTGAGGAAGGTAAATTTATCACTTTATTTGCAATTTTTTTGCGTTTTTTACATAACAGCGTAATATTATATGCGTTAAATCACATTACAACTGTCCCCGGCAACTAATAGCGTTGCTGCTAAGAAATTATTACGTATGTATAAGTTTTTCTGTGGCTGTGTGAGAATTTTAACACCGCAATCCGGAGCCGATCGCTAAGAATGTGCCGAAAGATCCGCCGCCTTGTATCATCACTTTGCCAACGGTGTTTACTAATTCACGCCCGCGAATTCCACCCCTGGAAATTAAATTGCGTGTTTTTTTATGAGTTGTTGGTGTGTGGGTATAATGTGTTAGCTAACCTGAGCGCTGAGAAGCCGCCGAATAGCGCGCCGCTCGCCATGCCTACGCAGAAACCGAGTATGAAGCCCATCTTCATCTTGTCGAAGCATGATGGGCCTTGCTGTTGGTATACTCCACCCGGCATCGGCATTTTTGATGTGGCTGTATTTACAAGCACGGTATTAAAAACTAAATTTAACGCATGCGACCATTGACCTTTGTTGAGGTCGCAGATGACAGCGTGTCAGTAATGGCGGCGTTTGTCATTTGACAGATATTTAATACTGGTAGGGATATATATCAATTTAAAATACATAGAATAACTCGTATTGTTTTTATTTAAACAATTATTCTTCACATGCAAAGTTCACTTTTTTATCACATGCGTAGTCATCCCAGGACCATTCATCTGAGATTGATTTACGAATGACAATGCAGTCCTCTTCGCCTTGATTCTTTCCGTTGTCAGGTTGAGTGAGATCCCAATGTGTGTAAGTCACTGGGAGACCATTTGACATCCAGGAATAAGATCCTTCGGAAACAAGGTCGTTTCCAGAGGTCCAAATCTTTTTTTGTCCCAATCCTTTAGACACACATGTTTATTAATTCTTGCTTTTAAGATATTTGTTTATATTTTACTCACCAGCGCCATAAATAGTGCGGTATAGATTTAATTCGTCGTCGGCGTTTTCAACCGAAGCCAATTCCATGCCGACAAGATGGCAGAATTGCATTGCTTCAAACCATGTCTTTTCTTCTAAAGAAATTACAATGTAATTCTTAGCTTTTGTGTTTGCGGTCGGTTTAGCGAATACCGATGCAAGTAAAACACTCGCGAAAATAGTTAATTGAAGTAGATTCATTTTTGTGTCAATTATTTTGAACTGATACAAAAAAAAAAATCAAACGCAGCTTATATACACTCAATTTTTATATGAAAAACACTGTGAAGAGTGTTGTAAATTACTGGATGTAATTAACAACACCAAATTTATCTCAAAACACTCGAAATAAGTTGAAGTACCGATAGAATAAGAACATGCGGATGAAACTGCTATTTTGGTACTTGAAATGTACTTTAACTGTGTCATCATTCATTAATTTGAGTTTAATCATTCATAAACTCATGTAAACACAGTTTCGTTTAAAAAATGCGATATTTAAAGCGTTTTCTTTTAATAATTTTGTAAAAATTTAAGTTAATTGCGTTATTTATTAGAAATGTTATCATTTTTATGTTGTTTTTTTGCTTTAAAACGCGAATTGAAACATAAAAATCAGCATTTTACACCAAAAACATGAAATTCTAATGATTTCATCTTCATATCTTGTAAAAATTTAGCTCAATTGCGGAAATTATTAAAAATCTTGCATTTTTTTGTATTTTTTCGCTTTAATTAGCGTAAAACTTAATATTTTTCTTTTTTCTAGGAGCAACAATGTTCCAATACTACATAAAAATCGTCCCCACGGCTTACGTAAACAAAAACAACTCAATCATGCACTCGAATCAATTCTCAGTTACGAAACACAAAAAAGTCGTCTCTGTGATGAGCGGCGAGTCGGGAATGCCAGGCGCATTCTTCCAATACGAACTCTCGCCTCTAATGGTCAAGTACACCGAACGCGAGCGCTCCTTTGGCCATTTCATCACGAATGTCGTCGCGATCATCGGCGGCATCTACTCAGTCGCCAGCCTAATCGACGCAGTCATCTACCGCTCAGTACGCCTAATCCAAGCTAAGATCGAAATCGGTAAACTCAACTAATCGGCGAATCTCAATTGGTAATTTTATATTTAAACTAGTACATTCCCTGCAACAAGAAATCTTCTATTCATAATGTTTGTAAAAACGTGTTAAACGATTGTATTGACGTTTGCGCCACTTGGGAGGCGAACTCGGAGTCACTGCCAGAGACGATGAGTGCGGGCGATATGTAACCGGGCTGCTTGGGATTAAATTGCACTTTGTTGAGGCGCTGCAGGTATTCGAAGCGCTGTTGCAGCCGGAAGAGGCGACAGCCGAGCACGTCGGGCATCTGCGCGATGGTTTCCAGCGAAATTTTCATTGTGTTGTGTAAATATTCGAATGTTTTTAATAGTTTCTTGTGATCTGAAGTACAAACAATTACTATCGAGGAGAATTGGTTATGTTTTTACTGACCGTTCATGAATAATCGGGGTTTTTGCAATAAAATGCGTTTGTACTCTTCGTCGGTGAATCCCATCTCCTCTTTTAGAGTGAATATGCTTTTTTTAATGTGTCTTTGATTGTAGGTGATAAGTTTTGGTTGTTTTGCAGTCAAATATCTTACTTCGTCTCCAGTCAACGAGAAAGTCTTCTGGAAAAAGCCTAATTTCTTGTCTATATCTCTCGTACTGCAAGAAATTACATCAGAAATCATATAAAAATATATTTTATGTAAGTATAAACATACCTGAAACTCAACCAGAATGGATTTAGTGCTATTATCCTCACAATCATTTCTGCTGTGAATTTTTTTGATTCTAGATAGTTTATTCTGACTTTTAAGTCATCCAAACATTCTTTAAGTATAAATGGATTCTTTGTTAGTATTACACCGATTTGTTCAACAGTTAAACCCAAGTCATGCAAGAGTATAACATGTTCTTTTATATCAGTTTCAAACTTGAGGCCTAAAATAAACTCTGGGACATCAGTCTTTTTCTCAAGTTTATGCAGGTTTACACCAAGTTTAACTAATTCTTGTAAAGTTTCTGATTTGTTCACGTACGCAGCGAAATTAAACGTTGGTTTTAAATAGGGTGCAATGTGTTGGACTTCTTCGTCATCACAAGGGTCTAACACTGATGGAGTTTGTTTTTTATAGATTTTTATATCATTTTCATGTTGATTTTGTACAATTACATCTGGTAGTGATGATGCAGATGATAATGCATTGTTTGGTGTTTTATATAGTCGTTTAAGTGAGTTTAGAAGTGTTTTATTTATGAAATTATTCATTTTTGGGTAGTTTTATGTTGTTTAGAATATCATGCGTACAACCTTAAATAAGTTTGAGGTTAGGTTAGTCTTGACTTGCGTCGTTTCGCCGCGAGTCAATTCGCCACAAAAATAATTCAAGTTTCTTGGTTGAAATAAATAAATTTATGAGAATATTAAATTGATTTTTATAATTCTAATTTCGAATATGTGAAATTCATCATATTTGTTGATGTAATTTGAATGATTAGTTAACAAAAACGATTGAATAGTCAATAATTTCTCACTTAGTTACTAAAATTCGTTTTTACTCAATTATTCATTAATATTATATGTCTAAACACATTAAATACAAAAGATTTCACATTGAACTCACATAAATCAGTTTAATATTCTCCTAAATGTATTTATTTCCGCATCAAATTGAATTATTCTCCCGGTGTATATGTGCCGAGGTGAAACGACTCGCGGCGAAACATCCCATACCCTTTGAAAAGTCAACAACCAACAACACAGCTCTAGGTTATTGTTTATTGTACTCCTGTCATCTCCACTGTATACATCAGCAATTAGTGGGTGGATGTGTGTTTTATGAAGTCATGTTTTCGTCAGTTTGCGTTTTAATTGCGTCGACACGTAACCCACCGCTCGCAAGACGCAGCTCACCTGCTGCCCGATAAATTTGCCGCGCCACCCGCACCACAATCGTCCAACCATGGACACGAGCACTACGTCCATCGAGGGCGGTTCAAAGAAGGTCCAATTAGAAGAATTAACCAAAGAGGAACTTGTTAAGAAGTGCCGCAGTTTACTCACCATCGCACAGAAGGCAAAACAAGCTCGAGATGTTTTGGTTGAAGAAAACAATAAACTTAAACAATCACCACCTGTAAACACAACTGCCACTGAAGAATTGATTGAATCCTTTACACAACAGAAACTAGACTTGGTTACAAAGAATGACACATTGGTACAAGAGAATAAACAACTACAGGAACAACTGAATCAAGCAGAAGAAAAACTTGCAAGTTTAGATACTGAAAGTCAAGTGTATAAAAGACAAGTTTCCAGGCTAACAGAAGAAAATGAACAGTTATTAACACATCTAGATGGTCTAGAAACACAAATCAATGAGTTAAAGAGGATTGGTTTGGAACAACAGCAGCAGTTGCTTATTCTAGAACAGAATAATGAAGCAATAGCAGAGAAAAACGAACTGAATGAGTTGCAGAAAATGCTAACTGTCAGTTTGGATGAAATAAAGAAGTTAAAAGATGAAAACAAACAAATCCAGGAAGTTGTCTCAGAGAAAGAAGCAATAATTATCAGTCTAAATGACACACTAGCAAACTATGACTTTAATTCACAGAAATATGATGAATCTAAGGCTTTGTTACTGCAAAAAGATGAAGAACTTCAAAGGCAGACTAGAGTTATTGATGATTTAAACACTGAACTGCATAAAAATCGTGCATTGGCCGAAAAATTAAAACAAGATATTTCTAATACAAGTAAAAGATTCAATGATAATCAGATTGAATCGAGTGGAATTAATGCTGAACTACAAAATAGTAATGAAAAACTTCGAGAGAAATTGAAGAGTTATCATGGGAAGATTGTTAAATTGGCTGGAGATGTCAGAAAAGTTAAAGAAAGCAAGGAATATATCTTGGATACGTTTAAAGTCTACAATCAACAAGTACAACTCTGGCAGGAGCAATTAAAAGCCCTTAGTTTGAGGTTACAACAAGAAGTACAACTTAATTTCGATGAAAAACAGAAACTACAGAAGAGAATTGATGAATTGGAAGAGAAATTGAAAGAAATGGAGAATTTAACAGTTGAAAAAGAGAATTTGCATAAAACTGTCGATGTAATGCGGTCGCAAATGACTAAATTAAATGAAGATGTCGCAGATGGCAAAGAAAAGTATTTAGAAGAGGTTAAACATGAACTTGAGGTTAAATCTGACACATGTAACCAACTCACAGAAGAATTATCCAATGAAAAAGAAATTTATGAAAAGTTAAGACTGGAATACAATGGATTATTGTTAGACAACAATAAACTATCACAAGATTTACTTTTGAAGACCAATGAAAATGATGACAATGCAAAATTACTTGCTGAAATGCAGGCAACCCTCCATACACAAACCGAAGATTATTCAAAATTAAAAGAAGAATACACTGCTAAAGTAACTGAATTTGAAGCAACAATTGAAGGTAATATCCGGTTGGTGAGTGAACTTAAGAAGGCCATTGAGAGATTAGAGTCCGACTTGGAATCGTCGCGCATCACGGAATCCAAACTAGCGGAACAAACCAGCGAGACGATTCGTCAACTGCGCCAAGAGAAGAAAACACTCGAAGATGAAATTGAAGAGTTACATTTACAACAAGAAACCGCAGCGCAACCAACGTTAAAGTCTGAAAACGCCGAACTTTTGGCTGAGATGAACGTCATGAATCAAGCACTCAAGGAACGCGGTGAGACTATCAGTCAACAACAAGCACACTGTGAAGAATTAGTGAAAAAAATACAAGTTTACGAAGGGCAACTTGCAAAAAGTCAAGAACACGTTCAATCACTACAAGAAGAAGTGCAATCTCTACGTTCACAAGTAAATCAAGATGATTACGATGCTTTGTCAACTTCAACGATCTCCAAATGTGATGAGATTAATAGAATGAAAGAATTAGAAGGTAGTTGGGAGGAGCGTTATGGTAAACTTCGGACTTACGCTGTAAAATTAAAAGCAAAAGCTAAAGAGATGCAGGATGATGCAAAACGTTTAGAAGTTGAAAAAAGTGAGTTACAAGGACGTGTTGCGACTCACATGAAAACCGTGCAGAGTATGCAAGCACAAATTGATGCGCTGCATGATAAAATCGACCTCCAGAAGGAAACTAAGAGTAAAATGGACCAAACCAACAAGGATAATCAACGATTACTTCAACAGTTAGCCAGTAATGAAGAAACAATCCAGAAATTAACATCACAGGTTGAAGGATTGACTCAGGAGAAGACAAATCTCGATTCTTGGAAGAAACAAGTCGGGACTAAAGTACAAGCACTGAAAAAAGAACTGGAAGCTAATACTTTGATGCGTAAAGACTTTGAAAGTCGTATTACTAAGTTACAAGCTGATTTAGCCGCTAAAGAAAAAGAACTTTCGGCTGAGAAGGAAAAACATACCACAACTAAATCACAATTGAATGAATCTAATAACGAATGTAAGAAACAGTCGGTGCTGAATCTAGAAATGCAGGATTATGAGCGTTCTATTAAAGATTTGTCTGCCAAACTTGAAAAGAAGAATGAACAGGTTACCAAGTTGAAGAATCAAATTGATGCGCAGAAAAGTTCTGTGAGTTCAACGAAAGAACAGAATAGATTGATGGAAGAGAAGTGTAGTGAGCTGGAAACTGAGCTGGATGCTTGCAGGATTGAGATAAGAACGTTTAAGAAGCAAATCGCTGACTTGGAGATTACCATCGGTGATAAAGAGAGTAAAATTGATGAGACTTTGAAGAGTTTGGAAGCTACACGCAGTGAAAATGAAGATTTATCCACACAATTATCGAAAATAATCGCAGAACATCAAAAGGTTAATCAATTGTTGAGAGAAGAAAAAGATCATTTTAGGAATGAGAATGTTGATTTAGAATCACGGCTGAGACAATTATCTGATCAACTTAAACTTAGAAGTGATGAGTTGGATAATGTTAATGCAGAGTATCAAAGTTATAAAGTTCGTGCACAGAGTGTGCTGAGACAGAATCAAAGTCGAGATGTTGGTGTAGAAGAGAAGTTAACTGAAGAAGCGGCGAGTTTAAGGGCGCAAATGAAGATTTATCAGAGTGAAATTGATGAATTGAAGTGAGTATGACACAAGCGGTCATTTTGAGGTTATTTTTGACATGTGACATATGACATTTCCAGGTTAAAACTTAAAACTCTTGAGACATCTAATCAAAAATTACAAGAAGAGAAAAACGATTTGGATGTACAACAAAAAGAAATCCAAGAAGATTTAAGCAATGCACAAGTTGAGATTGAGAAATTAAACGCTAAACATCTATTGACGATACAAGAGCATAATGAAACCGTGCGAAGTTTGAAGGTTAGTTTTTTTTATTTAAATTTCATATTTAACTGTTATAAAATTGATTCTTATGGTTGTATTTTATAGCTGCATACTGAAACGCTCTCGCAATGTTATCGCCAGCAGATATCCGAGCAGGAAGTGCGCCACAACCGGGAAATCATCGAACTACAATCGAAATACGATAAAAACCCGCCGCCACAAACCGACATTCCTTCATTAATCATCCCTACATCCATCCGAGAGGAAGGGGAAGGATCAGAAAGCGTTGACAGTACAAACGGTAACAATATACATCCTTTAGAAAAACTACTAGGATCAGATCAGGATCAGGAACTGGCAGCGGTGAAGAAAAACCTGAACGAAAACGAGTTGCGCGTTGTGCATTTAACCGCATTACTCGCTGACACCGAACAGGATCTGTCAAAACACATGCAGATGAATAAAGTGTTAAAAGAAGAGATTAGAAGGCAACAGAGGTCGGTGGAACGTGAACGCCACGCGGAGAATTTAGAATATATGAAGAACGTCGTATTTAAAGTAAGTTTAAATCAGAAAAATAGTAAAAAATGAAATAAAACATGTTTTATTTACAGTTTATCACTTTAAACAATGGCGACGAACGTCTACGACTTGTACCAGTCTTAAACACGATTCTAAAGTTGAGTCCTGAAGAAACAAACAAGTTGAATTTAGTTGCGAAAGGCGATAAATCCTGGTCGAATTACCTTCCGCTGTGGGCAGGTGCAGGCGGCAGTAAACCGCAGTAATATTATTAATTATTATCTGTAAATATATAAATAAATGAAAAAAACAACGTATTAATGCTTATTATATGTTTAAAAGGGTTTAAATTTGCCGCCTCCGTTGGATATGTGTATATAATTGAGCGCCGCTTCCGTCCGGCGCTGTTACAACCGCCACTGATTGGATGCTATTTTTTGCCGGCTTCCCCTTTATTTAGATCTCAGTCGCTTGCGCTCAATGCGACAGTTAAACGTCGCTGAAACCCACTCACATCAATTTTTAGAATATTTCTGTGTGATTTTGAGTGTAATTTTATTTCGGTGGTGAATTTTTGTGTTTTTGTGTTGATTGTAAGGTCCTGCGCTTTCTGCCCCCACTTTATCGCCGCCGGCACTCCCCGACTTCCGGTTGGCCGCGCGACGCCGCCGTCGTCCGCCGTTCTCGCCCTCTTGCAGTGCTTTTCAAGGTAAGCGGATCGTCCTCAAACTTGTCCCCTTGTTCAACTCTCCACGTTTGCCAATCGTGTGTTATCCGCTTGCATCCTGCGCGTAAATTCAGTGAAAATCAAACAAAACCATCGCAAATCATCAGAAGAATATTTTCCGTGATTCAGTGGTGATATTTTTTGTTTTCTGGTGCCGGTACGCGACATTTTTCAATACATTTTCACACAATCAATATTCAATTGTTTTAGTTATGTTCAAAAATTTAATTTTGTTGTTAATTGCTGTGTATGAGTAAGATTTCATTATATTGTGCAAGTTTTCTTTTTGTTTTATGATTTGATAGTGAACATGCTCATGAAATGTAATATTCAGAGTCATGACCTATCTCAAAAGTCCAAATTTAGTTGCATCTCGACGCCGCTGCGGGAGAGATGCAGCGTTAAATGCACGCTGCACATCTGTTCCGCTTCATGTTTTATCGATTCGCGGCGAGAAACACCCTTTACAAACAAATGTCTCTCGTCTGACATCCCCGGTGGGTACGGGCGGTCGTGACCAGTTATTGATTTTCTCTCCGTCGCGACTTTACAAAATGCCGACGATCATCACTCTTCTTTTGTTTCATTCTGTATTCAATCCACATCCAAGCAAGCTTATTATTTGGTTGCTTAGCGACGAATAACAACTGCCCGGCCATTGAAATAATAATCGTGGAGAACAGCTTCGTGACTTTGTATTCTTTGTGTCTGCAGGAAGCAAAAAAGACAAGTTGAGACTAATCAGCCGCCGCCATGGGTAAGGAAAAGATTCACATCAATATCGTCGTCATCGGCCACGTCGACTCCGGTAAATCAACATCTACTGGTCATTTGATTTACAAATGCGGTGGAATCGACAAGCGTACCATTGAGAAGTTCGAGAAGGAAGCGCAGGAGATGGGTAAAGGTTCGTTCAAATACGCGTGGGTCTTGGACAAGCTGAAAGCGGAGCGTGAGCGTGGTATTACCATTGACATCGCCCTCTGGAAGTTCGAGACTGCCAAGTATTACGTTACCATTATCGACGCGCCTGGACACAGGGATTTCATCAAGAACATGATTACCGGTAAGTAAACCCATTAAAAATTCTTAAATCAAAAATTTTAATGTTGAATTTTATTACTTTAGGTACTTCTCAAGCGGATTGCGCTGTGTTGATTGTCGCTGCCGGTACCGGTGAGTTCGAAGCCGGTATTTCCAAAAACGGCCAAACTCGTGAACACGCTCTGTTGGCGTTCACTCTCGGCGTGAAGCAGTTGATCGTCGGTGTGAACAAGATGGACTCCACCGAGCCGCCGTACAGCGAGACGCGTTTCGAGGAAATCAAAAAGGAGGTGTCCTCGTACATCAAGAAGATTGGTTACAATCCACTCGCTGTACCATTTGTTCCTATCTCCGGCTGGCATGGCGATAATATGCTCGAGGCTTCGGACAAGATGCCATGGTTCAAGGGATGGACCGTCGAGCGTAAGGAGGGTAAGGCTGATGGTAAATGCTTGATTGAAGCATTGGACGCCATCTTGCCGCCTTCTCGTCCTACTGAAAAGCCACTGCGTTTACCACTTCAGGTAATTTTTTTTTTAACAAAATGGCGGCTTTTTTTAAATATTTTATGTTTTTATACAGGATGTTTACAAAATTGGTGGTATTGGTACAGTACCAGTGGGCCGTGTGGAGACTGGCATCCTCAAGCCAGGCATGGTGGTAACCTTCGCCCCTGCTGGTCTGACCACTGAAGTAAAGTCCGTGGAGATGCACCACGAGGCATTGTCCGAAGCCGTTCCCGGCGACAATGTCGGTTTCAACGTCAAGAACGTGTCCGTTAAGGAATTGCGTCGTGGTTATGTCGCTGGTGATTCCAAGGCATCGCCACCACGCGGCGCTGCTGATTTCCTGGCGCAGGTTATTGTCCTGAACCATCCCGGTCAGATCGCCAACGGATACACGCCGGTGCTGGATTGTCACACGGCGCACATTGCGTGCAAATTCGCCGAGATCAAGGAGAAGTGCGACCGTCGTACCGGTAAGACCACCGAGGAGAATCCCAAGTCGATCAAGTCGGGCGACGCCGCCATTGTCAACCTGGTGCCCTCGAAGCCGATGTGCGTCGAGTCGTTCCAGGAGTTCCCGCCGCTGGGACGCTTTGCTGTGCGTGACATGCGTCAAACTGTCGCTGTGGGTGTTATCAAGTCGGTCACCTTTAAAGATACCACTGGCAAGGTGACGAAGGCCGCCGAGAAGGCGCAGAAGAAGAAATAACTAGACTTAGTCACATCCGCTGCCATCGAATGCGATCGTGCGCAGGACGCGTTCGCCAGTAATCATCGTTTGTTATTCTCTAGGTGGCTCCAGCAGCATTACTTTCATCGCAAAGAGTTTAGAAGGAAAAACTACGTGGCTATATTAAGTTCCCTTTTTAAGATTATTTAAATTATATTACGATCCATATTGATATTTTTATTTTTCGTTTCTAAGTTCTCTGCGTGAGGCGTCGAATTGTTTTCTTCTTTGTTTTCTGTGTTTTTGTACGGTTTTTGTTTCGGAGACAGGCAGGGGACGAAGTGGATGGGATGGTATTGAATGTGGGGGGGGAAGACGACGACGAAAGGCACGTTTTCGATTGTCTGATTAGTGTTTAAGTTTTTGTTTGATGAGCGTACTTGTTTTCGTAACTTTATAAAACGATCACACTGAGCAATGACTTCTGAATTCTGAACTATTGCAGACACTTGAAATATTCTCACTTCTTGACGATAGAATTGAATTTAATGTTATACCAACAATATCTGACTTAATAAAATGCATACAAATACTTCCTCTGTAAATTTTCATGTTTTTAACGAAACAAAATGGCCGCTTGAAGTGTTTTCATGTTTATTTACTAATGGAAAGTTAGAATATTTGTTTTGTTATGTTTAAATACATTAATCACAGATATTTTCTTTGAAAACATATTCTAATCGTTAAATAATGTTACAAAAAACACATATTTACCTCTTTAAAGTAATAATTTGACTAATTCGTACAAAAATATAGAAATTTTGGCACTAACAGTTCGTCGCACACAAGTATCCAACCGGAAAACCATCCGCCGCCATCTTGGATGACATCACCTCACCTGTCATGTTTTTTACTTTGAGTTATTGTCAAGTCAAACTTGTAGAATTCATTCTCCGGCTGAAAGAAAACTCGTGCAACTTCAGTTGCCTACATACGATCGGCAATAACAGTACAATTTCAGATGGAAGTCGGTTATACATCTACTCTGCTCCCCGTAGAGATTGATACGACTCACTGTCCCCGTGACTGTATAATTAGGCGTGTTTGAATTCATTTCTTCGCGGCGCACAGTCGCCTCAAAGATGGCGCCGCCCGGTTCAGTCTTGAATGTTACGGTAAAGTCGCGTGTTGATCTCGTATACTCTTTCAACTCGTTGTCATTGGTCAACTCGCGCGCATCCTCGATTGAAACCAGTTTCAGCGTCAAGCAATCCGCATAGCCAATCAGAAGATTGTTTATATGCTGGACTGTATGATTGACTGCTTGCACCACCACATCAGTGGTAGTATCAATATTGACGCTGTTCTGGCATGTGCACCAGTGTTGTGCAATGCCGGCCGCGGCACAAGTGCGATTTTTCGAGATTTCGCGGAATAGACTCACACCTCGCGGCGTTGTTGTGTTCAAGTGCCTCTCGGGATGTAATAGATCAATGAACGTTTCGTGTAAATCAAACGGCGTGGTTAATCTCCGGACGTTGGTTTTAAGATTACGATCGAAGTCGACGTGGCTCTCGCGGTACCACTGCGGTAAAACAATGTAGACAAACGGAAGGCGTTCTTCCATGCGGCCTTGATACGTGCTACGAATGTCACCCCATCGAATACCATGATCACTGATGACAAGCAATGCTGTTTTATTCAAAATTCCTTCTTCGTCCAGATTGAAGAGAATATTCATGTAATCTTGGTCGCCTAACTTCGGCTTGTTTAAAAAATCATGTGAAAGACTTGATGTCCAGAAGAAACCGAAGAATGGTTTGGCTGCCTCCGCCATTGTCATCACGAAATTATTGATGTAATCAAGGAAAACCATGTAGGTTTGTCGAGAGCCGAGGCATTGGTCCACATTCAGGCGATGGTTGTTGCCTACTTCATTCGTAGCGGTAATATCAAAGTGATCATAGAAATAATCAGTAGGTTTGTTTCGGAAGCCACGTTTCGTGTAGTAAAATAACCCCATCCATGCTGAATCCTCCCCGAAAGCAGTTGTATACCCAGCGCGTTTGTAATCCTTCCATATGAACGAACAATTATCGAAATGCGCGTCCTCTGTCGGCCAGCAAAGTTTCTGCACTTCGGTCTCGTCATGCCCTGTCAACGCCGCGATCAGGTTAGGATACGTATTGTCGCCGATCTTGTTATAACCTAAAAGCTCCACAGCGTTGAGCTTTTCCAGATAGAAGGCGGTTTTCGGCATTTGCCGGTGGAAGTTAAGACGTGACACTGCGTCGATTCCAATAACTAAAACATTTAATCTTTCACTTGTCGGTTGTGTTGTGTTTGTTGTGTTGTTTTTTACGATTGGAATCGCACGGGAATCGTTTTTAATTGGCACAAAACTGAAGAAATCTTTATAGATTTCATTTGAATCATATTGGCACTTGACACGCAGGAACTCTTCATCCGGATGGACATACGCGCTGCCTTCCACCAGATGGCACTGTTCATCATATTGCACTTTTTTATCCGATTGATCAACACCAGGTGTCGCGCGGTGGAAATACTGGTAGCAACAGGTTAACTTCTTCACGTCGGTGATTTTATACTGCTCGAAAGCATCTTCAACGCGGTAGATGGCTGTGCGGTTAGCTTCATAAAGCGGTGGTAGACCTTTGTTGCACACGACGGGTTTCTCGCGGAAAATGTACTTTTTGATGAGCGGATCCATCGCTTTGAGGTCGGGTATTGTGCATCCGGGGGTTTTTATGAGATAACCTTTGACTGCAGCTTCTTCGGTATAGATGGCGGCCTTTTTTTCGTTTGAGTCTGATGAGTGCGTGAGAACATATGCGCCTGAATTGGCGAGGTTTTTCACTTCCGCCAGGTTGTAGAGGAAGGTCAATGCGGCGAAGAGGAGCAGAAGGCACCAGAAGATTACTGAGGTGCGCCATCGTGTTTCTTCCATTCGGAGGACCTTGTTATCGTGTGGCACCTTGAAACAAATGGATGAATTTGAGTGTTTGCGTTCTACTTATAACAAAAACCAAAGTGTTTATCACATATTAGATAAAAAATGTCGAGGTATTGAGTGAAATTATATAAAAAAATCAAAAATCTCCTAAACTAAAAGACATACAGGATTCATTTCTTTTCCTGTGGGTTGTCCTTGACAAGGACTTTAAGATTTACTGCATATAAATTTATAAAACACAATATTTCACTGTTAATTTATTAATTAACCGAATTTTTTTGATGGTTTTTGATGATTTTTGCTTAAATTCAATTTGTTTGTACCTGGATGTATCCTGGCGCTGTGGGAATGCCCACGGCCGTCGTCACCTCATCCCAGTAATGCGATTAATCGCGCGTCGTCGCCACGTGCATAATTAAATGCGGCAGGAAGACGCGGGCGGAGCACTCATCGCCGCCTCCGGAGAATAGACTGCAAATCGAACGAGGTAGTGAGTGTGAAAATTGCGTTATCGGCTTTGGTGGCGGCGGCGGCGGCGCCTCCACTCTGCTGCCAGCCGCGTGCGCCTCTTCCGCTCGATATTTTCCTGCCCCGCGGCGTGCCGCCCGAGAGGAGAGGCGCGCGCGAGAGACGTGATCTTACGGGTGACATGCGCGCCAAGATTTTTCTCGTTTTCGTTTTCACGTCAAGCACTTTGTGAAATTTCGAAATCGGTTTTTTGTATTATCTTGTTTGCTCAGATGACAGCCTCATTCATTTAGTATCTACGGATTGGGCTTCAGGGAATTTTTTTTCAAACATTTGTGAGCCAATATTTACAATGGTACTTGTTATCGATGATTATCTCAGTTGTTATTGCATGGAACTTTTTTTTATCTTGATGTAACTTTTTTATTTTATCAGGAAATTTAGTTTTATGGAGATATATTAATGATATTCAGTGTATTTTTATAACATAACCACAATTTTTTGCTTCTAAGCATTACAATTCACAGTAAAAATCAAAAATTTGAACGTGGCTTAAAATAATCGCGAATTTTCTTTGTAAATATTGACAATCGATAATAATCTCAATTATTATTGCATGTAACTTCTTTATCTCAACGTAGCTTTTTTATTTTATCACCAAAATTACTTTTATCGAGATAGATGAATGAAATTCAATAATTTCCTTAACATAACCTCAAATTTTTGCTTCTAAACCACACAATTCACACTAAAATTAAACATTTTAACGTAGCTTACAATTATCGGGGATTTGCTTCCTAAAAATTTATAATAATACTTGTTATCGATGATAATCTCACTTATTAATGCATAGAACTTTTTTATTTTATCACTAAATGAACTTTTATCAAGATAAATGTATGAAATTCAATGTTTCATTAACATAACCTCAATTTTTTGCTTCTAAGCATTACAATTCACAGTAAAAATCAAAAATTTGAACGTGGCTTAAAATAATCGCGAATTTTCTTTGTAAATATTGACAATCGATAATAATCTCAATTAATATTGCATGTAACTTCTTTATCTCAACGTAGATTTTTTATTTTATCACTAAAATTACTTTTATCGAGATAGATGAATGAAATTCAAGAATTTCCTTAACATAACCTCAAATTTTTGCTTCTAAACCACACAATTCACACTAAAATTAAACCTTTTAACGTAGCTTACAATTATCGGGGATTTGCTCTCTAAATATTTACAATAATACTTGTTATCGATGATAATCTCACTTATTAATGCATAGAACTTTTTTTTATCTCAACATAACTTTTTTATTTTATCACAAAATGAACTTTTATCAAGATAAATGTGTGAAATTCAATTTTATCTTAACATAACCTCAATTTACAGCTTCCAAACATCAAAACTCATACCAAAATCAAAATGATTAACTTACCTTTGTTTCAAAAAAATTGCCTCTCGAAGTTCACAACGTTTTAAACACCAAAAATGCGTGCATAATCCTGATAACTCTAAACCTTGCTGGTTTTATCATGTTTACTAATGCCACATTACTTATTTCGCGTAAAATTCAAATCCTAAGGCTTTGTTGCTATTTGTTGCCTTGCGCTTTATCTCACAGCGCAAATATTTACAACAATCGTTAATGTTTTTCGCGTTGTAATTGAAAAACTAAGCACTCAACGGAAAGTAAACGCTTTAATACATCACGCTCAACATCCGACACTATCAAGCAGCAGCAGGCACCATTACAACAATCTGCGCAGATAAGGAAATAAAGCGCATAACAAAATATAGTAATTATTCAATACAAAGCGCCGTAAAATAAATGGCCAAACTGATTCTTTCACAAAATTTACGACATGGCGGTTAAAATAAAAAAAATAAATAAAAGCATCTTCGTTGTGCTTTCATGACTGAGGGCATTGCATTGCTTCAATCATTATATTTACGACTTCGATTCAAAATGGTAGTGCAATTATTCTACGCATTCTGGACTTGAACAAAACACAATCCGCCCACCGGCGAATTAAATTAATTCCTCTTGACGTAATTGTCAAATTGTTTTAACACACAATGTTTATTGCAACAAACATTAAATTGTATTGCGACGTGATAACGAAAATGTATTTTTAGGTTAGTCATAACCTCAAACATTGTGTATGCAATTATAACCAAACATATTTTAAGTTTTTAGGTTATTTTTATTCTAAGATACAAAATATCATTGCTTAACTTTCATTAAACTCAATTGTAGGATCACTGAAAGCATGAATGCCTTCCGTGTAGATGTTTTCAGGCAAAGCTTCATCACTACTCAAATGCGTGGGGAATTTCAACGCGGCGGGTTTTCTCCTGGGCAATAACGTATCATAAATCGTGACAATAGAGTTGGTTTCACCAGGGATAGCCTGTCCAATCACAAACAACACATTGTGCTTGGTATTGATGCGTAGAATCTCCAATCCACGTAGAATCCGGAATCGGTTGCCCATGTGACCAGGCATTTTGGTTCCGGGCCATACACGTGCCTTCTCTCCACCACCGCCGATGTTTCCACCACGACGATGTGTTTTGGTCACGCCGTGAGATGCAGGCATACCTTTGAAGCCGTGGCGTTTCATTACACCTTGGAATCCACGATCGATTCTATAAAATTTATAATAATTTATTTATTTATGTTTTTGATGTTTAGGAATTTAATAATTCTTTACGTTTTGCCTCTGACGTCAACGACATTGCCGACTTGAAAGTGTAAAACGCCTAGTGGTGTGCCCACTGGTAGCATTGCCTCTGGACTGATGTAAAATCGCGCTAGATGTTTCTTTGGCACTACTCCAGAGTGTTTGAATAAGCCGCAGTATTCTTTTGTGAGTTGTGTGGGATCAGTTGCTTCCGCACCAATCAGGAGGCAGCCTTTTGGGTTTCTGACAGGTACAGGTCTTTCTCTGCCTGGTTGGTATTCACCGGGTGGGTAGTATTTGATGACATGGTTATCTAATACCTGAATATAAAGATATTCGTATAGAAATTGTGTATGTTGTGTATGCAACCCAATTGACAACGTGCTGAGTTCTGTCTGAATGGTGAAGTAATACAGTCGCAGAGGTCTCCACGTTCCTCTCCGTCCCTTTGCATTAGTGACATGTATATTTGGTTGCATAATTTTATAATACTCTAATAATACATGCAAAACCAATCCAGATAATAATATTGAAAACATGATAAATCTCTTACTTGAAGTAAAGTTGCTGATATTTTCTTTCCCTCTTTAGTCCACATGGGATAGATACCAATCTTTCTGGCAATTACACCAGTTCTCCTTAAAGGAGCTGCCCATTCTGCAGGTGCTAAATTAGTCAGCAGCTCTTTTTCTAATGGTGTTTGTGCTGCGAGCTTATCAGCCACAACTTCCTTGAGGAATTCTTTATTTTCTAGTGTTACAGTATCATCAGGACTCTAATAAATATAAAAAATCATCAGTAATTTCATTAAAACAATGAATAATTACGTAAACTCACAGTTTTATCTTTCCTAGTAAACCAAACCGGGTTTCTAAGCCTTGGCTTCGGGTTTAACTTATGCCTTTCACGTATTTGTTGCGAATTGGCTGAAATGCTGTGAACATATATTGTAATAACGTGAATTTCTTTCGAAGGAAAACTTACGTTAAAGCGAATAATTTATCCTCCAATGACTTAATACACACTCTAGACAATGTGTTACTCAACATAAATGCCATTTCTGCGTTTATTCTCTCTTTATTCGGCTAGATTTTAATAGTTTTCTGAATATTTCACTGGTTTTAGGTTGGAAACAAGCAGAAAAAGTTGTAAGGTTAGTGTCCAATTCCAAAAGGAATTATGACGCGCGGCGTCTTCTAAACCCGCAAAGTGTAAACAATTATAAACTATAATTAATAAAATATGTGTTCGTATGAATTTAAAAGAATAAAACCACAATGGACGTGAATAACTGACGGTGGCAAGCGGCGAGGTTGGTTTTCATTTATAATTAGTCATCTAAAAATATATTTCACACTCCAGGTAAAACAATTTTTATCATAAACGCTGTTAATTCATACTAAACCGAAGAAATTGTTGTAGATAATCATGCCGCCGAAGAGGAAACGCGGTGGTGCTGCAGCAAGAGGTCGCAGAGGCGGCGCAAGAGGCGGCAGAACGAAAAAGTCTGTTACTATAGAACCATCAGATCAGTCTACAGACACTCCTAATTCACCTATATTGGAACAGATTGAGCAAAATGAAACCTCCAGCAGTAATTCATCTGTTTTGGAAGAGCTGGCACAGCCAGAAGTGAAAATCAAGCTGGAAACAAAAATTCACAAAAAGTTTGGGATTAAATATCATGTGCCAGATGAAGTTGTCAGTGCCAAGCCTCCTATGTCACCTATTTTGGAGGATGTTTCAAGCCCCACAATGCCAACACCAGCAAATCTAGCTGTTGTAGTGCCACCAGCAACTGATCAATCAGAGGAGAGTTCAAATGAGGACAAAATGGAGACTGAAGTTGTTGTAATGGAAGAAAATGTGGTGGAAAATGAGATTGCTGATCAGTTTCATCATTTAGGTGTTGCAGAAGATGCAGAACATTCAGAACATGTTGATATGCATGAAGTGGAAGATGTTGAGCTTGAAAATACTGTTGTTTTAGAATATGTGACACATGACACTGAAGCCGAATGTGAAATTGAGGGTGAAGCTGAAGAAGCCGAGGAGGTTTATTATGTAGTAGAGGAAGAGTCTCAAGATGTTGTTGAGGAAGCTAAGGAATTAATTGAAGTTAAGCAAGAGGTTGAACATGAAGCTCCTGCTGATGTTGATGCCTCTGAGAAACTGCCTGATGCTGAAATCAAAATGGAGGTGATCGAAACTGATTTAGTCAGTGATGAAGTTGTGAAAGCTAATAAAGATAAAAAGAAGACTGCGGAGAAGCCTTCCAGGAAAAGTAAACGTATTTCTTTGCGAGGTGGAAGACAATCTGAAGAGAATTCACCTGAAAAACTTCAAATTTCACCTAAGGATGAAGTAAAAGAAGAACCAGAACCTGTCGAAGACTTGATTGATGCAATTCCAACCCAAATAGAGAATAAATTAGAGGAAACAGTTGAAAAATCAGAAGAATGTGTAATGGAAGTTTCTCAAAATGAAGAAAAACTTGATATTGCTCCACCTGTTAGTGAAATTCCTGTTAGTGAAACAAAAGAAACACTTGAAAATGAAGTTAAAGACACCAAAAAACCTAAAAAAGTCACCGAGAAGAAGAGAGCACCTCCCAAACCGAAAAAGCCCAAAGAACCTAAAGACACAACTAAAGAAAAAAAGAAAAACAAAAAACAAGTGACATTCAAGGTGCAACCAAAGGGTAAAAAGTTAAAAGACAACAAATCAGCACCTACAGCAGGCAAATCAGAAAAAAACGACGATGAAGATACAAATATACGTCGTTCCAGTCGAATTAAGACAATCAGCACGCAGAAAGTCCGCTCACGTGGTAAAGGATTAGTTAAAAAGGATGATATTCCTGAGGTACACTCAACACCAGGTACGCCTGATGATAAAAACGTTTTTATTGCACCGACGAACACCACAGACGTGGAACATAAACCTGTGAAAGTCAAATCACGATGGAGACGGTCCAGCGAGCTAGAAATGCGGGATATCAAACCGCCCCCAGCGGAACATCCTGCTAAAATCAACGAAAAAGACGGGGATAGAAAGAAAACTGATGCGGGTGAGGTAGAACGCCGGTTGAAACAATTTTTACATCTTAAAGAGAATGTTTACTTGACTGAGCGGATTAGTTGTAAAGAAGCCAAGAAAATGGTGTGTGATTGTTTTCTCACTGAAGAGGAGATTGCGGAAGGGGAGTACGGGTGTGGTGATGATTGTTTGAATCGTCTTTTGATGATAGAATGGTAAGAAATGTTTAAAATTTGGAGTTTTAAGAGTTTTTTATTGAATATTTATGTTTTAAGTGGTAATCTATGTACTGTCGGGGATCGTTGCACAAACAAACGCTTCCAGAAGATGCAAAGTGCATCTGTGGAGGCTTTTGCAACTGAAAAGAAAGGATTGGGCATCAGGGCAGTCACAAATATACCAAGGTTAGTGAAATTCATCCAAAAAACAACAAAAACATTTTAAAAAATCAACATTTTTTGTGTGTTTAGTGGTGATTTTGTCTTGGAATACGTTGGGGAAGTCCTAGATGCCGAAAAATTCGAACAACGCGCAACGGAATATTCCAAAGACAAAAATCAACATTATTATTTCATGGCGCTGAGAGCCGACGCCATTATAGATGCAACTATGAAAGGAAACATCTCAAGATTCATTAATCATTCATGTGAACCAAATGCAGAGACACAGAAGTGGACTGTCAATGGTGAACTGCGTATTGGTTTCTTCAGTTTGCGCACGATTCTCGCTGGGGAAGAAATCACGTTCGATTATCAATTTCAGCGATATGGTAAAGAAGCGCAGAAGTGTTTCTGTGAAGCGCCTGGGTGTCGTGGCTGGCTGGGTGAGGAACCCGACAGTGATGATTCTGATGATGAGGATGATGATGAAGATGAAGAGGAAGAGGATGAGGAAGATGATAAGGCGGTCGTAGGTGAAAATGATAAACAAATTCAAGAAGAAAAAACACCGGGTGAGGGTGAAACTGAATTAGTTGTCAAACCTGTTGCGAAAAAAGCAGTTAAAAAGGAAAAACTGCCTAAAAAGGAACGAAAACCTCGTGTTGCGAAACCGCGTAGAAAACCACGCATGGATCGCTTTGAAGATTTGGGTCTTGATGAAGAAATCGAAAGTTTACAATCCACAGGGTTGAAGAATCAAGTGCAGACGCTAAAGTTGAGTCGTTTGATGGTACGTGCAAAAGAACCTGTACAACGTACGAAGTTATTAAAACTTTTGAAGAAAGGCGAGTTTCCCTGCCGGCGTTTATTCTTGGATTATCATGGTCTACGCTTGATTCACGGATGGATGACAGATGCGCAACATTTATCTCAACAGGATTTACGCTTGGAGATTCTTCAGACTTTAGCCATGCTGCCAATACCCAACAAAACAATGCTCCAAGATAGTAAAGTATTACCCACTGTGGAGAAATGGTCCAAAGAGTCAGAATCACAAGAATCACCCGCTGATTCAGATAGTAATTCACCGAAACTTGAAGAGACACCCGCGAAAGTCGAACCTGTCAAAACACCAACAAAGAAACCTGTAATTGAGGTGGAAGACGATGAAGTGCGAAAATCCGCAGGTATGGAAGCGAATTATTTCAAAATGATCCCCGATTATAATGTGGATAACATCAAAGATGAACTCCTGATCATTTTCGATGATGATTTTGTCCCGTTGGATATTCCCGTACAGAAAGCAAAACCCGAACAGCCGAAATATGATATTTTGGTGGAGATAATGGCGCTTGCTTTGAAACTCCTCGAAGAATGGTCCAGTTTAAAGGAGGTGTTCAGGATACCTAAAAAGGAGAGAATTGAACAGATGAAGGAACACGAACGTGAAGCAGATCGTAGATATAAAGCATTAAGTGTTGAACAGGAGACTGAACGCAAACGAGACAGATACAGGGCATTCCAGAGGCCATCAAGGATAGAACTTAGTGATAGACTCAACAAGGACCGAGATAGAGATAGAGACAGGGATCGGGATCGATCTAAGAGTGATAGATATTCAAATATGTTGACAACTACATCCACGATGAGTAAACATGAACGACGGGAGTTGTTTGCACGACAGGCACAAGAAGAAGAACGTAGAAGGAAGCAGGAACTGTGGAGTAAACAAAATTGGATGGTTATGAACCAGGACCCACGAATGCAGACCTTTGATCCCAGTCGAAACACTGCGATGCAATTCATGTGGAATCAGTACCCGAATATGATGGGGGAAGGGTTTAACTATCCGCCTGGGTTTGGTAGAGTGGGTTCCGGTACGGTTACAGGCCCAGGTGCGGTTCCTTCCGGTATACAATCATTGCAACCCGGGATGTTGCCACCTAACGTCACACAACCTAATATGACCCCTGCTAATATGGGTACACTTCCTCCAATGCCCAATATCCCTTCACGACCTACAGCTCCCTATCAACAGGTGATTGATGATGATCCTTCAAAGGTTCAGTTCATGGGACCCATTCCCCCACCGGTGAAATTACCTCCGAAGTGGAAAACAGCCAAGGATAAATACGGTAGGCCTTATTATTATCATGTTAAAGTGCGGATTGCACAATGGATACCACCTGAGTTCACTGAGGTTCAAGAGGAACCAGAGGATGAAGATTCGGAGAGTACTTCGAGTTCGGATACTAGTAGTTTAACTAGTACATCGTCGGATGATAGTGATAGCGAGGATGATGTTAAATTTATGATGGATATCAGGAAGAAGGTTATGGAGCAGCAGAAGAAGGCATTGATGCAAACACAGACAGGAGATGTCACGCCTACTAATCCTGAAGCCGTGCCTGTTACGGATGCTTTGATTCCTCTTGTTGATGAGGCGAATGTGAGTGTGTCTGATATTAGTGTGATGACGGAAATGTTGGATAAGTCTATGGCGGAGGAAGCGGGGAGTCCAATGGAGGGGCAACTTGCTGAGCCGCCTCCAGCGAAGAAGCGAAGGCTTGGTTTAGTACAAGAACATATTATTAGTGTAAGTTGCATGTTTTTTTTATTGGATTTTAAGCGAAAAATTGATTGTTTTGTATTGTGTGTAGCCTAGATCCGAAGAAGACCGCCTGCAGTTCCGTGAAGATGTGAAAAAGTACAAATTGAACAAGGAGATGGTGCGCAAACAGAAGGAAACTGTTTTGCATCATTCGAAGAAGCTGAAACCTAGCATTCCTGCGCCTGGCGCAGCTTTAATTACGTCCCCGAATGTAAATAAAGCAATAAAACCGCACAAAAAGAAGGTTTCTACGAAAACAAAGCTGCGAGAAATGGAAGCGAATGCGAACAGTGAGGATAGTAAAAAGATCAAGGAGGCATTCCGCTCGGCAATGGCGACTGTCATGGTGGGCATTCTGAATCCTTACCGGAAGCCTGATTGTAAAGAGGGAAGGATAACAGCGACGGAAGATTTTAAACATTTAGCACGAAAAGTATTTGAAAATTTTGCATTTTTATTGATATTTTTATGTTATTGTTGTTTTTTTGTAGTTAACTCATTTTGTGATGCTCAAAGAACTGAAGCACTGCGATAGGATTGAAGATCTGGAGTGTACGGATAGCGTAAAGTCGAAAGCAAAAGAGTTTGTTCGCAAATACATGGCAAAGTTTGGTGAAGTATATCAGCGCCCTGCGGACGAAACGGAGAACTTTTAATTTTGTGATTTCAATGTTTTAAAGATTCTTTGAGGGATTTAATTTATAAGTATCTATTGTGGATGTTTATATTAATTGGGACAACAGTTTCAATGGATGATTTATAGTTAATGACGAAGTGTAATATATTTTGATACCATTGAGAAACGGCCATGTTTAAACTTAGTTCGAATAATATCCGCGAGATGTCTCAGTGTGTCCGTTGATACAAAATTTATTCAGTTTCGGGTTTTCTCGGGTCTGTTCGCGCAGGTGCTGTTTGACTCATTGCACAAACGACCGTTACGCATTCAGAACTGTTCCATGTTTTGAACTGTTTGTGCGGATGCAAAAAACAACACGATGTCGATCTCAGCACCGTCAACACCTCGCCAAATCTACTCCACGCCGCGTCGACGTGCGCTCATACCCCCAGCACAGACACCAGAATGTTTCTCCAAGGTAACGCTAGAAACTCCTGTCGCAATGCATCGACGACAATCTCGCGATCGCGAGAAATTCGACCAAGAGCGCAACCTTACCGTCGCCGTACGCGTGAGGCCCATGAACGCACGCGAGCTCGCCTACGTTGGTACCACCGATGTCGTCAAAGCAAACCGACAGGAAATCGTCATTCGGTCCAACCAATGCGGCGGACAGAACAATCTGGATCATATCTTTCAATATGATCATGTTTTTTGGTCGTGCAATGAAGAAAATCCACAATTCGCGAGTCAAACCGACGTGTTTGAATGCATGGGTAAGCCTTTATTGGACAGCGCATTCCGTGGTTACAATGCTTGTCTCTTCGCATATGGCCAAACCGGCTCCGGTAAGAGTTTCAGCATGATGGGACCAAACTCACCTGAAGTTTTTGACATTGACATGAACGCTGGAATCATCCCACGATTCTGCAAAGAGTTATTCCGGCGAATCACGGAACTACCCGAAGGCAGCACATCTTCAGTCGAAGTCAGTTATTATGAAATTTACAATGAAAAGATTCACGATCTGCTCGCCTGTAAAAACAAGCAAAGAATGGCGTTAAAAGTTCGAGAGCACCCTGATTGGGGGCCGTATATTGTTGATCTCAGTGTGCACACGGTGACAAGTTATAAAGAATTGAGAAGTTGGCTGGTTGTTGGTAATAACAACAGAGCAACAGCCGCAACCGCCATGAATGAGAAATCATCAAGATCCCATAGTATATTCTCCATTGAAATAACAATGGCGGACGGCACATCCGAATTAGATTCTTCTAGAAGGAGTAAGATTAGTTTGGTTGATCTAGCAGGCAGTGAGCGTATTTCAAACGCGATGAACAACGACGAGAGGATTCGCCAGGGTGTTAGTATTAATAAAAGTCTACTTACGCTTGGAAAAGTGATCGCTGCGTTGGCAGAGAGTAAAAAACAGCATCAACATGTACCGTATAGGGACTCAGTGTTAACATGGTTGCTCAGGGTGAGTAAAAACAAAATGGCGGAGGTTTTTTACACTAAAAATTTATTTTTTTTGTTAAAATAGGAAAGTTTAGGAGGAAATTCGCTGACATCTATGCTGGCAACAATCACACCGTCATCGAGCAACATCGAAGAAACCTTGGCAACCCTCCGCTACGCCTGTCAGGCTCGTTCAATCGTGAATCGCGCGAGAATCAACGAAAGTCTCCACGATAAACTAATCCGCGAGCTGCGTGCTGAGGTCGAACGTCTACGAGCACTCAAACAAGATTACGAGAGGAATTCATTCACGAATTCAATGATTAATTTAAGTAACAATTCCGAGTACGAGGCGGAACTTGACGAGTTGCGCAATAAACTCAACGAAACCGAAGGCAAGCTGGACATGGCCGAGAAAAGCTGGCAGCAAAGATACAATGAAACACGTGAAAAGCAACTGCGGGAATTAGCCGAGGCGGAAAAACGCAAAGAAGAGCTCGAATCACATTTGCGTGTGATGAAAATCGATACACAAGTCTCGCTGTCGCCGTACCAATCGAATTTCTTAAAGGAATTGGAAGGTATTGTCAATGCAGGCGTACCAACCAAACAAGAGGAGAAAAAGATGACGCACGTTGAGGTAACTTCAGCGATAAGTAACATTTTTGATAATATGAATTTACTGCGTCCCACTGTGGACGAACTAGACGATAACGTGAAGCTCTTGTTTGCCAGGATCAATAAGCTGTTGCAATCATTCGAGACGAGTCTGAAAAACACTTTGAATGATCCTGGCAGCAAGAAAACCGTCACGTTTAAATTATAGTCGATAAATTGGTACTAATGTACCAATAGTAAGAGAGTAATTTGTTGATTTTTGTTATTTATTAAACATTGTACAATATTATCAATCAATCAAAGTAATCTTCGATATCGATGTCGGGATCCAGTAGGCTGTCCTTGTGCGCAGACAAATCGATTTGATTGAGGATTAGATTCTCGCACATTTCCTCCAAGTCGGTATCGCCAATCAGTACAGCGCCCTGTAATCGGCCATTTTGCAGAACTAGTTTGATGTATTCTACATCTTTAGTCATGCGGAATAAGATTTCGTAGTCTTTTCCGAGTTTCTGCGCATTGTGTAGACCTAATAGGACTACTTTAAAGCCGAATAGTCGTGTGGTGTGTGTGAATACCTCGAAACAAAAGTCTTGGTAGATTTCTTCGTTTAAGTGTTTTGAGGACATTGCGCGCGCAGCATAACAACCCATTTGTCGCGCTTGCGTCCATAATTTCATGGGGAACCATTGCGGTGCGTATTGCCAATTTGCAGTGCATAAATCCCCAGCAACGTAGATATTTTCATTTGAACTCTGCATGAATTCATTTACAAGAATGCCGCCATCTTGTGACGTGTGCAATGGCTGTGATATTTTAAAGTGTGAATTTGGTGTAACTCCGGTTGCAGATACCAATAAGTCACATGATATTTCGCTGTCATCTGTCAATTTAACAATTAGACCATTTTGGGTGGTTTTTATGCTTTGTATGCATGTTTCGTAATGAATCTGTACAGTTTCCGGCACATTTAGCGCTCCTTTAATGTCTAAATGTTTATACCAGTCAGGTCCTAGCGCTGCGCCAGCTTTTTTGATGTTTTGATCGGTTTCATAACGCATGCGCTGTGAAAACTGTGCGTTTTCAACCGATTGCTCCTTTTGTTTATTGTTTAATCTATCTTTTAAGAACTCTGCAGCGCCTGGATCGATAAAAGTCGCTGTTATATGTTTATCTTTAATGATCCAATGCACTTTGGTATCTTCAATCTTGTACACCAACTCGGAAGCGATCCCGCCATTACCGACAATGGCAACTTCTTTGCTTGTTTTTAGTTTTTGTATGAAAGATTCAACTGAATCAGTGTCACGAATGCCGATTACAAATGGATTATTCTCTGCTTCAGGGATTAATCTTGGTTGTGCACCCATACAAAGGCATAAAAACTTGTAATTTATGATTGTTTTATTGACAGTTGTGATTTTTTGTTCATCAGAGTTGATTTCGTCTAGTTTATCAATGATTACGGTGATATTTGGGTATTTTTGCATTAGATTCGACATGTGACTCTCTTCAATGTTGAAATCTGAGAGGGTTTGTGTGATTGCGCGTAGATTTACAACAGTTTTAACTAAAGCCGACTCGCTTAACAGGATTATCGACTCTGTAGGCGTGTAGAATGCTAGTGTTTCCGCACAGGTGACGCCTGCAATGCCTCCACCGACGATTACAAACGTTGCGCTTGTTTCTGACATGATTTTCTAATGAAAAATAACTAAAAATACTAATTTAAACTACAAAATTTATTCTATTCTTTGTAATAATCTGCATAATTATATTTCCTGAATGGAACATCGAATGTAATTGTTCCGATATCGCGCGCTTTCGCAATGGCGACTTGTAACTCCTGATGCTTCTTCTGACACAAGCCTGTTTGTTTATAGCTGAGAATCGCGCCGGTTTGCGGTGATATAAATTGATTCAACAGTGCGGTATTGTTCTCATGCAGGACTAGATACTCATCTCGACAGATTGGGCACGGATTGCCGGTGGAGATGTGCCCGCCTCGAATGCACGTCTTTCGCGTCTTCCTCGGTGGGATGGCGCCCTTGTGGTTGCGCCTGTATGGCACCCAGACGGGGTCTTCGCCGTAGGTTTGCTTGTACGCCTTGCTTTTGAGGTATTTGAGGCTTGTTTCCAACGGGATTGTCTGTGTGCGGTCCGTGGAGATTCCCAACAGCGTGGTTAACTTTTGCGGTGGTTTTAGACTGCCGTTGAGTGTCGCGGTGGTGGTGATTGTTTTAATAGCGATTGGTTTTGTAATGTTGGGTAATAGACATTTTATCGCGAACATTTTAAGTATTTTCGCTGTGGATTTTCAAGTGTTTGGAGGTTAGAAATTGTGCTCGTTGGTTGAAATACTTTTGGTGTGTTTTTATCTGTAAAAAGAGTTTAAATTGCGTTGATAACAATATATGTATCAATATTGTTTATTGTTTAAGGTTTTGTATTGTTCAGATTACCTTGTTTGTTGTTTTAACGCAGGTTTAAAATACTAAACAAAATAGTTTTGAAAATATCCCTAGATATTTTCTGATTAGGTTGGTAGTGTTGTGACACTAGTCACTGTGTGTTCGCTTTCTCGCTTGATGTACGTCACCTCGTCATTTCCGTTCTTTGCATGGTAGAAGTAAGCCGTACAACGCTTCTCTCGTGCGCATCTGTCTCTCGAAATTTTTCAAGCCAGCGAATATCGTTGCGATTATTTTGCGCCATTGTCCGCATTGCGCACGCTAGACAGGTCGAGCGTATATTTCGCATCGGAGAGTACGCGCCTTCAGCCTCTCTGAGCCGATACAAGCTCTCTAGCCCGCATTGCGTTTCGCCTCATATTTCGATCCACGTCAATGGAGGTCAGGGCGTTGGTTCACAGCGCACCACAATGGTTGGCGCCGCAGAGTCGCTCTTCAGACACATAGAATCCTATCATTTTTGCATTGTCACTAAGAGCTCGCTGGCGAACGTATCAGCTCGACAACAAATGCGATAATTGCGACGAGCGACGCGCGTTACATCACCCCGCCGGCCATCTGGATCGTTAAAATGGTAAGGAATCCACAGCACATATAGTACTTGTATTCCGAATAAAGTGATCTCTTGTGTTCATTTATTAAAATTTGTCCGCTGCGAATTAAGGGCGGTATGCGAATTTACGCCGTCGTTTTTTTTTCTATTCATTCGTATGTAAGATGGAAATTATCGATTCATGCAACTGCAGACGCCATTTTGAATGATGACGTACTGCGTGACTCACATAATTTTTTTACTGTAGTGGTTATTTACCAAGAACGAATTGAGATTGAAATTGAAGTAAGGTTTATTTGCTTATCGGGAGTATATATTTATAGATAGCCAGTTATATAAGGCCATTGGCTTTGCTGTACACTTTCATTTCACTTAAAAAATTGTCTGGGTGTGTATTGATTGCGCAAATTATCGTATAATTTTGTCATTGTGGTGGACTAATAACGTGTTTGCCTTTCTAGCCAAGAATAGATCCACAACAATTGCTCAATTGTCTCCAAGTGCTGCTCAGTCCCACTGGAGGCATCCTTTCCAGGAATGAAGTACAAAGGCTCGCCAAGTAAGTGCGCATTTCTCAATATTTCACCACTAACATTGCATTAAAACCAAAAAAAATCAAGCGTTTTACTCTATGAAACAATTGATGACAGAGTAGTTTGAACTAAAATCTTTGTTTCTTTGTTTGCCTCCCCCTGCATTATAGTTTGATGACAAAATTTTCGAAAAAATTAGTCAGTAAATGCATCTATGTGCTGATACTAAAAAACACTGAACGGCAATTATTGGGCTCGTTTATGGGTGAAGGTGGGTGGAATCTGATCCACTCGTGGTTGCAAGATGCGCACGTTAACAAGAATTGGGCGCTCGTTGCCGAAGTGCTCGAGCTGCTGCTGCTCACGCCCGTGGACGTGGAGCGGCTCAAGATGAACAACCTGCCGAAGCTGGTCAAGGGTCTCTCGAAACGCGAAGACCTTCAAGGTACAGTCTAATCTTAATTTCCAGCCGCACATCTAGGTTTTAATATGTTTCTCATTGATTCAATTTAGGTATACAACAATTGGCTTCGAATTTAGTCGAACAATGGCTGACTATAGTCAAGGATGTCACTAAACAAGAAGCGGCAAGTCATCAGCATCAACAACAGCTGCAGCAACAAGTTGTGATACCTGCAGATCAACTAATAATGGCGGGCGATGATCAATTGACGCTCGACTCGACGGTGACGATGTTGCTAGAGTCTAGTAACGACCCGGAGCCGATGGAGATTGACGAGACGATTAGCAACGACGCCAATACGATTGTCAGCGAGAATGGCGTCGATACCTCGCTGCGAATCAAATTTGTGAGGGACGGAAAAAAAGTGATTAGTCGGATTGTAGCGGTGCGGACTGATAGCAATGCGACGGATGATGCCAACACAGAGGCTGCTGCAATACCGCCATCAGCAACTGCTGATGACGTTGACGCAGTCGCTGCGGTGGTAAAAACCGAAGACAGTGAAGGAACTGATAAAGAGAATAGTGATAAAAAACAATCTGTGCCTAAAAAATCTAGTTCTAGTTCAAGTAGTTCAAAAACATCATCATCTAGCAGTAGTAGAGATAGAGATAAGGATAAGGATAGGGATAGGTCTAGGGATAAGAGCAAAAGCAGGAGTTCCAGCAGCAGCAGCAGCAGCAAGAGCAGTAGTCGTGATAAGGACCGCCGGGATCGCGATAAGGATCGCCACAAACACAATGGTTCATCATCCTCCTCATCATCATCCAAACATCGCAGCAGTAGTAGTAGTAAATCAAGTAGTAGCAGTAGTAGTAAAGACAAGAAGGACCCCAAGGATAAGGAGAAGCAAGCTGAGAAGGACAAGGATACGCTGGCGAAGATCCAGCCGCAGACGCTGGCGAAAATAGGCAGGATACCTAAGAAGACTGAGGATTCCAAGAAGGAGCCGAGGAAAACCAGCTTTTCGGTGGAGGTGCGCGATGCCAACGAGGAAAAACCGAAGACTGTGAAGGTTTACAACTCGAAGATGCGATCCACTGGGTTGCTGGAAGAAGCAAAACCACCACCGCCAAGATCAGCGACGAAAAAAACCGCTGCACCTCCAACGCTACCAGCGACAATCCCCACGAAGCGATCGTCACCTATACGCGACACGATACCACCGCCAGAGAAACGATCGCGACTCATTGACGCCGACAAGGGCATCAAACTCATCCCGCCGAAACCCAAACGTAAGTCTCACGCGATCAATCTGCTCATTGGTTTTTGTTTTGCAGGTTTGTGGAGTGCAGAAGCAGCACGCAGACACTACACCCGGGCGAGAGGATTTATTATATTGTGTGTATGTGTGTGCGTTTGATATCAATCTCTATGCGGTATTATTCACTCGTCGATTTCATCAACACGCTGAAGAAGATGCGGCGTTGATTGGGGCAACACAGTGACGTATAAAATCCACATTTTTAACTATATACATATATATATTTTGATCCAGATAATAATGTTTCTCTTTTTTTGTTCTTTTCTCTCTGGTATTGAGATGAAGGTGGTGCAATTTCATCCTATGTGATTAATAATGTAGGTGTCTTTAGATAATTAACGCTAAGTGATAAGATTTTATGATTTGCGAAGCAGTGCGTGCGTTGAGCGCAAGTTTGGTAAGTTGCAGATGTACCTGTCAGACTTGTACGGCAAATAAAAATGATTTAAAACCAAAAAAACCAAAAAAAAAAAAACAATACCGAACAATCTAATATGAATTATGTATGTGCTATCATCCGCCCGAAGAAGCGACCGAGATTGATTGATGATTTGGGCCCTTGCACATCCTTTTTTCAACAAACTAATAATTATTTGCGAACTGTGAGAGATATCGAAAAATGGCACATTATATATTACACACACGTTTCATATACATTCTTAGTTTAAATTTAGACGCGTGCGCCATTTTGAATTGAAGTTTGCTACAGAAATATGCATTTGGTTAGTTTGCGGTGTGCCATTATTCTTATTATTACATTAGGTTTATATGTAAAAAGCGCGTTTGGTTTCGGTTGCGTGCGCGACCCTCTGCGATGATGATTCAAGGCTGGCTGTGTGCGGTGCGCGCGTGAGGCGAGCAACCGCGCGCTCGCGGCGCAACGTTATTTTACTCCACGTGCGCTGTGTCAGCGTGTGTGACGTCATCCGCCGCTGCTCGCCACTATCACTTTGCGCCGCGGCGTGAACGAGAGCCGTGTGCGGATGGGTTTGGGAGCGCGCACTCGCCTACACCTCCTGTGGACTGTTGCGCGCCTGATACTCGACGCACTCGCAACTTATGATTTTCAATTTGTTTTTTGTTTGTTTACAAAGTTTTAAACTATAAAAATTAATTATTTTATTGTTAGTCATCAACAATTGAAAGAATTTATCTTGTTTGATGTGTTTTTATTGATAAAAACACTTGATTAATTAATTTTTTGCTTTGAAAGTTACAAAAATGATAAAACTACCCTTAATATTGATACAATTAATGTATTAATTGATTTCTTGCGCGCCCGTCGCCATTTTGTTTTCTTTTTTAGCGGTTTGTGATTATACCCACAGAGATATTGATAATTAACGCTATACACATTTATTTTTAGCACTTTAGTGACACCCAGACGAGAACAACGTTTACTTTACTCAATTGTTTGTTTAGTTTAGATGATTTTTAACGGTTTTATTATTTGTCTACAGCTGCTGTCCTCCAAGAAAGCGATATATTCATGGACGCGCTCACTGCGTCCGCCACAGCGAAGAAAGAACCGAAAAAACGCAAACGACGCACCAGTACATCCAAAGACTCCTCACCACCGCCATCACCTTCGAAACAATGCACGCCCGCATCACCCACAGGCTTGAAAAACATCACACCTGCTAATTTCTACCAGGACACTCTGGTAACAGACAATGATAGCGAAACGAAAGAAAAATCCGAAGATGGCGGTGATGCAAAAGAGAAAACTGATGATAAAGATGAAGATAAGGATAGTTTAGGTGCGCAGCCAGCTGAGCCCGATGATAACACAATGGAGGAGACTACAAAGACTGATGCCAATGGTTTGAAGGGTGTGCTTTCGTATGGTAAACGGAAAGGACCCAAGCGGTCAATCCGCTGGCGCCCTGATGCCGATCTAGTCGAAGTGCAATACTTTGAACTGGATGAAACCGAACGGGTGAATGTCATGAAGCCGTTTATGGATATGCAGCGCATGGAGATGGCTGGCGAGCGTGAAGCGCACCGCCAACGGAAACTACCCAGTGAGGATATCATGGACACGCAGATGCAATGGCGGAATCTAATCGAAGTTGAATGTTTACCACCTCCAGCCGAGTTTGGGTCGAAAAGTCTCGAGAAAAGTATTCAATTCGCAAGGGAAAAAACAGTCCTACAAGCGATTTATTTCAATCGTGTGCCGGATACACCTGCTGAACCTGATCATGAGGTTCACACGATGGTCACGGCGATTGTCATTCCATTGCATGATCCCGACCAGCCCGAACAAGACGCGCCGATACAACCGTGGCCCGAAGCGAAGGGATCCCCGCCGCATATTAGTAATACCCCAGGGTTGTTTAACAATGTGCAACCGCCGCCGTTTCTACAAGCGCCCAATGCCTTCCCGCCGAATGGTCTACCGCAATTTGCACCCGCGTTTGTCCCTCCTGGTATGCTCAATCGCCCGCCTACCGATTGGAATATTTTATCCAATGGCATCCCGACCAAGTTTCCTCCTCCTGATCTAATGCAACAGGTGCCGCCGTTGTTTGATAATTTCGGCGCGAATGGCCCCGGCGGGGGTGGGATGGGTCCAGGGGTACCTCCGGATGGGTTTGTACCACCGTTTCAAAACGGTCCTAACCCAATGCCACAAATGTTCCCGCCGAATAATTTCAATAATAACAACATGCGTGGTCGCGGTGGATTCCGCCGTGGTGGACCTAATAATGGTCCATGGTTGCGAATGGGTGCGCCTAATCAAGGTGGCGCTGGCGGAGGGTGGAATAATCAGGGGCGGGGACGCGGGTTTTGCAATAGTTTCAAACAGAAAGGCTATTGTCGAAATCGCGATAATTGTCCGTACATTCATTGAATTTGAGTGTGTGATGTGTGCAATTTTGAACATTTGACGTATGATTGCACATGTTTTAAAAACCAGACCGCAACCTGTGATGATGATTTGATGATGTGAAGTGATTCAATTATAGCTTCCGATCGCGACGCGAAAATAACAATGTGCACGCTGATAAGGATGTTATTGTTTAAAAATGCGCACAGAGTGTGCGCAACGCTGCGAAACTATTTATTTATATTTAGTTTTGCTGGTTTTGTACACTCTGTGTGTGGATGGAGCTCGACGCACGTTCGAGCCACCACGGTTCGCGTTCAAATGCATAGCGTTATCTAGTCGTTTGTAAACTATCGCGTGTTGTGCAGCCAAGTCGCCAAGTTGAAATTACCACACACAAGTAGAGAACTCAGGCGCACAATTTGGCAGGTATATCGTCATTACATCCGCAATTTACAACACACACACACACATGTTGTTTATAATTAGTAGGAATACGTTTGACTGTGAACGCGCGCTTGCTGCAAATTTTATACCACAATACTAATAATTGATATTACTATTGCTAAGTGGAAATCATTTAATACGAATCATATACATATTTGAATAATTGCGAGTATATTTACACTTGGAGGATGAGAATGTGTACAAATTTATTTGTTTATTGTAATTGTATGGTTGTACAGATGCGGAATCAGTGAGGTGGGGTGTGGAGCCTGTAGATTTTTGTACATAAGCGCTGGAAATGCTTATATACTGTGTATAAACGGCCCGGTTCAGATTACTTTTCGTTCGGTGAATGTGTTACGTTCGCTGAATATGCATATTATGTTGAATTTAATTTTTACGAGTATTGGTAATTGAGTTTATTATTAAGATGATTGTATCTGCGAAGAGTCTCACATGGAAAATAGGAGAAGTGAGATCCTGTGTAGATTTTATGTATTGATTCGAAGGAACTGTATCATTACGATATTAAAAATGCATCTATTTGTGGATTATTAATGAAGCGCACATGTGTTTTGTATTGATTTGTAATTAGAACTTTTAAAAATGGCGGAGAAGATTTTTTTTTGTTTTATGTACAGAGAAACGTGAATTTTTGTATTTTTAGTAATTAATTAATAGATATTAGGTTTTATTGTAAGTTTTAATACATTTTTGACTTTTTATCACGTTATATCAGGGTGATTTTACATTGAGTAACAAAAAATAGCAAAATAATGGGTTTTTACGCGGATTGGTATCTGTTTAATCATTTGTAACTTGGTTATTATCTCAATTATGTTAGTAAAAATGTCAGGAAATATTTCCTGAAGTTTAGATATGAATTCCGCGTCGCTCAGTTGTAATCACTTGTGTTATGTTTAAATAATTTTGTAGTAACGCAACGTTCACCCCAACAAATTAGCTGAAAAATCGAGCTTAAGTTATAAAATTTGCATTGCAATTTGTAGGGATGTTGGGATCATAATTACAACATTATTTCAAATATTACCATCAACGTCATGTCCTTAAAAAAATATTCTAGCTCATAATTGCTTGAAATGAAAATATTTTTCATCGTTACACAGAAAAAATTAATATAAATCAACCAAATTATACAAATTTCGATGTTATTTTAGAATTTGTTGTTAAATCGCAACTTCAGTGTATTTTAAATTGGCGAAAATTCCATGACCATGATCCGAATTAATTGACCGACTCTTTAAATAATACAAACACGCCCACTGGCGTAAATTTACACTTTCAAGTTACATTGTGACTCAAATATTTATCGCTAACATTCTCTCTGTCTGCTGTATGTGATAGCGCATTGACCTTTTGATCACCGAGCGCCAAATTTTTATTTCTACCATGCATAAATTACAAACACAGCCCAACACACGACATGTTGACAATCATCAATCATGATTCATCTTGTTTTCGCCTAACGGTCCAACTCGGATTGCTATATTATTAATATGTGCGCAACTCAGGTGTCTGCCTCAGTAGAAGAAAATTAATAAAACAACTCCCACCATGTGGCTACTACTACACACTACAATGTATACAACTAAAAAAAAAACAAGTCGGGTTTCATTCAGCACTAATTTAAAACTGGTCGTAACCGATTCCAATGCTTACTTAAGCGTTAATTAACAGACTTAAACAGCACACGACTGCAAAATGGCGTGTTAAGCTCACGTGACAACGTTTGCAATTATTCTCTGCGTACAAAGTTCTACATTCCACAGCAAACAAGCAAATTTCAAGTGCAATTAAGTTGTATAAATCTAACTCAAGCACACAAGTTCAAAAGTTATGTAAATATCATATCTATATCTATCTAATCCAAAGTTTTCAAATAATTATAATGCAATCAAGCGATAACCTTGAAATTTTAAGCTAGTTGAACATAATAACACATAATAAATATAAATTTATGTTTTTTACAACATACGACGCGCTGGAACAAAAGAAAATTTATTGTATTGCGCATGCGCAGCACTGACGTCACAATACATGCGCCATCATGAAAAATTTAATCAGTTAATAGTGTGCGATTCGACTAATACAGTTGCCAAGTGCACACACGTTATCATTACATAACGTGCACGTTTTTTTTTTTCAAATTTACAATCATTATTAAATTCAGTGCGGCTACGTTAGGTATTGCGCTGCGCACGCAAATACCCACACGACGCAACGCCGTCCACTACCACATGTGCACGAATTCGACGCGCGTGCGGTGTGCTTGAACCACTTGAACCGACTTGAACGTTCTCTGAAGGTTTCACGCCACACACACGAGTTCAGTATTTTCGTGGTCTAGCAGCCAGCGGGTCGCGGCTCGCGGTCGCTTGACTTCACGCAAGACTTTCTCCGTTCACATGCGTCGCGCAATGTTGTTGTTATCAGTGCTGTGACGTGACGCCAAACACCAACGATCGAGCGAATCACGTAATTAGTACCTAAACTCGCACAATTTAATTGAACATAATATAATAATGCGCTCAATCAGCTGACAAATTGCTTACACTTTTTACTTGTCATTTAGGTAATACTATCTCAAATTAAAACAAAGACTCCGCATGATTTCTAACATATTTTTCTTTATTTTCTTTCAGTAGACAAATACAAATACATCTAGTCATAATGCAGAAGTGGTTCTTTCTTGAGGATCCGGAGAACGATGCGATTCGACGCGGAGCTGCCGATGCCCATACGAAATCCATCGCGTCATTGGTACCAGAATATCGACCACGCCGTTGGTTATTCCGTGTGAGAGTGCCAGACCTCGCCGCAGGCCTACAAGTATGCGTCTCTGGATCGGTACAAGATCTTGGCTGCTGGCAGCCAGAACACGCGGTGCTGTTGAATCGTGAAGACGCAGAGGATGACATATGGTCTGCGGTTATAAGTATCCCTGATAAAGTACAAATTCAATATCGATATTGCGTGTGCGTGGTCGTCGAGGCAGGCATTCAGGTAATCGTTCGTAATTGGGAGACGAACATCGAGCCACGTACGATTCAAGCGGATCAAGTCTCGCCTAACCTCAAGGATGTGCCTGTAACTTATGGTGACTTCATTAATGAAGTCAGGGTGGATCGAGGATGGCTCAACAAGGAGACAACAGTACAATTGAAACTCAGCAAGGATTCGATCAAAATCTGGCGGCCAAAGTATGCGAATCGGAGTGTTTTTATGAAGGTTACTCCTGTTAGTCTACAGCAAGGTAATTCAAACTTTCCAAAGACCATGTCCGAAGCCTTGGAGGAGTCTTTATCCACAGATACACAAGATATTATTGAGTTACCCAAGCATGCATTCACTGAAGTCTCATCTCTAGCTTCTGATGATTCAGGATTTACTCCTCAGACTCAATTCGGAAAGGAGGTTAAAGATGATGAAATGGTTGTCTTTCAATGTACGGTTTTATTCCCTGCATCCACAGCATTCTTATTGGATTTTTTCATCTATAGCTCGCGAAATTCCGAAGGTGAACCTCCGTATCACGCAGGTTTTAGTTATTTACTACCTAGTGCTCTACGCGGGTCCGAAGGTAACGTCGTCGTGCCGATTACAAGCACAAAACAACGCCCGCTCGGCGAGCTGATAATGGATTACATTGTTATTAAACCGATGCCGAATGTCAAGTGCAACATGAGTTTGACTTATGCAAGACATTGGAAACAAACGCGCAGCGGGTTGGATGTTGGGCATCGTGGCGCAGGGAATAGTTTCAAGGAGGATATGAAGAATTGCGCGGAGGTTAGGGAGAATACCATCGCTAGTTTGAAGACTGCGATTGATCACGGCGCTGATTTTGTCGAGTTTGATGTGCAGCTGAGTAAGGATTTGATTCCGATTATTTATCACGACTTTCACGTGTGTATTTCGATGAAGAAGAAGAAGACAATCAATGATATGGATATGCTGGAAATTCCCATCAAGGATTTAACGTTTGAACAGCTAAAACTCTTGAAGGTCAGTGTTTTAATTCTAAATTTAATTTTTTTACGAATAAAATTATGTTTTGATAGGTTTATCATTTGACTGAAGGCAAATCGAAAAACCCACGATTCTTTGATGAAGAACTCGAAGAACACCAACCTTTCCCGTCGCTCCAGCAAGCTTTTGAAGTGCTTAACCCCCATGTGGGTTTTAATATTGAAATAAAATGGACGATGCAACGTTTAGATGACTCCTATGAGTTGTATCATCCGACAGACCTCAATTTGTATCTGGACACCATTTTGGAAGTTGTGCTGCGTCATGCTGGCGAACGTAGGGTTATTTTCTCCTGTTTTAATCCGGATATATGCGCGATGATCCGTATGAAGCAGAATAAGTATCCTGTGATGTTCCTCACGCAAGGTGAGACCGCAAAATGGCCGAAGTATAAAGATCCGCGTTGTTGGAACATTCGCAACGCTGTTCAACACGCCAACATGACAGAAATACTCGGTGTTAATGTACATACAGAGGATATACTTCGAGATCCATCTTTTGTAAGTTTAAATTTAATTTTTTATGTGTAAATTTTGATGTTTTATTGATTTTTTGAATTTTTCTGTAGGTAAACATGGCGCGCGAAGCAAATTTAGTGATTTTCTGCTGGGGAGATGAGAATGCCGATCCAACCACATTGAAATACCTCAAGGAGCTTGGAATGCACGGCGTTATCTACGACAAAATTGATCAGTACAACGGCAAAGAGGTGAAAGAGAGTATATTTTTGGTGGAGGCGCGCGAGTCGCAAAAGGACCTCCTACGGTTGGCGGCGGCGAACGCTGAATCGCCGACGTCACCGCCTGCGAGGGAAATTATCAGAGAGCGTGTCTTGGATGTGGACCGAGCGCGCGGTTGCCTCGAGGATGTGTCGACGGCGACGACACTCAAAAGTTTGGAGAGTTCGATTGAGAGCTTGAATGGCTCCAATGGCGCCGCGCATTGAGAGCGCAATTGTGATTCGTAATTTATTTTCCTAACCTCAATTCAACCTCATCCGATCTTTATTAGGAAAATTAACTAACATGTTTTTTGTATGATTTTGATATTACTTTAGTTAGTGTGAAGATAAATTATGTTTGGTGGATATTTTTTCTACGCATGTGGTTGATATTATTTTGCATTTTACCATGATTATTTAAAAAGTTATGGTGACCAACGTTTTTTATGCGTTTGATATGCAACCAACTTACACTGGACATCTTTATAACAATACACACACTTGATACGGATTGTTGTACGCTCGTTGGCGTAGTTTTCTGCAATTTTCAACAATTAACAAACGCATTCGTTGCTAAATTCACTTACGAGTTGCAAGCCGTCCACGGCTGATGTAGAGAAAGTAGTTCTTTCCACGATAAATTGAATTCATATTCACCTTGTAGATTGCAACTATAGTTTTATGACCAATTTTAAAGAAAGAAGTATTTTATTTTATATAGTGCTTGGAAAGTAAGCTAAGTAAGTTATTGAGCTGAGGAGCTGAGATAATATGCGCTAAAGTGTTGAGATTTAAACGCTTGGCTTTAAGAAAATTGAAAATCTAATGTTTACCAACCTAACGTAATTATGTAATTATAAACATAATGGATTGTAAAAAGTGTGGCGGTAATTTTACACACAGGGATTAAGTTTTAACGTTTTTTACGGTAAGGAGAGAAAAAAAGAAAACAAAACAAAGAAGCTGTGATGTCAAGTTTTCGTAATTTGCGTTTCTATTCCGAAACAAAATCGATAAATAATTGGATGGTTCTGATAATGACTTTATAATGAACTTTTTTATTGCGTGATGTAATCAATCACTGGAAAACAAACAGACTACGCAAAAAATCATGCTGGATTGACCACACTTGATGAATATGTGTAGAATTTTCAAATCGAAGCTTCCATTATGAAATTATCAAATTGTAAAGTGTGACTTTGTGCTGTTCATTTCGGCAGTTTGTAAATTTGCCTTATCACAATATTCGAGTCACACAGTCAGCAATATTTGCAATATAAAATAAAATCTTCAAGAGTTTCATGCAAGAGAGAAGCGTTGATTTGTAGCACAGGCATTTTTTTCACGCACATCATTTGAAAACGTGATAATTATCAGTTTTGCGGCGCGCTGCGTTTCGTTCACTGCGCATATTTGTTTGAGTCGCATCCGTGTATTAGAGCACACACATTGGCGATGCATTGATGCGCATTGTTTCTACGTTGCGTTGTGTTATGGCGTCTTGATTGTGCGCATCTGTGCTCATTTATGCGCTTCGATAACTGTTTTAAACGCCATTAACTTTAATTATTGTTTCTTTACGAACGATTTCATTTGATGTTGAGTTTTATGCTGTTTTCTTGCGCGCGGAAGCAATTTTTAAGATTATTTTTTATAGTTTTACAAGAAGACACAGTTTTATTAGCAATTTTTCATTTTTATTGCCTCAGAATACTTTAAATTAAGAAAATATGCACATATATTTATGAAATATGTGTTTTTTCTCATAAAAATTACTATTTTCTTCGTTTTCTTACATAAAAACTACGTTTTGTGATTAATTTTTTGTTTCAAATGATTTAATAACGTCTAAGTTAATGAAATTTCACTAAAATTTAATTGAAATTTGTCTAATAATGATAAATCAACGAATCGGGGAATGAAAAGGGAATCCGAACATATTTTCCGACCGAATTCCGACGTGACACGAATTTTTACTAACCCAGATGTGTAAAATGAAAAACAAGCGCCATACAACACGCACACGGACAAGACTCGCGTGCAAAAGTGCATAATTTTTACACGTTGCTGCATACAAAGTAATGCACGCACAAATATGAGTGCACAAATGCGCACGGCGGTGCCAAAATGGCGGCGTATGTGTCGAGGGCGCTCGCGTGCTCATTACGACCACCGCGCACGGGCATTAACATATCTCGGTCAATGATTAAGTCTGCAATTTGCAAATAATCACGAACAGTATACGCGGGCATTAATACGAGGAAAATCCGCGTGCCGCACGCGGCGTGCGAAACGCAAAGAAACCGTGAAAAGTGTTCACCGTCATCTTCAATCGGCCGAAAACCATCCGCGCGCGCTGGGGGATATAAATACCGCTAATTACGTGCGCATATGTCCATTTTGAGTAATACCCTCGTCGAGTGCACAACATAAACCATACTAACATAAACTATTGTAGAATATCAGAATTCAATATGAAGATACGAGTGGTTGCCTACACGTTCATCAAAAGTGCGTGCGTCCTGCTGTGCGGCCATCTTGTGCAGGCGTTCGAGTGGCCATTGGATACGGCCGAGACACAAATCGTGAAAAAAGTTCTCGTCGAGTGTCTGGAGCGCGACACGCACGCCTGTTTTGCGGAGAAACTCACACGCGCCGTGGACAACTCCGTCGACTGGGACATTCCGATCTTTGAAGGGATTACTCTCAAGCGAAACAATGTCCACATCAATAAGACCAAGATGGCCGATGTGAACTTGAATCAAACATCAACTTCCGAATCTACATCGCGTGGTCTTTCCGGAATGGATCAACTGTACAACTCTGTAATTCGATTTATTGATGCGCACACTTTGACTTTGGATTTCGGAGAAGTTGATATTAATGGATCTGAAGGAGGACGAACCATTGAGGATATCGAATTCCGTGATGGCGGCGGTAAGAGGAAGAAAATTGGTAAAAAGGAGCGCAGACGTGTGCAGTACGCGCTTTTTGTGTTGCTGGGAATTTTCGGCTTGACAGCGCCGTTGATTTTGAAAACTTTGGGAATCATGGCTGGCAAAGCGTTGCTTTCAAGTAAAGTGGCACTGATTATGTTGGGATCAATTGCGTTGAAGAAGATCTTCCAAGCGGACAATCATTCTCCCGTCAAGGTGCACACACACACGATTCCCATACATGAGGACGATCACGACAGATACGATTATGGCGCTTATAATAATTATTACACGGCGAATAAGTACTACACCAAGTCACCGCTTAATTTAATTTGATGGGAATAGTTTCAGGCACATATCACAACATAATACTATTTATTAATGTTCGTCAAATTAATATGTATTTATTTTATAATATGGTTTAAGTGCGAATCGGTTAAGCAACCACTGATATTTATGTTATGTATTTATTTTTATTTATTTTATTGTAAATAGTTTATATTTATTAATTATTTATTTGGTTTAGTTTGTAGATGTGTAATTGGTAATTGGTGTTTAGAACTTGCATGACATTCGTATGTAGATGAATACGTCATTTGTGAATTCTGACTTTAGTTTTTAGTAAATTATTGTAGTTGAAGTAGTTGTAGTTGATTGTATGTTATGATTTACTTCGTTTTTATTTAGATGCAGTATTAAGTGTTTTATTGACAACGCTTCCTAGCATTTCATCTTTGATTTTATTTCAGTGTGTAGTTTCGCCGTCGTGTTAGAGCGGTGTCAGTATTAACGCTACGCAGATGTCTGTATTTGTTGTCTTATCACAATATTTTTGTCGCGTACAGCGAACGTATCGCGCAATACTGATAGTGACCTCGTGTTGCCGCTATTAGCTGCGTGCAGTTCGCTACACACGCAGTTCTATTCCGGCCATCGGGTGAGGCGCGCGTGTTCATTACGACTAGTCCTGTTTCTTCAGATCATAATTAAGTAAAATGATTTATATTCGTTAAGCAATCGACGGCATATACTAGAGTCGCGTGTGCCCAGGGTTTTACAAGTGTGGTTGCACGCTGCTGCGTATATCAATCGTGGATTAATTTTCGGTTCACCTGTGCACGCATGTCCGTCGGCAATCGTTTATCTTTTCGCACATAAGAATAACTTGGATTTATAACTAATTTCAGCAAATGGTCAACTTTGGTGTCCAGGCAAGAAGTGTGTGAGTGCACGAATGGAGTTTGCAATATCTATAGCTGAAGTGTTGGAGATGCGCGTATTTTAAGGCAAGTTTTTACTGCTCCCGAATTTGCTAGCTATTTTATTCAAAAAAATGTATCTATTATTATTGTTGTCAATAAAACACAATGTTAAATTGTAATCTCATGCATATTTCTTTGTGATATCCTCTTTGTCGTTTTCAGCATTGACGTCTTAAATAATATTGTATATAAATCTTACGCGTGTGGAATGAGTGCAACACAGCTAAAGCTTGTGTTGTTGTTTTTAAAAACGTGATAAAAGTAGAAACATAAATAGAAGAATCAAATATTAATAATAAAAACACTCGGTGGTCGAGTGGAGACGTGCACCTGCTGGCATGCTAGCAGACACGGATCGAATCTCAGGTATAGGAGGCATTTTTCTCAAATATAAAAATATCAGGTGTAATTTGGGTTGCATATATGAATTGCAACGAAATATATGAGAAATTGAAATACAAGTGGAGGCAAAATAAGAAAAGTATGAAAGTAAATGGAGAAAGGGAGAACAGAGAAATAGAAGCATGAGAGTAGTAGAGAATAGGAGAAGATAGAAGGAAGAGAACAGAGGAGTTAGAGTAGAGAAGAGGAGGAGATAGAAGAAAGAGCAGAGGAGTGGATGAGATTTTTAAATTTTTTGGCACGTGTCGTTATAAGACAGTCACAGGTCGATCTCCCAGAGCGCCTCCGGCGCTCTGGTCGATCGCCCACTGCTTCGATGTGTCCATTGCTCCCGGCCCAACCTACAGCTACGATGTCTCTGCGCTTCATCCCCGAAATTATCAGGCATATCAACAATTTTTATGGTGGGGGATCACCCCCAGAGAGAGGGAACTCCTTATAAGGACAATCCTTATAAGGTCTTGTTCAAATATTTCTAAGTTTTAAGTCGCCTCAAGAGAGGTGACACTTAAAAATATTCTTACAAGTTCTGACCTATAGCTGAAATGAAAGATGGAGCACACCAATCATACAGGTTACCTTAACAATTTTTATAGAGGGGATCATCCCCTGAGAGAGGGAACTCTCTTACAGACCTGTACCTGAAATGATAGAAGGGGTACATTCAAAGCATAAGACATGCTATTTCTTAACATTTCTTTATTAATAAACACAATGTAATATAATACAAGTTTAGTACCTTAACAATTTTTATAGTGGGATCATCCTCTGAAAGAGGGAATTCTCTTAGAGACCTGTGCCTGTAATGATAGAAGGGGTACGCCTAAATCAAAGAAGTAAATATATCTTACTACAAGTTTATATTTTACAAGTCAACAGAATACGTGCCGCCATATTGAAGCAGGACTTACGACCTGCATAGTCGCGCACATGCAAACAAGTACTACTTTGTAAAGAAGTTCTACCGGGATAATGAAATTAGCAAATAGCCTATTTTCTATGTGATTGAAAATGAAAACAAATATACCGGGTGTTACAAAAGGAAAATTTACAGTGCAAACCCAAAACTAGTACAATCACTACAAACGTCGCTCCTTATCACTAGACGATCAGGAAAACGAATATACAGGGTGTTTCAGAAAGAAAATTCTAAGTGCAAAAAGGAAAATCCTAAAAACAACAGTTAAAGCAAAATTTTCACGGACACAAAAGAAAACTAATATACAGGGTGTACCAGAAAGAAAATACCATGTTCAAAACAATGAACATTCAAAACTCACAAATAAAGACAATCTTCTACGTGCGGTTAGGAAAACCAATATACAGGGTGTTACAAAAAAGAAAATTTTCTAAACTACAAAGATAATCAATATTCACATCATGACACGGAAAATTTACATGGAAACAACAATATTTTAATATAAATTCAAAGATTTTACCGGGAAATGATCGGGAAATTAAGCAAAACGGTGCTAGAAAAGAAAACAATTACATTTTAATATACTGTGAATATATATTTATTAAATAATTAAACCGACGGGTGAAGCATCATCATAAATTGATAAAATATCCGGCGGAAAACATCTAAATCAACACCCGGCAAGCGACGGCGCGTAACAACACAGGGGTTAAAAACGATAAAAATAACAATTTCTTTGTAAATATTAAGATATACTAAGGCTGAGAAAACTTAAACTATTCACCGTTCAGATTTTATTTCAACAATAAATTATTCATTTAATGATGCAATTCGATTAAAATGTTTCGTGATCATCGAAAACATGACCGAACCGACGGCCGACGGCAAAGTGAGCGCGGTCGACAACATGAATATTGTCATTTTAATAATCCTCAGATAATTTTAAAAACCGTGATTGTAATAATTACATCAAGCATGTTTTTTTCGGAAACACGACTAAGAAGAATTCGGAGAAAAGTGCCACCACGTGTTTGTAATCTACAAAATTAATATCCCCTAGATGGAATAACTAATTTAAGTTAAACCCCCTTAACATTCCGCGTTAAATTTTAATTAGCCACCTACCTGTGCATTGATGAGGAGATTTTCTATCCTTAAATATATTCTATCAACTGAAAACTCGCGCAGGGATTAACGGACACTTATTTCTCACTTAAGAAGACTCTAACCGCCATAAATCATTAAACAAAACACACACACATGACCGTCCCGAACTTTTTAGCTGATGGCCGAAAGAATACACAACGATTAATCCAATTAAAACCTCAAAAGCATGGCGACTACAGAGACACGTTCGCGGACCACGCGGTAAAACGACTGCCGTGTACGCCGCGCGTAGCCAGGTTCAAGGCAGGTAGGGCGCGATAATACGCGTCAGTCGAACAAAAAAGTTGTATATACACAAACGTACTGATAAACACGTAGTTGAGAATACTAAACGAAAATTTACAATATTGAAATAGCACATATACACGAAATCTACTGTTACTTTCAATATTTATCGGCTTAAGAAAATTCCTAGCGCAACGAGTACAACTGCGTATACACACAACTATGAATATAACTCGCGTTACGGAATTTTCTCGCAATAAATTTCGATGCAGGGATATAAGGAATTAAATTCCGCATCTAGGAAAATTATTCCAAACTAAGTTGAAGACCGCGTTCGCGAGTTGTAATAAAAAAACTACAATTCCTAGCGCAACGAGTACGAGTGAGTACAAGTGCGTAAACACACAATTATCATTATAACTCAGGTTACGGAATTTTTTCGCAAAAAATTTCGATGCAGGGAAATAAGGAATTAATTTCCGCATCTAGGAAAATTATTCCGAACTAAGGTGAAGACCGCGTTCGCGAGTTATAATAAAAAAACTACAATTCCTAGCGCAACGAGTACAAGTGTGTATACGAATTGTTGATTATAAAAGACCGTAAACTAAAAGAGATAAATAAGATCTGATCGCAGCGTCTTAATCTACGGACCAAGCTCTATCAGATAGGATAGTTAAAAGGGAAATCTGAGAGATAAAATTTTAAGTCTTAAGAAAAAAATTGCCAAGGGGGGGTGCTTGATACTTTTTTTCGACGATTTTCAAAAATTCATATCTATTAAACTAAAAGAGATAGCAACCAACGAATTGTAGATTACGGAAGAATGAATATTTCTCTATCAGATAAAAATATAAAATAATTATATTTCCTACAGTAAAAGGTCGAAAAACGCGACTAAAAGTGCTAAAATGTGACATTTATCAATTTTTGCCCATTTTATTCAATCGCGAATATCTCGTAAACTAAAAGAGATAATTAAGTTCTGATCGCAGCGTCTTAATCCACGGACTATTCTCTATTCTTCTACCGCTGCCCTCGTACGGTGCCCTGAATGAGAGTCACTTCTACCGCTACCTTCGTACGGTGCCCTGAACACGAGTCACTTCTACCGCTACCTTAGGTACGGTGCCCCGAACACGAGTCACTTCTACCGCTACCTACGAATATGATTCGTTTTCCATATTACCAGTAAGTGAAATATACACGCCCCCCCCTCACCCGCCTAATTCGCGCGATATTGCAACACGCAGGTGAAAGGGCTTAAAACATTTAACCGAATATTAACAACTTAATTAAAAACTTACCAATGCAGCGTTCATCGGATTGCAAGGGTACGGCAAATACTGTAATTAAAAGAAAACATAAGCGATAAATCCTTTAATGTTCGATAATTATAGAGATTCATCATGTAAATGCTTCAACAATTCAATACATAAGTTAAAACAAAAACAATTCATACAATGGAAAACAAACTTTCTGTGCTGACTACCGCAATGATCAGATAAAAGTTACTTACTCATGCACGTTATATGCTTCCGGTATGTTTCCGGTTGAACTAGCGACCGACCACGTCACACAATAACCGACAATAAAACCGCAGCATTGTAATTTGAAATATAAACATCAAACGCACGATTAATCATTAACAAAACATTGCAGATGCATATCACAACTAAGTCCATTGATGACCGAAAATGCAAACTTATAAAATAGAAATCCGATAAAACGACACGCGTTGCGCGAAACATGTCTGGATACGCCAGAGACCGGCACGAAACTGGCTGCAATCTATCGATAGCGCTTACCGAAACTGCGCAAGCAAAGATGCGACAGTTCAATAAGAAGCAATAGATGCGTAAAGCCAGCGCGTCGATGCCACGCGACCTTGTGCACGACTTGCAATAGATGCGCAAAGCCGGCGGCGCGTCGATGGCATGCAACGTTGTGCCCAAATTGCAATAGACACGGTACCTGTGATCTAAACTTAACTAGAATATGCAACGACGACACTCGGGAATTTCATGCGTTGTATTCCGCGCGGTGAATGCGATAAAAAAAGTGTAAGTGTTCAAAACAAACACAATTCTGGTGTCGAATGCCCACGTTTGCTGATAAATATTGAAATAAATAATACAATTTTATTTTATGATTTTAAAGTTCATGCTAGTGTCATCTCTGAATTAAACAGTTAGTGATCCTGGAATTTATATTAATAAAAGTAATAAAACCATAAAATTACAAAATTATGATTTCTTCCCGCGTTCGGTACCCTGAACCGAGTAACTTTTACCGCTACCTTCGTACGGTGCCCAACGCAACTTGTCGCAGCGACAACAAGAACGAATTTCAAATTCTTAATATACGTAAAGTTCTATATAAAATAAGCTAGTTCAAATGAAAATCGAAGAGATGAAAAAATAATTCATAAGTAAAAATTGGCAAAGGTCTGATGCATATTTAGGTTGTTTTACAATAAATATAATGTAAATAATAAATTACCTGTAGGTATTGTCTCCTTTGCTCAGGAAAGTGGCACGACTTGAGAATGTCAATGATGATTACACCGATATCCTACTATAGCTCACTCACATCTGTATGTACACACCACATAAATCACGACTCCGAAACATTCCACTCCCGCACCACGGTTCCAAATAAAAGAAACGGAATAATCGATTAAATACATCGCAATTTGCCGAACTATAATCGCAAGAAACATGTGGAGACCCGAAGTGCGCGCCCGTCTTAACAGCCACGCGGTGACGCGGTACAAAACTGTTTGCAATACGCTGGAATTGGAATCGCGAAAACAACAACGAGCGATAAGTTTGCGCACTGCCCGCACCCCACCATGATAAGATCTTCATGGCAGTGCAATCCTACGCTATGGGAATACGCATCAAAACTGCGTCAAATGCAATAAAAAAGTTGTTCATATACACTACTGATATGAGAATTGTGTACATGACGGTTTCGCCGGTACGAATTAAATGTAGAAATATGAAGTATGTAAATGTCAATACATATATATTCTTTAAGCAATATAAATATAAATTTACGTATATTATCGAAATATAGTTAATCTTTCGTAAATTAAGTTAGATTTTCAGTACAAAATACAAAAAGATTAATTCAGGACGCAATGAAGAATTAATAAATAAAAATAAACTCTTGTTTAAAACATAAAACATAACTTCGATATTGCAGAATAGAGCTGATTTAAAAAATAAGAGTAAAAGAGGAAAAATCAATTCTCATCTTATAGATATAATGCAAAGCTAACTCTTTGCATTATAACTCTTTATAAAATTAGAAAAGTCAAAATCCTGCTTCATAAAGGGACCTTAGCCGTTCGCTCCTGCGTACTACTTTCCCAGGTTCCACTGGCACACTGGGAGCAACCATACTTTCCTTCATTAAGACCCGCAGCATATTAGTAAAATCACTAAAACATTAATTTCAGTATGTACAACCAACGAATATAAAACACACATTAAACTTACAAAGATTTAGAATGAGATCTAACACTCCGAGTTGCAGAAGTGACAGAAGTCACTGTTTCCTCTTCTTCCTCCTCTTCTAAAATGGTCTCAGATATATTCAAAGTTTGCGCGCTGACAAACGCATGCAGATTATTAGCCATCTTCTTGCAAGTGGATTGATGTCTAATTGCCATTGCTATATTATTAAAGCAACTGATGCAAGATCTCCATTTGCAATCGGTACCCTTGTCATCAAACTTCAACTGCACACAAAAAACGAATTAATATACAAATTAAAATCAAAATGAAAATTGAAGATACTTACATGAGTAAGCCTTTTCATTGCGTTTAACATCGTTATTGGTGCTTCTGCTGTCATCGGTAGAGTATCAAACACAGATTTACTGTCACCATGTGCTTGTGATAAGTCCATGTAACAACATACACACACTGTAGAAGCATCTTTATCAAAAAAGGGATTAAATTCTGCCATATCGGTTGAATTCATTGTTTCACAAACACGTGCCCAGTATTCAACTGTAACTGAATGAGCGGTTATGAACCGAACGTTAAAAAACGATCAAGGAAAGAAAAAAAGCTCCCCCACGACTCCCTAAAACACACACACAAGTTTTGGCAGTGTTACAATACGCTGCGATTCAAATCTTTGCATGCGACATGTTAATTTTAATAAGAAAACTGTAACTGATTTTATTTTTATTATATTAATACAAAAACGAAACATTTAACATTTCATTTTCAGATTTTCTTATATTTTAAAATTTCACCTTAGATTGCCTAAAACTCATTTCCTCACATTCGTCCTTGCATCTCTCGCAGCCAATCTTGCTTGCTACCATCGTCTGCCCAACCTTTTACCCAAATCTATAACGTTTATCTACTTATTGTTTGCTTCCTGCGTGTTCGGCAACCGCGTGCAGAAACATGGCGCTCTTCAATTCATCGTCGAACGGTCTTTACACATTTTGAACATGTTTAATGTAAATTTAAGTAATAATTTTTTGGTGTTCTGCACATTATTCCTTACACATTAATATAATTAATAATAATCAATATAGCGCTCATAAGTAACACATGAATTACGGTAGTATGTAGTAATTAATGAATTGATTGAAATCGTTTTGTGTCTTCTTGCAATGTGTGGTTTCTGTTTACTTGGATTTCTTTTTTAATGCATGTATACGAGTATTAAATGTCACTTACGTAATTGTAATTATAATTAATATTCCTTCCTTAATAAGTACGTACTTACAAGTACAAACTTACAGATTTAACAATTAGGCAACATTTTTTGTAGTTTTTTACATTTCATGTGTTTTTGACTGCTCATTTGATTTCACATTTGATCGCAATTGTTAACAAACAAATAGATATCACAAAATCAACAACTAATTCGTACCATATACACATTTTCATCTATTTCGTAATTTCTTTCAAACAAATCATGACTTATTGCAATTTATTGCTAGTTACTTTTTGCGTTGTTGCAAATAAAACGATTTCAGCTGCACGTTTAATAATTTCCCCATCTTTTCATCGTCGTTCGGTATTAGTTGATTATCTCTGATTAACATTTCAATTGTAAAAGCTAACAATTATGTATTTAGTAAATAGCAAAACGTTTTAATGTTTTTTTTTAGTACTTTAGATTGTCTTTGCTTGCTCGTTTCTTTTTGTTTCGAATAAATTAGATTTTCCTCCATTGGTAATAATAATAAAGCACAGCACGACCAATAAGTGTAACCGATGTTTCATCATATATAGTTGCGTGTAATATTTAATAGTAAGTCGTAGTAAGTTTGAAAATCCATCTCGTGTCGACAAGAGTACGCTGCTGCTTTTTTTTTAGTTTATACATTCATTCATCTGCGTTTGCTTTCGTCTAAATGTCACAACCAGTATATTACTAGATTCATCTATCGAACCGATACATATTTTATGTATATAATAATTAAGACAGTTATAATTGATCGTTTCAAGCGGACATTTTGATTTCAATCTTACATAACCTGGTTGTGTGACTAGTGTTATCGTAGGCAATTTTGCGCACACAAAAATCGTTCTATTTTCTGCTGTTGCTCTTGTTTTCGTTTACATTTGCAGTGTTTAGCACATTGTAAGCACATAATTCGAGTTTTCGTCCTGGGTTTTGTTTACTTTACTTGTGTTTTTGTTTTTGTGTGTTTCTCTTACGCTTATAGTGAACATTTAACATTGTTATTAATTACGTAATGAATTAAAACTGTTTCGTCTAACAATTATCGTTATCAAAAAGAATTCTCATACCCCATATTATCGTTACGATTTATATTTGATTTAAAAAGCCGAACATTTATTTATGTAATTAATTAGAGATAATTGACGTTTTCTTATCAGAATTATAATGTTAGATAATTGCATATTAGTGTCGCAAATTGTATCGAGATCGTCTGTTTGTTGTCATCAACTTCAATAATCATAGGCAACAAAACCCAAAACATCAGCAGTGTTGCTGTAAAACGCAAAATTTAAAAACAAACAATCGTAAATCTCTACAAATATAAAACAAGTTGTTTGTTATCATTTCTTAGGGGTTACATTATATCTAAATATCTAGTTATAACCGTGAGACAATTCGTTTTTCATATCAGTCACTACAAAAATAACAAATCAAATCTATCCGTTGCCTTATCAGCTAATACTTTACAAGAGAGTGGAAGGTATAAAGTTGTCTGAAGAAGCTAGATTCGCTTTCTTTGTTAACATTACGGTTATCATAAAACTTTGTTTACCATCAGCGTATTTTTTGTTTGTTTAAAATGTTAGTTTAAAGATGATTTAAAACGTTGAAAGTGTTTTTTTTTAGTTTTGTTTAATTGCGTGTTAATTGATAATCTTTAAGTTACTTCCGTCTCCTGTTTATATAGTACATATTTAAATTTATATTACAAATATAAATTCAATATTTAATACACGTTTATACTCCAAACTCCAACACACGCTATATAGATAAAAACGGATTGAAAAAACAACGTTTTGAAAAGTCCCTGCATTTTATAAACAATCGTAGTTATCTAGTAATTAAATTCGCGCACGTCTTCGTCCTCTCCTCTCCTCTGGGGGGCGTCGATGTTATAAACTTGCTTTTTGTTACAAATGTAGATATGAACATCGTGTCTAATGATTAATTATTTATAGGCGCTTGGACTGTCTTTTCTCATGTGTCAAGTTTTAGATTTTAGTTGCTAAGTATGTATTCGTATGTTAAGTCGTAGTGTTAATTAGTAAAAGCGTTTTATAGCTGACGAAAGTCGTCGGTTTTTGCGGCGGTTTTCGGGGAGGGATTACATCTGCAACGCGAGTCGAATGATGAGTGTTTCAAGATGGCGGCGCGTGGCTGATATCAATGGCGGCGCGGCGTTGGCGTCGGCGTTGCGGTTTCAAGTGTCCGCGGACACTTTCGGTTCGCTATCGTCGATATCTAAACTAAGGCACTCCTGGAAATGGTCTTCCATCGAGCGATAAGCGTGTTCCAAAACCCCGAGCAGATCGTGACCTTCGTCGGCGTAGCTCTGCAAACATATTTGAAATTATTTCATTTTATGTCACGCCGAAAAAAAATGCGCATATATGAACTTGTTTTGCACCACTTTCGGTGCCAATTTTTGTCTTTATGTGTATAGTTCATAAAAGGGCACTAGAGGGTTTTACGACTTTGTTTCCACGTTTGTGTTTACTTCAACGCTTGTTATTCGCAGCTCATAAACTTTTCAATGCATACCTGATATCTGAAGAGAACGTTGGCTTCGGTAAGGGCCCTAGCCAGCGAGACGCCATGTTGGTACGGCGTTGAAATATCCGCGAGGCCGTGCAGAATGTACAACGAGTTGGAGGGAATGTGGCTGGCGCGCTGTGTCGCATCCGCTTCCACATAACCCTTGTAATTGTCCGTTGGAAGGCCCAAAATTCGTTCCGTAAATGCCGAATCTAAATAAAAAACAATTCACATCACAATATAGTCATTTGCGTTGTCTATATAAATGTGACATACTGTAATATAGCCAATCAGCAATAGGACTGACGGCAACGCCGCACTTGAAGACCTTCTGCTGGGAACCAAGCACCATGGCGGTCACATACCCTCCATAGCCCCAACCCCAAACACCCACACGCGTCTCATCGAGGTAGCTGAGTGTATTCAGCAGATGCTTGATGACCACAATCTGATCGGCCACCTCAACTCCACCAATATGCCGATATAGGGCCCGATTTGACTGCCCGCTGGAACCACGCACGTCCAGACGCACGTAGACCACGTCGCAATGGCTGGACATGTACGTGCCCCAGTCGATTTTGAACTCTTCAGTCACTGATTTACTTCCGGGTCGACCATTACTATTCAAATACATAGAAATAAATTTTTATTCATAAAAAAACGGGAAATATTCAACGGCTTACACTTCGACCAGGACCGGATAGGCAGCGTCGCGCAATTCCTCGCGCCAGCTGGGCGGCAGGAGGAGCTGGACTTGAGCTTTGCTACCCTGCGGTAAAGGCACCTCGAATGACCGCTGCCTGGGCAGCGCCAACGCCCCCAGGATCGGACCCTGTTTCGGCCGGCTGTCGTACAGCAGCTTCGACAGCTTGTGTGTGCGCGACGAGTGCACGCCGCCTAATGGAAGACCTGGTCCTTCGCACTCGAGGACATAGTATCGGGCGACGGTTGATTCCGTCGACGGGCTCACCATCGCGTTGAAGTGTGTACAATTTGCATAGTAATACCTACTGCTCCAGAGCACCTCGCCGAGGTCGCAGGTGATACAGAGCGGTTCCACTCGTCGGGACATATCATTCGTGGGGTCCTTCACTACGTACAGGTGACGCTGGCCGGGTTTATGTTCCTCAGTCGCTAAGTAATATCTAGGGAAGCACACAGGAAGACAAATTGACATCGTTTTTCAAATAAAAACAAAAAAACTCAAAAATTGTTCATTTTTTCTTGCATCTCCAGAATTTTGGGCAGGATTTCCAGAAAAAAACTAAAATACCATCCGCCATCTTGTTTTTTGGTGATGCAAGTAAAAAAAACACATTTTTTTTGACAAAACAAGCAAAATTTAATGAAAAAACTTGCATTTGACGACTATTTGTATCCCACCGCAGAATCTTATTCACTTCATAGCGACCATGACTAAGAACGGCGATGCGCTGCTGCGTCAACGTGATGTGTTTGATGTGCGTGAACGTGTCGACGCTGCCCTCCTGCACAGAGGCGAGCAGGAGGAAACTGTCGCCATCCGGCGCGAACACCGGATGATCCTGGATCTCTAGCCAGGCGTCCTCGGCGGCGCGCTCCACATGCACCTACAAAGCAAATCCCCAAAAAGAGAAATAAGTAAAAAAACACGAATAGAGAATGAAAGAAGCAGAAACCGAGAGCTTTACAGCTGGCGGCGCAAGACATAATTAGCTCTCTCGACTCGTCGAGACTTAATCCCGCGCTCTAAATCATTCGGGTATTAAATATTACGCTTGAATATTCAGCAGTTTGGGATGCATCCAGCTGAAGGGGATCAGGCGCGCGAATATTTATTACGTTATAATGATGCATTGCTAAACAATTTCGGATTTAAATTTACAATCTCCAAAATGGAAATTCTAATTTTCGACAAAAATGGATGATAATTGTTGATTTGTATTTTACAGACGCATTCATGCATGCACACCGAATGAGAAATGAGTATTGCATCGGATGTGTGCGAAGAATCCGAATTGGGGCACGTAGACATCGCATACTTCTTGCAATCGTGATCATTTATCAAGTGCACAACAACATCTTTCGTGTTGCACGCCGAAAAAATATAACTTTTCTTGTTTTGTAATAATGTATGCAACCAAGCACAAGATTTCACATATTGCAGATGTACATAAAACGCGCTTATATCCGGCGGAGATAAATGCGCTGCGCATTCTTTAAATATTTCAATTTTACACGTATAAAGAATCATGAATAGAAGTTGTTCTATATGTAAATGAGATGAGCATCCATCAATTGTGTGCGTACAATGCAGTTTTCCAGCTTATTCTGTCATTTCGTAATCAAATAATTCTATGTGAAGCAAAAAAAAAACCTAATACAAAGTTTACTATGAGTATATTAGTATGTTAGGCAACCCACAATACACTAACCCTTCAACGGGAGACTACATATTACGATGACAATAGCGAAGAAAAATGCGAAAAATTAATAATAGAGTTCCTCGGCCGGAACACATATTTTTTCATTAGATACACGCCGAATGTTCCCAAAAAAAAACTAAAAATCATTACATTTCCAGTCTTTAGAAAATAATTTTTTGTGACACTCAGTATATATCAATCCTATTTGTGGCTATTTGTAGCAGAAAAGCGCCTCCCAAGTATTTTCCCATTTTCGTCGTGGTGCGCGCTGGAATTTTTTCACTTTCGCTATTGCGGAAAAATCGCGATGCGAGTTTTTCCGGATATTATTCCTATAGAAACGCCGCAGCACGTACTCGTATTGGATTAAGTGTTGCTTTACGCCATGTTTTTACAACGAGTGTGCAAAAAATGCGCAAAACATTAAAAAATGATGACTTTATTACATTGTTTTTGCCCCCGGCGCGCGGAAAATTCTAAGAATAGATGTCTACTTAGGAAGTGTTTTCGGTGTTTTTCGCTAATGATAAATGGCGCTAGCATGAACCGCAGCCAGACAAACGGACGCCCATTAAGGTGAAACACATACGGCACGTATTCCCACTCATAATCCCACAGGGTGTTCATCAAAAACACTTTAGAATATTATTTTCACAAAAAATAATAAAATTTTATCTTTAACTTTGTGTAACGCGTAAATTTTTAATTTTAATTAACAAAAATTAGAAAATAAAACACCCTGTATAAATTTCACATAAATTTCGGAGAATAGGAATCTCGGTCGGCCGGTTTGTACCGTTTTGCACCACTGGGCGTGCATTTGTCACATACTTGTCCTTCGCACAAACCGCGACGTGTCGCAGTTCACGCCCTACATGTCGGCTGGCTTAATTAATTACTCTCGACACTCTCACACCTTGTATGCGTGTGTTTCGTGTACATGTAGCAGTATAACCTACCTCGATGCATGTCCAATTTGGAGCGAGACATGCTGAAATGATGCTCAGATTCTGCGCGCGATTCATCCACACCGCCGACACTTGGCTGTTGTTCTGACCGATCCAATCCGCCGACGTGAGATAATAATCCCTAATTGCATACAATCACATTTAATTACGTTAACTTGTTGCATTAGTCCACCACAATATCAATTTTAGGCAGAATAACTACTCGTATGTAATATTGGTTGCATATAATGGAAATTTCGTGTTTTTTTTTCTTGTTTAACCTAACTTGAAGACTAACGAAACAAAAAGTTTTAATAAAGACCTTGTGAGACTCAACTAGTTCGGGGTTTCTTTGGCGTGGCACGTTTCTCTTTAGAAAATTACGTAACTTTGCTCATCATAACTTTGTTGTTTTCTTATATTTTTTTAAGCTACCCAGGGTCGTCGTCAACAGCAAGATAACCTCAAACCACAAATAATAAAAGACTAGAGTAAGTGATAACTTTCTGTTGTGTGTGGGTGTGAAAGGAGAACTTTAATGCACTACGCGTTGACATTGTGGAATTAAAAATAACTTACTGTCCGAGAAATGCTTTCGGTGGTATCACTTCGAAGGTCTGCAGGTCTGTGTAGTTGGAGATGTCGAGCACCCATAGCGTAACGGTCGGGTTTGGTGTTCCTGGCTGGAAGCACACGCGTGTGTTGACTCATTATGAAATTCATGAGTGAGCATCTTATTACTTAAAACTTTCTAAGTACATATTTGCTAGGAGCTACTTGCTAGTTACTACAAGTAGTTACGCTCGAAATTCTCGAAACTAGTTGGCGTGTTATATTGATAACGAATCACCACTGCACACTGCACGTATAGATAGTTATATAGCCCGAGGCGGGCGGTGCTAAGACTGCGCGAATGTCGATGATATAAGACGCGAATTGCATTTGCATGTTGAGGCTAGAATTGTTTGGTCAACAGACTACAGCTATCATTATTTAACTTGAGAACTATATTATTATAGAAGTGACACTAGAAAATCGTTTATTTTGAATTTCATGAGTAAATCTTCGTTTTTTTTCGCATTTTTGCAAAAATAATTAAGAATCTAGAGAAAAAAACTTGAGGAATGACTTCAGGAAATATTTATCGGCATTTTTACTAGAGAAATTGAGTTTATAACTAGTTTACAAAAGATTAAAAAGTTGCCTATCGGCAAAAAGTCACAATATTTGGTTAGGTTTTTATTCCTCGATGAAACACTGTTTAAAAAAGATTTTTTCTAGTGTCACCTCAAAACACACTAATATTTCAACTCTAAATCTCTCCCCTTTGTACCTGTAAACTATTCAACCCCAAAAACAGAAAAATTATCAATATCATAACACCCACATACCACATTATCGTTTTCCTTACTTTTTAAACACACAATTTCATTAATAAAACCTTAAAATCAATATTTTTCTTTATTTTACTTACTGTAGGATATCGAATGGTTCTACTCGAAGGAAAAGTCGTGGGTTTCTGGGCGACGCCACCGACAGTAAGAACGTTCCCGGTGGCAAACCAAGGATACTGCAGCAATCCCACGTTGCTATCATTGAAGGACACGTACATAAGATGCGTGCCGTCCGGTGAGGGCCACATCGCCGTGCGTCTCCGCATCACTTCCTCTGCACCACAACAAAAACAACCACATTAATACACACCGCCCCCCGTCAAAACTACAATAAAAACAACTCAAACTTTTTTTCACTCCAGGAAGCGCGCCGAAGAAAAGTTTTCAAGTCCCATCTATTTCCACCCATTGAGTTTCACTCAGTCATCATAACAACAACAAACTGCGCGGCGAAAAGCAAATCTTAAGAAAACCGTCGTCACAGAATAGAAAAAAGTTTTCTCTGACGTGGATTGTTGAGAAATAGAAAATAGGAAAATTTTGTTGAAATGACGAGAATGACGGAATAAGAAGTCGTCATAAAAGGTTGTGTAAGTGAGTGCGCATTGTAATACTATTGCAATGTGGATAGTCGCACACACCTTGATAGAGCCAGTCCGGAATTCCATTAAAAATGACGTCCGGCTCGCCGTTGAACGTCAATTGAAAGTCGACGTCGTCCCACGGCGACTGCCGCACGTAGATGTCGTTTCGGAAGATGATCAGCATTTTGTGCGTGTCGCCCAGCCAACTCGCGTGCTGCAGACGCTGTGGTTGCGCTTTCGACGCCGACGCCGCCAATCGCACCGGTATATGATGACTAAACACATATAGAATTAAAAGGTTATGTTTACGCCTGCAATTTAGGCAACCAAATATGCAAAACAAAAAAACAAAAAAAAATTCAAAAATTCAGCAAAAAACGTTTCTAATTTAAAACCTAACCTCAATTAATTAATAATGTTTATATCTAAAGATAAATTTATATAAAATTATTGCAAAAAACATTTAAAAACTTAAATTTCATATTTTTGTTCCTTTTACACTTATTATATACCAAAATACGAATTAAAAATGTGACTATTACGGTGTAAGAGTAAATTGAGAAAGTTTTAATTGAGAGCCACCCAATAGCGATATAATAACCTCATTCGACTTGGCCGCAGTAACGATCAAGTATCGCCCTGAAATTTAATAGAAATCGGAGGCGAACCCTTTTGATAGTTTCGCACTAACTGCGATAAATTACGACGCGAATTAATGACGACTGCATTTTGGCGGCGCATGAGAAAAAACTGATTAAAAACTTCATAAAAGTTGCGCGGCAAACGCGCTTAATGAAAAATGGCGGCAAAAAATGCATGAGATTCATCGATTACACCAAATCTGCATAGCTAAGCAACTCGCAACTCGGCAGGCGCAGAAAGGCGGAAATCGACGAAAGAAAACTCCATTCAAATGAAATTCAATGAATTATACTGCCAAAAAAATTATTATAAAAACCTCTTAAAATTTTTCTAAAAATAACATTACCTATATTATTATTGAGGTTATGTATTGTAATCTATCAGATTTTTGTAATTTTTTTAAATTTTGATGAAAATTTTTGTATCACCCTGAGTGAAGAATAAAGGAATAGAAAGCTAAGCCACAATTTTCATGTAAATGCAAATGCAACTTCCGCAAAGGCCTCCTCTTTCTCCCGTTCCCGCGAGCTTTGCAAATGGCGTCCGTTTTTATCGAGTTTAATTAATCTTTTTGTCTGCCATATCTCTCAAACCCTTATAGCCCTCTTCGCGCATTAACGAGGACGTGCTTTCAGTGCAAACTTTGCACCGCAATGCAGGCAAAGCGAACAAATCATTGTACTCACTCATTGCTGACGTCATAGATGGTGTAATGCGCTGTATACGATTGTCTGAATACCTGCAAACAACAATCGTGCATCAAATATATTATTAACACATAAATTATGGAAGACAACAAAAAACACGCAATAGCATGAAAAATTAAATTAGCTGCATACATCAAATTCATTTCATTCTGGGAGTACAGATGGAGTAATTTATTTTCGTGTCTTCATTTTCCCACACAACACAACAGCCACCGCGAAGCGCGCATTTTTCTTTATTATGCTTTTATTTATTTCTCTATTTCTATATGGTTTGCACCTCTTGTGTCGTCGCATCGTTTATACTCGCGCTAGCACTTTATGTTTGGGGCGTTGTTTCGTGCGGTGCAATCTTCCACGCTTCATTCTTCTTTGTGAAATAATTGTGTGCAAATGCGCGAGTGTTGAATTTGGTGAGTCGTGGTGGGCTTTTGCCAGTTTTCATCCTCGCATATTACATTCCGCATATTCTGGCATTCCACACCACACTCACATCTAGACCACAAGTTAGGTTATGCGCGGAAAGAATGGTAGGCAACACTGTATACACTATAGAAATTTCCTATTCTCTTTCTCGGAGAATTCGGAGATTTCCGAATGACTAGACAAGATGATTTATATTCGACAAAATCTCATCCTTTCATGTAATAAATATACAGAGTGTTGCTGTAAATGTTCTAAAAAATTATTATTTTCCGATGGAAATTCACCACTCTGTAGATAAAATTTATCCGCTTGGAAAATTTTACACCTTCCCGACGTGATGCGCTTCATCGCACGCGATGATTGCACCCGCCGCGAATTCACGTTTTCAATTGTGTTAGACAAAAATTTATTTTTGTTTCCGGAGCGTCACGTAAAAAATGAAAACAATGCAATATATTTGAGTATAGAAGGAGGAAACAGTTGTGCGCGGGGCATCTTGCCAAATATGTAAGCGCCGGCTGGTCCGGCCAGCGCGGCGACGACGTGCACGTTTCCCGATCGAAGGCACCACCCCCGATAGCGCGGTCGCCGTCCCCGGGAGTATCGCTAACGTAATAACCGAAACCGAAACGACCGCGAACCGCACACCGTGGCGAAACTACCAAACTAAACCCTTGAAATGCTCAAGAATTCATCATAACTAATATTTCTAACCTAAAAAAGACTTGTAACATTAAAAAATGCATACCGGAAATTAAATTTGAACATTTCAAATGCAATTTCCTATTGATAAATGCGAATTTTGCGTAGAAAACTATTTTTAGCGATAAAATCATATTTATAGGTTCTGGTGAGTGTTAATTTTGTAATTTTAATGCAAATATAATCTAGATAGGCGTGAAAAACGCACGACGTGAACGTAGATATTAGCCGCCTCTTTGTTTACAAGAAATTTCGAATTTCGTTTTGAATTCGCACTGAAAAGCAAAGCAACGAGGAGTGTGCGTGACTTTTAGCCATTAAAACCTGACCCAGAAATAATCGCGCTACTCACACCGTGACACCGCGCACCCTTGCCCCCCATGGGGGATGAATGCCCAACCCTACGTGACTATCACAATCATCACCCGCCGCCCCCACAGTGTACAAATCAGTATTTAAACTGGAATTAAAGTTGTAGAAGAAAGTTGCAAATGCAACATTGCAAGTTGTTTTTGTTGATAACTTTTAAACTATTCGGGAAAATTAAAAATTCTTTTTAGTAATAGTTTAAGAATTTAATTCTCTATATAATGATGAATTAGAATTTCTTTAAAAAAATTTATATAGAAAGATATAAACAAAGTAAAGAAAAAATGTAATATTTAACTTTAACACCCGGTAACTTTTTAAATATTAAAGTTACAATAAAATTCATTATATAATTAAATGTATAATTTAATACTTCATTGACCACAAAAAGAAAATTTAAAATATTTCAATTAGTTTAAAAGTTATTAACAAAAAACTTGACCGTTGTCATTGAAGTATGACCACTAAGCAAAATTTAATAGTAAGTATTTAATATTAAGCCATAAAATAGAAACTTGAACACATTGTTCATAACCTCAAAATGTGTCGGTGGATGCGCCAGAGCTTTACCGCTTTCGCTGAATTTGTCGTCCCTAAGGGTGGCTAAACCGCGAAGGCGTAAACTACACGAGCGGACATAAAAGAGACAACGCACACCGCACGCGCGCCGCACGATAAGGTAGCCGCCAGATAGAATGCCGCCTCGGCCACACGAAGGTAGGGTAGGAGGCCGGCGGCGGGTGGCCTGCAGCCGCCTCCCAAGCAAGGGTTCGATGTTTGATGGGAAAACTTGTGACGACGCAGCGCGAGATTAACCTTTGACCCATATCTTAATACGAATCGAGCGCGCCTCCACCACGCATGAGACCACTACTCAAATATACAGAGTGTTTCCACACACAAAAATAATTTAAAAAATAAAAATCACTCTGTATAATTAAATTTAGGTTAAATTCCAAGACAAAAGAACGTAATTACGACTGCAGTCAGTCACCCACTTCCGGTTGGCGAAGAGATGTGCGCTTTGAGGTTAGATAACGAACGTTTTAATAGATTTGGCGCACGTGTGCGGGTTAACGATGACTGATTCGCTGATTAACGAGCCCCCATTTTGAATTAGGTTAGACTCGACTACTACTTATACTCAGCGCGCAATTAGATTAGGATAGTCGTACACGAGAGTAGATGTAAAATTAGGTTAGTGTAGATAACGCCATCTACGGTGTTAATTAGTCGATCTGGTTTAAACGATTTGCTTTATGGCGCTTTTGTCGCATTGAATGCCATGAATGCCATGAATGCCAAATTGGGTGCTTGCGATAAAGAAAAAAAAAAGAGAAATATAAATGAAAGGATAAACGATGCGGACATGAAACGGTTATTTCGCGAAAATTACCAAGTCGTTACGCGTTTATCGCGCTGTCATTATACTAGCATTAGTACCGCGTGAATTGAATAAATTCATTGTTATCATTCAATAACGCACAAGATTAACACACGTAATAATGTGTTAATAATATTAGTTTTTCTCGGTTAACAAGAAAAATGAAATTGTAAAAATCTACTTACTACACGATTGTTTTTAAAAATCTATAAAGATAAACACAAGGAGAAGAAAGAAATTATTTACATACAAATAGAAATAAATAAATAATGGTTGTGATTTTGCACTTACTTGTTTAACATTATGCTCGAATAATACGTATTTAAGGTCCTTGGTGCACTGATAACCTCTGACATTTAATTGTCGCTGAAACAGGCAACCAATCACACACATCACACAAATTGCTAAATTTGTTTCGAGCGCACGCTGCGCAACCACGTACACATAATTAGCCGTGTTTATTATGCACACCGACACGCACAGTCGTTTATTTGCGTATTGCCGCGCGTTTCCGTGCGATTTGCCGGCTGACATGTGACTAATTATTTTATGGTTATATCGCTGTGCGTGAGGTTATGTTGCTGTAGCTGCGCACCAGCAGATGCGGTACTCACCAGCGTGTGATTAGTAACCAGCAGGCTAATTGTAAAATTGCTCGTGTCTAATAGGGTTAAGCCGCCGTCGTCGCTCTGGAACACGAAGTGCGTGCTCGATACCCACGATGGTGGCAATCTGCTTGGATTTAAATGTCCCTGGAACAAAATTTTTGAATTTTTTAGAGTTTTTTGAGTTTTTTACATTTTTTTGTTTAATAAATGATGGAAAATCTTTTAAAAGATGAAACAAAATTCTTAAAAATTAATTTTAAAGGTTGCCTAATAAAATATCGGTATTAATACCGGTATACCGATATTTTAATTTAAAAAATACCGGTATTGAATGTTAAATTTTAAAAATTTTCGATTTTTTAAATTTTTATGTTTCATAAATTATAATTGTAAGGTTTCCCATTAAAATACCGGTATTAATACCAATACACCGGTATTTATATTTAAAGAAACCGGTATTTGACTTAAAATTCACATCACTGAACCCATTTTTTCCATCCCCGAGATTTAAATTTATCTGTCAGCCATTTTGTTTCGAAACAACATGCGACATGATGTCCTGATGTCGCTTATATTGGCCTATTAATATGTATTCCCCGTGTCGGAATGTTCGCACTTCATAAATATTTCACAACCCCCCGACGCTCCACACTCTAATGCACTTTCCAAGGCGCGCAGAGATACAATACACAAACACACAATGCGACAAGAGGACAGAGCAAGCACACTCGAGCTGAATTCCGCGCCGAGAATCCGAGTCAAACTTTAAGCTTTCACGCTTCCAGCATCTCCACACCATCCCTCGGATTCTGGTGCGTGTACCAATCGTCCCGCACCCACCATCCCAACTAGTGCAAATTGATGCAAATTGCCGTTGTTAACGCTCTGTTTTATTTTAATTATTTAAACAGAACGCGTCGAAAGCGCGCGCGCGCGCGCCGGCCCTGTCATCCGTGCGGCGAATAACAATTGCCGTTTATCGTAGGGTTGCCGGAGGGTGTTTCACTTCACTTCGACACTTTGCACGCGCCTCATTTCGAAAAGATAATAAGAATTTGACCCGAGCACTACTAAACTCTGATCATCATCATGATGGTAAATGATTTTGTTTTAAAATAAATTTATACTCGAATAAATACTTTGAAGGTATTAAACTCGGTGAACTATTTGAAATTACAGAGATAATAGTAGTGTTATCGCACGTGATGGTACCGATTACCGCTGACGATGCACGCAAATCCGTTGAAATAGTTTCGATATTCACATGAGCGTAAATTCCGCAAATGCCACACAAATAGGCATAGATCTGTATATTTGGTTGCATACAATAAATGTTACATAACCAAACCTATAAAGGTATTGAAAACGTAAATTTGTTTTAAAAGAACAGCAAAACTCCACGTTTAACCTCAATTTTGCACCCTTAAAATTATTTTTTCGCAATAAAAAGTACCCCATGTCCTATTCCATTGTATAAACTATAAATTTACTAAATTTTATCAAAATTACTTCGGTAGTTTCCGAGTTATCGAGGAACAAACATACATTTTTAAATATTTTTACGTTTTTTTCATTACCTGCAGATATTCATCAAGATTCATACGCTTGCCATGCCAGTAAAGAAGCTCGTCGACATAGCCGAGCAGGTAGATGGCGGTGACGATGCCGGAAATGACCAGGCTGATCACCAGCAGCGAGAAGATGATCGACCACCAGTTGTGCCCCTCCTCGCCGTGCAGCGCTAGCTCCTACGGGAAGAATCACAATGTGAACGCATAAAACGCATTTCGCATCACTGCGAATTAATGCGTTAAGCAAAAATCATTCGCATGCCAAAAACTAAGAAACTAATAGACTAAAGTTGAAAATTTACTTCATTTACTTTAATCAATTTGCAAAAATTTTCTTCATGTGCAATTGTGTTGTGTGAATTCATTTGTCATCAATCAACTAATTACTAATTTTAAAAGGTCTCAATTTTCAAGATGCAATAATTTTTTCTTTTAATTGTTTATACACTCTGGATATTAAAAAAAAATAATTTAAAAAATTTGTATCGATGAATTTGTTTGTTTTGATTTAAAATTTTGATTTTCTGTTGATTTAGTTTTAATTAATTACAAAGTGCTTGGCAATCACTCGAAATTACTAACGCGTTTCCAACGGCCGCGATAATCGCCATCGATTCGCATCAATTTCGATTAACGGTTATCAATATCGACAAGCGGCCGTCGCCGATGCGCCAAATTGTTTATTAAGCGACGAGAGCTACAATTCGATTACTCGTAGGCCTCGACAGCAAACTCATCGATACGTCATAAATAATGTTCGCAAGCATTAAACACAACAAATAAATGTATGCTACAAGTTGTTAGACTCAATAAGGGCACAAAACGTGTGGCTACATACTAGAAATCAAGTCAGTACTCATACTCATTCCATGGCTTTGAAAATTGGTCAAGGGCACATACCAAATACCACTATTTTACCAAGATATGGATCATTACCAAATACCAATACCAATTTATAAAGTTTATAAAATGGGGTGCTGAAAATAGGTAAGTACGCTGTGTTTTTTACAGTTTTTGGGAGTTAGAATAATGAATAATGACACAAAAACATATTTTTTTTAAGTAAGAATATTCCATGACTTAGGACATAGTCTGGAAGTGAAGGGTGTGAAATATCGGAAATATCAATATCGGTATACTAAATACTAACATATTTTTCGTCACATTTTACGACAATTCCAATATATTTTTGAAAGATTTGATTGCGATTTACTCGAAAACTAAAAGAGATAGGAAGGCCAAAGCGTAGATTCTTAATCTACGAAACATTCTCTACAAGATAGACTAGTTAAAATCGAAATCTAAGAGATGAAATTTTGGGTCTTAAGAAAAAATGGGCAAGGGGGGGTGCTTGATACTTTTTTTCGACGATTTTCAAAAATTAATATCTCTTAAACTAAAAGAGATAGCAACCAGCGGATTGTAGATTACGGTAGAATGAATCATTCTCTATCAGATAAAAATATAAAATAATTATATATCCTACAGTAAAAAGTCGAAAAACGCGACTAAAAGTGCTAAAAAGTGACATTTTTCAATTTTTGACCATTTTCTTCAAATGGGAATATCTCGTAAACTAAAAGTGATAGGAAGCCCAAATCGCAGATTCTTGATCTACGAAAAATTCTCTACAAGATAGGCTAGTTAAAATCGAAATCTATGTGATGAAATTTTAGGTCTTAAGAAAAAAATGGGCAAGGGGGGGTGCTTGATACTTTTTATCGACGATTTTCAAAAATTAATATCTCTTAAACTAAAAGAGATAGCAACCAGAGGATTGTAGAATATGGAAGATTGGATCATTCTCTATTAGCTAGGGAATTAAAATGATTTAATTTCAAAGAGTAAAAGGTCGAAAAATGCGACTAAAAGTACTAAAAAGTGACATTTTTCAATTTTTGACCATTTTCTTTAAATGTGAATATCTCGTAAACTAAAGGAGGTAGGAAGGCCAAATCGTAGATTCTTAATCTACAAACATTCTCTACAAGATAGACTAGTTAAAATCGAAATCTGAGAGATGAAATTTTGTGTCATAAGAAAAAAATGGGCAAGGGGGGGTGCTTGATACTTTTTTTCGACGATTTTCAATAATTAATATCTCTTAAACTAAAAGAGATAGCAACCAGCGGATTGTAGAATATGGAAGATTGGATCATTCACTATTAGCTAGTGAATTAAAATGATTTAATTTCAAAGAGTAAAAGGTCGAAAAACGCGACTAAAAGTGCTAAAAAGTGACATTTTTCAATTTTTGACCATTTTCTTCAAATGTGAATATCTCGTAAACTAAAGGAGGTAGGAAGGCGAAATCGTAGATTCTTAATCTACAAAACATTCTCTACAAGATAGACTAGTTAAAATCGAAATCTGAGAGATGAAATTTTGTGTCATAAGAAAAAAATGGGCAAGGGGGGGTGCTTGATACTTTTTTTCGACGATTTTCAATAATTAATATCTCTTAAACTAAAAGAGATAGCAACCAGCGGATTGTAGAATATGGAAGATTGGATAATTCTCTATTAGATAGGGACTAAAAATTATTTAATTTCAAAGAGTAAAATGTCGAAAAATGCTACTAAAAGTGCAAAAAAGTGACATTTTTCAATTATTGACCATTTTCTTCAAATGTGAATATCTCGTAAACTAAAAGAGATAGGAAGCCCAAATCGCAGATTCTTGATCTACGAAAAATTCTCTACAAGATAGGCTAGTTAAAATCGAAATCTAAGAGATGAAATTTTAGGTCTTAAGAAAAAAAATGGGCAAGGGGGGGTGCTTGATACTTTTTTTCGACGATTTTCAATAATTAATATCTCTTAAACTAAAAGAGATAGCAACCAGCGGATTGTAGAATATAGAAGATTGGATCATTCTCTATTAGCTAGGGACTTAAAATTATTTAATTTCAATGAGTAAAAGGTCGAAAAACGCGACGAAAAGGGCTAAAAAGTGACATTTTGCAATTTTTGCCCATTTTATTCAATCGCGAATATCTCGTAAACTAAAAGAGATAAATAAGATCAGATCGCAGCGTCTTAATCTACGGACCAATCTCTATCAGATAGGATAGTTAAAAGGGAAATCTGAGAGATGACATTTTGAGTCATAAGAAAAAAATGGGCAAGGGGGGGTGCTTGATACTTTTTTTCGACGATTTTCAAAAATTCATATCTCTTAAACTAAAAGAGATAGCTACCAACGAATTGTTTATTATGAAAGATTGGAAAATTCTCTATCAGATAAAAATATAAAATAATTAGATTTCCTACAGTAAAAGGTCGAAAATCGCGACTAAAAGTGCTAAAAAGTGACATTTTTCAATTTTTGACCATTTTCTTCAATTGTGAATATCTCGTAAACTAAAAGAGATAGGAAGGCCAAATCGCAGATTCTTAATCTACGGAACATTCTCTATAAGCGTTTAAATTCTTTAGTTCTTAAGATTGGGCTAAGCCAGTTAAAATTGTCTTTGCAACATATTTATAAAAACTGTTACCCCACTGGCGACCCAATATCAACATTAAAATACCGGTATTGCACTCAAAATTCACAACCCTACAGTCAACTACTCGTCAAAAGCCATAGAATATTCATCCAATTCCTTAATATACAAAATGTAAAACATGTCCACATTTAAAACAATAAAAAAAATAAAAACTGATGTTTTTGTGTCAATTATTTGAATTGGATATTTTTTTGTATCAAAGTTTCTCTGGTTTAAAATTCCATTCCGGATGCACTATGCATTTAAATGTGAATTTGCATCAATTACAGCTCCACTTTTCTGCAACTAATTTAAATAGCCATTACACGCAAGACGTATTTTCCTTTCTTGCAGAAACAAATTACAAATTCCCGCTATTTGTACTACGGCGCAGAGGTGTAATTAAGCTTATCACGAAATATGAACAATCTAGATCATTGGTGGTGGGGGGGGGTTCGCAGTCAGTGGCGTGCAGTGAAAGTATAGTGGTACGTTCAAGATTACGTTACGTAAAACACGATCTCGGTTGGAGATCGTGCTGGGCACGTCGTCGTCGAGTACTGACCTCGTCGCTACCTACCTCATCCTTTTTGGACTTATCGCCGACCTGTAGGGTTTCGTCCGGAGGCAGACGCCATGCGCCCTTTTCACATTGCACATTCGCGTGCATCCCGCCGGCGCCCCCAAACGCGCGCCGATCTGCGCCACCGTTGTAAGCGCCGCCGCCGCCGCCACTGTCGTCGCTAAGTCGCGCACGATTCCAACCTCAATTCGGCGCTAGCAGAACCAAGTAACTTGTTGCAAACACCTGAAAAATAAAAACACAAAACATTAAAACATAACCTAAAAATTATTTTTAATTTTCAGGTTATATATGCGCATAAATTTGATAATTTATGAACGTGCGCGTATTAAATTCGAGTTTTGGGCCAAACGCTTCCGGTTTTTATTGTTCCCTATAGAGCAATGAGTGAAAATAATAAATTCGCGCACCCCGCATTAAAACGCGAGCAAACAAAACACAAAACAATCAAATTCTAAGGTTATGTTGCGAAATTCTAACCTAAAACAGCTAAAAAATACCTAAGAGTGAAATATTCAGAGTTTTCATGGCTATTCATGTGTGAAACAATTGAATCATCGTCGTTGGACGATAAAAGCGCATTCTCGCGACCACATGCTGGTTTTATCGACGCCATTTTGTCCACAAAGTTACACACAACACACGTATTTTATCTGCAAGTTCATAAAGTGAATCCCGAATACTGAATGGAAATGAAACAATGTATCGCCATATCTGTACAAGATAAATGGTTTTTATGCGCGGGAATTTATTTAACTTTGTTTGCAGTTGGGTCAACACAATAGATAACTTTCAACTTTCAAGTGGAAATGGCGCACAAAACTATCGAAATAAATTTGCAACGTTGCGAAATTCGGCCCGGATGTGAGAGTTTTAACTTTAAACTCAAAAGTTTAATACAAAACTCGATTAGAAGTTGTGTGTGAAAAATTAAATTAAATTATTTCTAGGTTAGGACTGGGAATAGAAGTACATTGGGTACAGAAATAGAAAAAGCACATAAAGTTGCCTGCATACCGGGCGTAAATCTCGTCCTTAGGCACAGATTGTTGAGCGCGCAGTGGCGCGTGATCAATGGACGGAAGTCCGCGACCGGAAGAAGACTTCCGTTTTCATTAGTATGAAAATGGGTCATTACAAGGACGAAAAAACAACGCGCATGCAAAAATATTCAATAATATGTTGTTTCAGGTTGTACGCCTCGCATTTTTGACGAGATCTAAAGAATAAATTAGCTTTTAAAATATATTATGCAACAGTTTAATTAAAATCGAAATTACGCCCGAGTCGGCCGAAAATTTCCAACATCAAAAAACGAGTACAACGAGTCCTGAACACTCGTGAGTAAAATGTCCGCACGTCCGGCGCTTCAACGCCTCTCTGGACCACGTCCTTCGTCCTCACTTCTCATCATCACATTACAGCGTTCAAATTCAACATTTAGACAACAAAACATTTAGAAAAGTCTGAATAGCAATAAATATGCAAACAAAACTCTGAAAAATTTCTAAATATTTTATATTTTCATAAAACCTAATTGGAGTTAATTATTTTAAACTTTTTACGAGTTGAACTAATTTTTCGCGTAGAATGGTCAGCGCGTAATTGTGCCTCTGGTGCGTAATTAAGTTTAGTTTTAATTGGGCCCGTCGAGCGTCAGTTGAAAAACGACACACGCTAGAAACACTAAAAACCCTGCGCTATACTAGAAACTTTATTTTTTGACAGATGTATTGTACTGTAAAACTACAAAACTTTAAAAACTGCAATTTTTCTTCGTAATTGCCGTCAAATTGGCGTAAAACAATTTTGTTTTCGCGTTGATTTTAACATTTTGACATTACCACCTCGCCTCTAAGTAGAAATGACAAGCCTGTATTTTTATTCGGCACAAATGCTAATTTTAGAAGCCACGCAAACACTTAACGTGATTAATTTTGGACGCGCCCTTTGAAACAGAGAAATAAAATAGTAAAAAACTAAAATAAATTTAAATTTTCTTCATTTACCAACTAAAATTACAAAATGTAACAATTTAAAGCAGAAATAAAAGCAAAAGAAAAAAATCAACAATAAAATTACGTTTTGTTTGTTTTTTCTCTTCAGTTTTGTGTATATTTGTATGTTTAGTTGCCTGCGCGCCTCCGTGCACACTCTTATTTCCAATTTCTTGTTTTGTTTCGTCTTTCGTGCGCGCGGCGAGCGAGAATTTCGAGTTTAATTTGACAAAGTGACGAATTACTTTTGCACGGCAGCGGCGGCGGCGGCGACGTGCCCGGAAAATGCACAAAGTCCTAAAACTCCACCCGGCAAAACAACTAACAATGACGCGAACGTAAAATAAAAAAGCAGTTAATGCCGCATTTCACCAGCTGCACACACTCGAAACGTAAAAAGTAAAAGAAAAGCGCACTAAAAATAAAACTAAATGCACCTCTGCACGAATCAAAATACCACCTGAATGTACGATATTTATGTTTATTTGCATTTTGAGGTTATTCTGTTTTGATATTTTATAATTTCGGCAGGAAGCGCGTAGCGGAGGCGCAATAATCGTAAAATGTAATAACTTGGACTCTTTTCGGAGGCGTTCGATGCGCGGTTTTATGCGAAAAACGCGCCGGAAGCATCTAACTGGCTCTAACCTAAAAGTTTATTAGCTAATTTTTTTACTTGGACTCGCCTAACAATGTATAAATAGAAATAAACAGGAAAGCAGAAAGAAAGACATAAAAAACGCTGGGGATAAAGATAAAATGAATTTGTTTGTTTATTAGATCATTTTAAGAGTTTCTAACCTAAAAAAATGTTCTATTTATTTTTTAACCTAAAATTTTCAATTTTTTCACAAAAAAAATTTTGTTTTGTTTTTTGATGAGATAAATCAGCTAAAAATAGCCTAGACTGTTACAAGTTGTTTTCACAGTGTCTTCCGGTTTCCGGAATATACGAAAATAACAGAAATCGCGAAAATCACAAACGATTGAGGGCTGCGAGGGCTGAGGGTGGAGTATTTGTCGCGTCAGTCAAAAAAAACACGGAGCAAAAAGTCGACGCAAACAACAAAACGCTGAAGATTAGGGACGCCGGCAGGGATAAAGGGATTCGCAAGGCTCCGGGATGAACTTTTGCCGAATGACGCATAAGAAAGTTGTAAACTGCCAACTTTATCTACTCGTTTCCCGCTGTTTTCGCGCGTGCGCACAAAATATTCAATTCTATTTTATTTTAATTTAAAAAATTTTTACTTGTTTATAATATTCCAGAAACCAATTGGGATGTAAAGTAAATAATGCGCACCCTGCAACCCTTTGCAAATATTACAAAACACACAAACACGACGCATGGGAATACGCTAAGAATAAATATTGTTTTCTTGTTATCTCTTGGAAAATATTATTCAAATCAAGTTTATAGTGAGCGTGGAAAACGCCGTATATGAAAATTGATGTTATTTGTGTTGCCTACCTATAAATACCTGCGATTTTCTTTTCTTTGTTTGTTTTCCGAGCCATATTTGCGCGCAGAGCTATAAAATATCTGCCCCCGGCGTGATTTACCGCTTTATTTAGATGTCCAATGGCGGTTTACAACAGTAAATAACTTTGCGACGCTGTGGAAACTTTCTGAAAACTTTTAATTCTTTTTTTAGCAAAAAATGTGTTGGAAATACTTTTGATCTGATGAAATTTGTAATTCGTGATTGCTAGTTTCTTATTGTGTGCTTTGTGCAGACGGTGCTCTTTGGTCGTGTGCCGGGCGTAATTAAAGATTAAAGGATCCTAAAATTAAAGCCCAAAGCACGCAATTAACTTTTTTCGGGCGCGCGCGTTTGGTGCAAGGGCGAGCGAGCGTCGTTTGTACGACTTTTGTCGATTTCCGCAATTTCTCTCAGCCGTGCGCTCATTTTCCGTTTAATCGGCGACAAAATCGAACGGTGCGAAAAAATGTGGATTAATCGCACACCGCCGGCGAGCCACGGTCGTAAAGCGGCGATTCCGGCCCATCGGAGCGATTATAGTTGAGCGTGCGATGAAAAATCAAACCGAAACTTACCCAAAGTACTTCACTTTCACTAGTTATACTCGTAAATTAGTACAAGATTATTATCATGATTTAAACACATTTTGTCTATAAATTTATCAAATTCTTAAGTTTCAAGACAAAATAAATCATTTTAAAAATATTTTTCACTAACTGATTATTTGATTAAGTTTGTGGTTTATTATTAAAATAATAAAGAAGAAAATTATTTAATTTAAACAAAAAGTTAATATTTTGTTGTTATTTATGTTTGATTTGAATTGTAACTGCAATTGAATTTGAATTCACACGGTCGCTGGACTTGTTTTTATCATTAAACTACAAAACACATCACCGATGTAAACAAAATATAGAATTGTATTCAGGTAAAATGTGCGCATCGCGTAATCTCACACGAACAAGACTATCTCCACGCGGTTTCACTACCACAAACAAACAAGAATTGAATGCAAATAAGTGCATTGTAGCACCATCTCGAGTTGATTTATGATATCATAAACTATAACACAATGAAACTTGTTTTGAACAAATCCGTGTGCTGTTTTAATGTGTTAGACGAAACAAAACTGATGAAATGACAAAATGCGTGACAGTGTCTGCATTAAATGCATTCTAATGAATATCAGTAGATTTAAATTGATTAGTTGTATTCTTTTGTATTTTTTTTTTCATTTTTTTAAATGTTTTTCTTATTTTTTTATGTGCTTACCAATTTTTCTAGCCGTGATTGATTAAAAACGAATTTGACACTTTAATATTGCAGATATCAGCTGTAGCACATGTAAAAACTAATTGAAACTGTTGGAGCAAGAATTTCAGCACGTTTTACATACGATATCGCTGCTTAGCACGCGTTCGCCTGCAAGAATGCGCCGTTTTCGTCGCCTCGTCGCGGGCGCCGACTGTCCTTTTATTTTTAACGCATTCGCGCAGAAAAAGTCGCGAATATTCACGTTATACCAAGAGGAAACTTTTATATTTTGTCATATAAAACATCCTGCGGAAATATTTTTCAAATTTATGTCTTATATTTCTTTCTAAATCTATTTTTATATATAATTTATCCATCTTGATAAATAATAAATTTAAATTGTTATGTTTTGTTGATTTGTAAATGTTTTTCTTTTTTTTGCCAACCTGTATGTTGAAGATTTTCGTAAAGCAGGAAAAATTATTCACCA